TACTTTGCCAAAAATTCAACAGCTTTCAAACCTTTAATCTAAAATTATTTTTCCGTATTCGTGAGAGTCATATATCATAAGAATAATTAACAACAAATATTCAGAGTTCATTTTATAATACTGTAAATGTACTATGAATATAGTTGCAGAGCTAATTGAAATCCATACGTGCATAAATAATAAATTAACTGATAATTAATTGTTTTTGCGTAATCATATTGACTCTTTCTGCCACATCTCATAATGTGTGCTGCAAATATTTGATACGAATCGAAATTAAATTTATTTATTTTTCTTTAACAATTCAGCAATTATTAACTTTAAGAAAAGAATTGCTGGAAATTGTAACAAATGATTATAATAAGTATTAAGTACATATAATATGGTTAAATAACGACGTGCTATATAATAAAAGCTTTCATAAGACACTATCCCAATGATTTTCAACAACCCCAACGTTTCCTTTCACTGTCGAAAGTCAAATCAATCTTCATCCTCGAAACCAATCTATAACAGACCAAGCCATTCCAAGCTCTACACTGACTAAATATAGACGATATTTCTTTACTAAAACTAGGCACTGCAGTTCTCAGACTCCCGCATTGCAGTCCCGCATCTGCATCAATAGTTAATTCTCCGGCTACATACACGTTCATGTGCTGGCCAATATCTAGATGGCTTTACAATGCATTCCCATGCCGGCCTCTGGGCTATAAATTAAATATACTTATATTATACTAAAATGTTTTCAGTCATTTTTATAGGTACGGTAGTGATATTGTGAATTTTAACACCACAAGAATTGCTGAATAGGTAGGTATACCTGTGAGAATATTTACAAAAAAAAAATAGGTTTTTGAATGTTTTTTGGATGTGACTTTTCACTAAATATGTGTCAGTATAATGCATTATACAAAAATGCCGTAAGCAGCGACTAGTCTAAAAGAAATCGTATGCTTTACCAAAGGACATAAATAAAACATAACTCATACAAACTGGTCCAAGAACATCTCAGTATAATGAGAATGGTTTCTTATGCAAAAAGCGAAAAGCCGACAGAAAACTGCAGCGACTACGAAGCAGTTAGCGCGACTCACTTGACCCTCTCTCTTGACACTCGCGTATCTTTTCAGCACCTTACAGCCAATTTCCCTTTTCATCTGTTAATAGGGCACTAGGACGTAACGAGCGATCTTTCACATATATTTAAAGGTGTTTTATTTTACTGTTTACTGTCTCGGTAGTCTACTGGCTAGCATGAACGTCTGTAGATCCGCAGACCCTAGGTTCTAGTCCTGGGTCGGGCGAAGCATAAATATTTTCTGTCAAGAAATTCTCAGGAACAGCCCGGAGTTAGAAATTTGGTGGTGTTTCACACCTGTGCCTTCAAGAACGTAAGTCAGTGATAGGAAATAATTTTATAAGTATGTGACTTAGCGACATGATGGGTTTTGGGTTATTAATATCGCTCGTATAATAACTACATTAACAGAATTAAATGTGTATTAAAACGAATATACTATGACTAGCTATTGTTTTATTATTGTTTTGCACATTGTTCATTACTTTTTATGTATTTTTGTTATTTAGTTATTTATAAATTATAACAAATGAAAGATGTAATTAGTGTTGCATTTCCGGGAGTCCGCTCCGGGGCCGGCGCGGGGGCGGCGTGGGAGTGTTTACCTCAGAGTCGTCATTATTCTGCGACTTATCTCGGCAAGGTCGATTAACAACGCAGTATTCTTAATTGAAGCCATTACTGTATCTAATGCCATAAACCCACACTCAACATTCATATTTCTTGAGGTGTGAATATACAATAGCTATTACCAACAATTCTGCTTGCAGAGAGGTAGGATTTGGTTTTCATTATGAAATGAGAACATAAAAATCATTATGTGTAAAATTTCAAGTATTTTCTCCGTCCTGGCAAAAAAAAACCACCTACCTATTTGATATGCTATTGGGTATTATATACTTCGATAATAATATATTTATTTTAATCCCCTGACATGAAAGGAGCTAATTTCTTAAAATTGTGACTTAGAGATATTGGTAAAATATTTTAAAAATTTGAAAAATATATCAAAAAAATTCAATAGTAATAGTGAAAATTACAAAAAAATATATATTATTCTTAAGTACTGAATTAATTGATAAATAGTCTTTAGGTTATATACTTACTAATAATAATTTGAAATAAAATATATTCAAATGACATAACAAACGAATGAGAGTAGACATTTTTAAAAGCTTTGCACTATCTAATTCTATAAATGAATGGATTCTTGCAATATAAATGGAGCAGTCCATTACTGTCACATTTTACATGAATATGTATTCAGTTGGATATTGTACCTACATGCCTATTATGTCTTTTTCGTTTAATGGTAAAACTTTGTTATTCCCCTGTTCTAAATCGATCTTTATATTGCCTTTTGGTTATACTTATATATTGTTGAAAAAAAGACGACATGTTAATGCATCAAAACCACGCAATAGAATATTTATCGATTTTTTTTATTTAGGATCTAGGATTTTTTTTATTTTATATAAATACCGACTATTTGAAGCAGGTATTTTTTTATTATTGTTGACGACACTTTGGCTCAGTTTGTAATGACTCTACTTGCTGCGCCAGCAATGGGTCTTCAGCTCGTGGGTTCGAGTCCCGCTGGGGGGCATTCGTTCGTGTGATGAGCACGAATGTTTGTACTCCAGTCATGGATGCTTATATTTATATTATGTATGTATTTAAAGTTATATATGTATAATATATAATGGCAGTGGTAGCCCAGTGGTAACGCGCTCGCTTGGGAAACCGAGTGAAGCGGATTCAAATCCCAGGTCTCGCACCTCTAATATTTTCATGTGCGAATCATTTCTAACATGATTACCACTCGCCTTACGGTGAAGGAAAAATATCGTGAGGAAACCTGCATGTCTGAGAGAACCTAGCAAGTTTTCGAAAGACATTATTATGTGAAGTCTGCCAACTCGCACTTGGCCAGCGTGGTGGACTATGGCCTGATCCCCTCATAGTGAAAGGAGGCCCGTGCCCAGCAGTGGGACGTTAAAAAGGGATACATGTATAATATATCAACTATCTGGTATCCATAACACAAGCCTCGTAGCTTACCATGGAACTAGATGGTGATGTGTGTTAATGTCCTGACATATTTATATATTATATATTATATTACATATTATATTACATATTATTACTTAAATTATCTGTTAGAATTCAGAATACTTATGTATAAAGGATGATTAATAATATTAGAAAAAAAATTGTGGAAACCTTAGCCTTTTTACAAAGGTACCTTTACAACAAATTAGGCAGTATTTGTATTAATATTAATCACTACATAGTATAAAACAAAATCGCTTCCCGCTGTCTGTCTGTCCCTATATAGGTATGCTTAGATCTTTAAAACTACGCAACGCATTTTGATGCGGGTTTTTTAATAGACAGAGTGATTCAAGAGGAAGGTTTATATGTATAATACATGCATATTAAACTACAGAATAACCGAGAAATTCAAAGATTTCTATTTTATACTAACCGTTAAAACGTACCTAGGGACGAACCCGAGCGAAGCGAGGGTGACTAGCTAGTTAAATATAAGTAAGAACATTAATAGTAAATAATAACACAATAGAATCAATTATGGGTAACCTTCATTATCATATATTTGGATAGTAAATATTAAATTTTAAAACAAGTGCTCAGCGGATAGATAAATTATTCCATGGCATGACCCCTGAACATGTCGGGCACAGCTGAGGCCCGCCCGCCCGCCTTGCACCGCCTGGCGCAGGGCGCTCGCATGCAGCGTGCGTGACATGTCTTTACCTTGCTATTACTTACCGATTACAGCCTGCCGCAAAAATGATAACAATTTCAATACAAGTTTTTAGGTTAATCATTATAAATTGTGTGTGATGCGCCTGTTTTTATAAGTAGGCAATTTCATTTATCAATACTTCCTACGTGGTTATTTTCTATTCAAATTCAAATAAGTATGTATTTATATTAAGAAATTAAGTAAATTATAATATCGCTTCTAATATCATCCGTAGACGTACTTGTTATATTCCGGTTAGATTGTTTATGAGCGGAGAGTAATTAATATAATTATGTCCCAGTTTTGTGCCGGAATGTAAAGTGGCTCCTGTGAAATCATATTGGTCGTTGAAAAAAGTTACTTAAAAGAAGCAAGGAGAGCTCAGAAGTTACACAAATTTTACACAAGCTAAGTTTAAGAGTTAAGGAGTTTGTTAATTCTTTAAACTTTTTTACATATTAGTTATAGAGTTTCATACAAACTTTCATCCTCCATTTAACCCCCATATGGGGTTGAATTTCGAACAATGCTAAAACACGAATTTATTTAATTGGATTTAATTCAAAATTCAAGTTTCAAGTAACTCTGATCATAAATAATTATCTGCCCATATAAACTTTATTACCCCCTTTTTCCCCTTTAAGGTGTGATTTCTTTCTTTAGCTGGTCTAACTTTCAGCTACGACTCAGTGCACAGGTTAGATATGAGCATAATAGAAGTAAAAACCAGGTATTAAAGAGATATTATAATAAATTGCTTAACCTCAGTGTAAATAGATCGTATGTGTAACGCCCTCCTTTCCATAAATCTTCCCCCTTGCTCTGTACAAATACACTTAAGCGCTTTTTTACTGTGCAACTGAAAAATATATGCCTAAATAAATAAAAGAACCTTTCAAACTAAAATCGAAAAATAACATTATTTTTCAGTGGCCCTTCACCAATATTCTATTTATAATTTTATTTTATGTCCTTTCTTAGTCTTGTCACGATGACAAAGTCATCTGCCATTATGACAGACGACAGCTGCTTGTCATTTCTCGTTTGGCAAAAACACTGCGACCCGCGTAAAGCATGGAAATCGCGCATTACTCATGTTTATATCGTTAAAATAATATTTTAAATTACAATTTAAGTATCCCTTTCAACATGTTTGCTAAGCCGTATAAATTAAAATCTAACAACACACTGAAAAATTCCGAAAAGTAAGTGCTACTAACCATACATAATTATTATTTAGAAATTGTTAGAAACGTACATAAAATAATTAGTTATTGCCTTTTAGAAAACATCTTGGGCAGCGTATACAAAATGAATTTCCAGCAGCTACAGAAGAAAAAGTGAAAGAATTAGTTCCGGTTAAATCAAGTACCAGCTGTATGAAGTTAATATTACATTCGGAAGAAACTGTTGGTGTATACGTGGTAGACGGAGTGCCAATAATGATAGACTTAGGTGAAACTCTAGCACCAACTGTGTGTGCGTTATGGAAAGTTCCTGATTTAATTCCCACCATAAGTATACATTCTCCAGTGTTAAGCAAGGTAAACACAAAGTATTTCTGTATCAAACTAATCTTATTATATGATATTTTCTATATTTCATTTAAGTGCAGGAAAGAAGTATATAAAATGTAATATTATTGTCTTATAGACCTTTATTAAAAATTGACATTTTAAATAAATTGTGGTTCATGTACATATACTCAGTTTTTTTTTATGTATAATTTTTTTTTTAAATATCACTATTAAAACATTTGTATTTGGCAGATGCAAGGTGGAGCCCCACTTTATGCCCCAGGTGTTGTGACAGATACAAATTTTCCACAATTTCGCAAAGGATCTGTGATAGCTGCATGCACCACTGACAATGCTGCTGCGGGAGTAATCGGTCTCGCAGCAATGTCTTCAGCTGATTTATTGAGAACCTCTATGTATGTAATTGAATTTATCTTACATTTTCTTAACTGATAATAGCAATAAAAACTTACCTAAAATTATTTAAATTAAGTATTTACTGCAATAATAAAAAAAAACTACATATAATATTTGTTATGTTTTTCAGGGGAGTGTGTTTGGAAACATTGCATGTATTTGGTGACATGCTGTGCAAAGAAATCAAATTTAATAAGATTGAGCGACCAAAATTAGGACCACCCTCCCATGATGTTGTTCAGATAATTACTAATGATATTAGCCAGGTACATATCACTTAATAAATTTATATAGCTATATTCAGTAACCTCATTTAGTAGCAGGAGTGGCAAAAGAAACAACAGAATTAAATTCTTTTTTTTTTGCTACAAAAATTTTTTTTACTTAAATTCTCTAACATTGAAACATAGGTGGGCAATCAATCACATCATTTCTTAATGTGTTGTACATTTTGTAATCTTTTATAAAATTAATTATTATTTGTTGTATTATGAACATTCTTAAATGAATTCTTTGATGACTCGTTTGGCTCAGCTTGTAGTACCTATTTGCTGTGCCAGCGGTCGCGGGTTCGAATCCCGCTGGGGGCATTCATTTGCATTGTACTCCAGTCATGGGTGTTTATATTTATAATATGTATGTATTTACAGTTATATATGTGTAGTGTATCAAATACCTGGTATCCATAACACAAGCCTCGTAGCTTACCATGGAACTAGATGGTGCTGTGTGTGTGTGTGTTAATTCTTAAATATTTTTTTAAATGTTGTAAAGTTTTCAAAACTTTTTTTAAATACATACTTTTGTCTGATCCAGATTGTTACCTTTCCTGTTCTATAAACTTTCTCACTTGAATGAAAATTTTGTCAGTACAAGTCTCTTAACAATTGTTAAAAGACTTGTACTCACAAAAGTTTCAGCCATTCAGAAGTAAATGAGTATTAACAGACATAAAAACTTAAAATTTAATTTTTTAAATGTAATAGTTTAAATTAAATAGTTTCTTGGTATATTGCAAATATAATCCTTTAAATTTTTGACAAATAGTACTTTCTATCTCTTTTATAAAATCATTTTTTCAGTTAAATATTCAACCAGTCAAAGAAGAATGGCCGAGTCTAGTGAGAGAACAGCCAGCGCCAGTCGCTAATGAACCAAAAGCGATTGTAGAAACTGAATTACAAGAGGTTGTAGCAACACCCGATTCAGAAATGGAAGATCTGAACAATAGTGTAAACTCAGGTAAAGGTTATAGGTAAATATTTAAATAAAGCCTTGAGATGGCAGGAGTATGAAACTATTTCTTTCGAATTCAGTGCTTTTTATCAGTATGAGGACAATGCATCATATTATATCGCGAACACCGATGCATAGATATATGCTTTATTTATTTTTGAAATTGGAAAGTCATTTGTATGGTCATCATTATAATGAAGCAAGATTTAAATCTGCATCCTCCTATGTAAGTTGTAATCCCATATATGCAAAATTCATTACCGTGTCACAGTGAAATATTGCCTAAAGTATAAACTACATATTATTTAGTATCTATGAAATATTTTACTTACCCCAAATATTTTTTTATAAATAAATCAATTTAAAATATATACAGGATCATTCTTCAGACAACAAATGCATTTATTGGGTGCCAAAATGTGAAACTTCTGCTCCATTTATTATTTTTCCTTTAATCAAGCGCCCAGTCTATTTCCACTGCAGCTAGGCTACTAGTTCGACAGTTACAATTTTTAATTTAATTTCCTTTTATACATCTTTTCTCTCTCTTCATAGCACACTTATAAACTAATAGCTTGGTACACCCTTGTTCTTAGCTCATTTTCGGCATCCTCTATCCATTTATAATTTAATGTTTTACTCAAATGTAAGCAACCATTCATTTAAGTTGGACAATATTTGTTATGTTAAAACTGAAATTTTATTATCTGTTAAATTAAAAAAAAAACAGTTATGTTCTTGATATTTCAACAGAGTTACAAGTGCAATGGTCACTACTCACTGTTATTATACATAGATTACAAAAATCTCATTTCAGAAAGTTCAGAAACAGATGGCATACCAGAGGACATGGATGGACTTCTGCGGTGGTGTCTGCTCTCTTTCCTTAAGCTTGAAGGCAAAAATATTGAGCTGCCGCTCAAAACTAACCTGCTGTACAAGTAAGCTGCACATGTTATTTACATAGAGAAGAGAATATATAAGTATTTTTCATATTTAAAGCAGCTAGGAGAAAACTTATACATATATTAATCAAGGTACATAATTACATTCCCGGGGGAGAAGCCAACTCCTACCGGGCGCGTCCCCAGGTGGCGGATAGGGGAATGCCACCCGCTTAGGGCGGCGGGTGGTACCGGAGAAATCCGGCGCGGACCAAATGGCTTGGGTGGGGCCGCTCGTCTAGGACTCGAGCCGAAGACGTTGCGGCCACCGGTGGTGGGACCGCTTGGTCCCACATCCGGATGATGGGTGCCGGTTGCGGGACTGTGGTCGCAGGCCCGCATCCGGCGGAGGGGTAGGCCGCGGCGGGAGAGGAGTGCCGGTATTTCGGTGCGCCGTTCTCCCTACCTTCCGCGGCCTAGACGGGGCCGCCACCGTTTGATGGCGGACGCGGTGGGGCTGCAGGGGAAGAGGAGTGTCGGTGTTTCGTTGCCGCTCTCCCTGTCCTCTGCAGCCGATTGGAGGTGGCCCACTTCGGTGGGTGGTGGTTATGTTTAATGGGGCTGCTCCGGGTACCTCTCTGGCGTAGCAGAGTTGACTGTGGAGCAGCTCCATTGGTGTGGTGGTTGGCCTAGCGTTTAGGCAGACCTGCCGCCGGGGCGCCGTAGTAGTTATGCGCAAGCGATCCTGCGGCGCCCCATTAAGGCGGAAGGGAGGGGAATGTCGGGTTTTAGTGGGTAGTACCGGCTCTTCTAGCCGGTGAGCCCCACATCACCACCTGGGGGATCAGGTGGTATGCGTAAATGCATTTCCCGACTTAAAAAAAAAAAAAAAGGTACATAATTACATTAAATATAATTTTGATTATTGGTTCCCGACGTTTCAAATGCTTCGCAGCAACCATGGTTGTTGTGGTTACTTTGTTGTATAATAAATCCGCGTAAAAATTCGAAAATATTGTTTTATTTAAAATGTCAAATATTCGCGTAATCCAATTAGTTTAAAATAGTTTTCCAATTTTTTATCTATGATCAATAACGATTTTGTTGTATTTTAAATGAAGCTATCTTTTCGGATTTTGTCGCGGTTTCACATTGTATTTTTGTTTCCGACGACGCGACGTTTCGAATGTTTTACAGCAACTTTGTTGTAATTTAGTAGTTAATAAATATTATACCAACTGGTGTTGTTACATAATGTTACAGGAACCACCTGATGCCGCACTGCCCGCCGGACCGCGCCGTGGACGTCAAGAAGTCCACTTACAAGAAGATGGGCAAGTTCCTGGAGGCTATGGAGAGGGTAATATCAGTTTTATTTGACCATATTTATTTTCTCTTTACTAAAAAGAAATAGCATTTTCGGCGCTAGTGTGTCAGTGTGAAATGTAGATAATAAATATTAAGTACATGTGTTTAGAATTTTTTTATTATAATCAATAATAACATATCTTTACGAAGCAAATATCTAAGAAACACGGTTATTTTGATTGAGGGAGATACCTTGTGAAAATAATGAATCACACATAATGCCAACATAAAAAGATAATGTATTTTCACAAATAAATAATCTATACTATATTGCCATATAAAATATATTTATATTGCCTTTGCCTAATTTTTATTAAAAAAAAACAACTTATCCAAGTATGTGTATGATCAAGGAAGGCCTAATCCAAGTGCGCGAGGTGGAGAAGGGCGTGTCGGCGCTGGTGGGCGCCGCGCTGGCGCACCCCGCCGTGCGCGCGCACCGCCCGCCCGCCGCCGCCCCCGCGCCCGCCCCCGCGCCCGCGCCCGCCGCCGCGCCCGCGCTCGGGGACGACTACACGCCGCCGCAGATACGCGAGCTGTACTGCATCACTGCCAACGTGCTGGACTTCTTCGCGCCGCTCAAGTTAGTGCTTACACACACGTAATGTAGTCATTATCTATACAGATAAATAAAATTGAAGTGTCTGTTTGTAATGTCAAAATAATAACTTTTTACTAAATGCATATGAAATTGTATATGGTACTTATTAAAAAAAAACATTTTTAATATTTTTGTCTGTCTGTTTGTTCTGGCTAATGTCCACGGCTGGATTGATTTTGACGGGACTTTCACTGGCAGATAGCTGATGTTATAAGGAGTAACTTGGTTACTATTATTTTAGAAAAAAAAAATAGTTGTTAATAAAAAAGTTGGTCGGTGGAAACAAAGATCCTTGCACTATCTGAGTTTGGCTCATAATTTAGATGATAAAAATTATTACGAGTACTAGAATATAATAAACATGAAGCAACATACACTTCTTAACACTTATGATTGCCTGGTACTTTTGACACGTATACTAGGGGACCACGAATCTCAAAGAGTGTTCATTATATGTATATAGGGCCCCGTCATAAAATAGCATACAAACTCCTTACTACATATTATATATTATATTTCTTAATTTGTGATGACGTCACATGCGGTGTTCTTAGTAAATAATAAATCGTGACGATGGAAATATTACACTTATTTCCATCTAACTCTTATTCGGTAAGTGCCGAGTATAACGTGTGTTAAGAAACTTTATTGTAATAAAAAAACATGTTTTTCACAATGTCAATAATACAAAGAAAAATTGTAGCAAGTCACTCGCATCTAGCATCTCGTCACCAAAAGTGACATGTGATGAATTTTACATACTAAAACAAATTAGTCGTATATAATATGGCTGTAAAGGTCTAAACGTAAGTAACGCCGCCTGCAGGAAGGGCACGGCGCTGCCGGCGGGCGCGGTGCGCGCGGCGGTGGCGCGGCACGCGGAGGCGCGCGCGCTGGCCGCCGGCCGCCAGCTGCGCCTGGATGCCGCGCTGGCCGCCGCGCTGGGCCGCCAGCCGGGCGTACGTATGCCTCGCCACGCTACTATATATATATACAGTACCGACCAGGTCTAGGAACTCGGGACCTTGAGGTCTGCAGTCGTACATACTGAACAGTAGGTTATGTGGTGACATTCTTTTTTGTTATCAATGAAGTACCTTTTTTTTTAATGTTGGGAAATGCATTTACGCATACCACCTGTCGACATAAAGATGGTTATGTGGTACTCACCACCTCCTCGCCTCACCTCGCCACCACCCACCGCCCACCAAAGTGGGCCACCGATCCACCTCCCTGTGCATTTCTTAGCTTCGCGCCCGGCTGTCTTGCCGAGCACTACTAAGCCCCCACCACGACAAGGTGAACGCACGTTGGAGATGATCAAAGAAGTACCTAAAGTAACTCAGCGCCAATTTACATTTTTTTTATTTCCCTGTTTATTTCGTCGGTCTTTGAACTTTTTCAGCATTTCTTTTCTATGTACAGACATTCGACTTCTACAGTTTTATTATAATATGTATAGATCGTTATTTTTAAATTTTGTGTTCGATTGATCGATTTACCTGTGAACGTCACCGGCGTTTACCAGGAGATGGTGAGGCGCGAGGAGGCGTCGGAGGGCGTGCTGGCGCGCATGACGCCCGCCACCGAGCTGCGCTTCGCGGGCGGCGACACGCGCCTGCTGCGCGCGCGCCTGCCGCCCGTCGACATGCGCGTCGTCACGCGCTGCGGGAACAAGAAGGTCGGCACACACACACACACACACACACACACACACACACACACACACACACACACACACACGCACGAAGCACGTCTAAGTGCGCCCGTCTGAAGTGAAGCATATATTATTACATACTAGCTGACCCAATAGACCTAGTTCTGTCAAAATAAGTATATCAGACCCGGTTAGACGAATTAAGTTTTTACATTTTTCCAGGCATCTTTTCCAATAACTAACCAAATTACTTAAGTTTTTCTCGAGTTTAGCCCTTAGCAACACCACAGATATAATACTATACTAATACAGATAGTGCATTCCATACAAATATTTGACTTTGCTAATCCGCGCTTACACAGCGCGCTATTTTTTTTGTCCTAAAATGGATAATAGATGGCGCAAGTGAGAATTAAAAAAGGCGGCATCTAGCAGCATTAGTTGTAAATGCTCTAAATGATAGATGGCGATAAAAGCTGTCCCCGAGCTGCCGCTGCGCAATGTTGTAGGTACCTCTTTGTGAGGCCACTCAAGGTCACTATGGCAATTACAAATTATATTTTTAGAATATTGTCTTAGAGACTTGAGTAGCCGGCCGGTAGTTTCCAAAAAAAATTGTTGCCTTATTATCATTATAATTTATTACTTAGGGAACTCTTTTTTTTATTTATGTTTTAGATACACATTTAAATTTTTTACCCATTTTTTTTGTAGCGCGTAAAGAAACTTATCACAATATATAAGTTATTTAAATTTATGCTTACCTTATATTAACAATAGGTACCAAAATTATATAATTATTACATAGTTGTTGTATTTTAAACTAGTATTGCCCGCGACTCCGCCCGCGTTCAGATGACTAAAATCCAAATTCTTAAGTTTTACATATTAATATACTCTTACATTGCAGTTTGTGTATTTTTTCTCAGAAATGAGATATTTTCCCGCGGTGAAAAGTATCCTATATGTTGACCCGGATAACCAGCTATCACCTTAACAAATTTCATCAAAATCCCTCCAGTAGTTTTTCCGTAATGCGGTAACAGACAGACAAAAATTCTAAAAACTATTGATTCGGCCTGTGTATTATACAGTTATAAAGATTTATCTTTTTCCACTCTAAATAAGATTTATTTTGCTATTCTGTGCTACTTAATTATGACATTTTGTAATGTAACAAAGATTGCGGTGATCTTCAATGCACGCAATTATGAAATCAATTTCATGAAGTATAAGGTTGACATTCGCATCACACATTTAAAATTCTATTACATTATAGATGTCGATGAATATCTGTTATTTTTTAATTCAATAATATAGGAAAAGTAAAAAATATGGTCATCTACTATTTAGATTTAATAAATATATAGTAATCTAATATAGAAAGCTGAATTGTTTTGTTTATTTAAGCGCGTGTATCTCTAAAATCTAAATCTACCGAGTCCAATTTGAAAGATTATTTTCTTGTTTTATATATGTATTTGATATTTCATTATTTTCATGTTTTATAAATTGTATAGACTTATTTATATAAATATTATTTTTAACGCAAAAAAAAATGTAAACCGAGAAATATGAAATATATCGGTATCAAAGTAAAATAATTTAATTATTTTATTTATCAACTTTTTTATTATATTGAGCGTCATCTGTGAACAGAGTATACATAATTATTATCAAAGATCGTGCTATCACAACATAGTACCTATTATTGCCGCCAGAAATACAATAATATCATCGAATTTTATATATTTTTAAAAAAACTGTATATTTATTCATTATTTAATTTTCCCTTACTTTAATTAATTCTTTAAAATTAGGTTAAACACTTTCATTATTTTTTTTATATTTGGAATTTTAGGTGAATATTAGAAACAAATCGATACATATTACACCATCTGTTATAATATTTTTTAACTAATTTTTATTTTATTCGTATTGAGACCCCATGGCAACGCATATTGTGTATGTACATAATAGTTGTGGCGGCGCAGGTGACGCTGGTGTCCAACCTGGAGAGCTACGGGTTCGCGCTGGGCCCGCTGGCGCGCGCCTGCCAGCTGCGCGCCGGCGCCGCGTGCGGCGTCACGCGCGCGCCCGGCGCCCGCGCCGACCAGCTCATGCTGCAGGGCGACCAGGTCACACTCCCTCCTCTCCGTACACGTTAACTATGATACTGTCAAAGAGAGAAAACGGACGTGCGGCCATGGTTATAAATATCTATCATTAATAATCCTATTCCGATAAATATAAAAGACTTCTAGCCGCATATTCGTTTTGTCTCTGTCGCGCCTTTTCGCCATTAGCTGACTGCTGGCAAAGAAACACTCGGTACACTCTCTATATCTATGGCCCTTTCACATACTTTACACGACATGTAAAAGTAGCTTTGTATAAAAAAACAGAAACTTTAAAATGCTTTCTGAACTTATAGCCTCACAAATAAATAAATAAATATGTCAGTTCATTAACACACAACACCATCTAGTTCCATGGTAAACTACGAGGCTTGTGTTATGGATACCAGATAGTTGATACTTGATATATTATACATATATAACTTTTATAAATATAAACATCCATGACTGGAATATAAACATTTGTGCTCGTCACACAAATGAATGCCTCCAGCCCGACTCGAACCCGCGACCGCCGGCGCAGCAAGTAGGGTCATTACAAACTGAGCCAAACGTGTCGTCAAAACTATTTGACAAAACAAATTGACCACACTGATGCAATTCCAATTGAATTGTCGATTCGTAAATACTTATCAAGTGTAAATAACTAAAATATCATTTCATTATGAAATGGTTTTTGCTTAATCTGTGATGAGTTTTCTAATTCTGCACTTTGATAACAATAGAGATGTCTGTCGTGGGACCCGATGGGTGTAGTCTTAGTTGCGCTCACCTAAATCCAGCCTTTGTATACAAGTATATTCCCACTAGTCACTTACTCTTGCTATGCTAGAGTACTCCTTTTTACAACCTGATATAAAAACATTTACTGTTTATGTATGTATGTACTCAATTCTTGACAAATGTTCAATACCTTACAAATTACATATAAATTACTCCAGGGTCTGTTATCTGTATACTAAATTTCGTTCAAAAATCAATCCAGCCAATTTAATGTGAAAAAGCAACATCACAAACTTACTCGAAACTTAATTTATAATAGTAGTGTGGTTTAAATATTGTTGTTATAAAACTGAAGTAATATAAGAACAGAATTTCAATATTTCTTCATATGGCTATTAAAAACATTTAAAACTTTAATAAATACGATATTTTATAACCTGTTATAAACATTTTGTAAGTTTTTAAAAATAATAATAATCCAATTCATCCTTTTCATTACATTAGGTAATAAAAGATTTAAACTCATCATTAATTATTTTTAAATAATTTGGAGGTGCTTGCATTTAAATCCATGTAGCGAAACAGTAATCAAAATATATTTATTGAAATAATAAAAATTGTGTAAAAACAAAATAAATAGTAATTATCCCTATATTTGTAATCCACATTTTTAACTACCGATAAGCCTTCTATACATGTTAATATGCAGTTTAAAATAATATTAAACTTATTGTTTCTTTCTAGACTCATTTCATGGCAAAGTTGCTGATTGAAAAATTTGGACTTCCCAAGAAATTTGTGGATGGAGCCGACAAGGCACTCAACAAGAAAAAGTAAAAATCAATTTGTGTATAATATGACAAATTTATAAATAAAACTGCTCGAGCTTTCTTAACTATTTATTATCTTTTATTAACCCTTCTGTTATCAATAGAATTAATATTAAGACAGTTGATTATCAAAAATATGGCAAATTGTATATAATATCTAAAATGTTTATACTGATCACTTATACACTATCAATCTATATAAATTCAAGGCTTACTCAAGCTGTTAAGCTTTTTTGTTAATGTTAATTAAATATATTCATTTTCTTAACCTATATTTAGTAAGATGGAAGACCAAAAGACTAAAAAATTGTAATTAATATGAAGACAAGTTGATACCATTGAGTTTTAATAATTTGTTGATTTTATAAAAATGTGTACAAACAAAATTTTTATTATTATATAAACCTTGGGATTTGTTGTAAAACATAAATTGTTATTGTAGTACTGTGCTTATATTTATATTCTATAGCATATATGTATATACTTACCTGTTATTAGCAAAGAAATTGCTAATTTTATTAAACTTTACATCCAATGTATAATCATATACTATACAAATATATACTTGTAACATCTCTTTCACTAAGCTAGTTCGGGTGGGGTTGTGTCCGTTTTTCTTATATACAAACAAATAAAATAAAAAAAATATATCAATCACATAATTGTATGTTCCAATTTTAGAATGGAACTCAAAGAAAAAAGTCTAAGGCAAAGAAAGTAACCACAACCAAGAAATCTTATGTAACGAAAACTATTCCTAAACATTTAATGTATATTTTTATTATACTATATGTACTTACTTAAGAAATTGCAATTCCATAGAACACTGTCATTATGATACTCTTTTTATACTTTTGTAGATGTTTTGAATTTGAAGGGAGTTTTGAAAGGCAGTAGGGACTTCCTTTTGGATTTTTTTAGCTCTGGTGGAGCTGTGGGGGTCTGCATGTAAGACAATTTAACACTAGAGTGGCTCCTCTCCTTATAGTTGTCTTCACCCACTTTGCCTGTATCACAGCTCCAGATACTCCTTGAGCTTCTAATTGAACTTCTAGAGAAGTTTGAACTTTTTGAAGTCAAGCTAGTTTTTGAAGGTGTTTTTCTAAGATTACTATTTGTAATATCTGAAAACACTTTGCCAGACATCTTGGCCTGCTTTGAAGGGGAAGATTGATTCCACTGCATTGAAGCTCTCTTTTCAGAAGATACTTTTTCTAAATCTAAATACTTAAATTTTTTAATATCTTTAAGGCCTGTCTCCTCCCTTCTCGGTACCTGATATCCTTCTTTATCCACATTTTCCAACTCATAAAATGTTAAGGTTACACTTTCATCACTTTCAACAAAAGGATTACTAGCGGTGAAGTGGACTTTCTTTGTAGACACATCAGGAAATATGTTTCTACGAGGCATATTGTCCTTTGTAATTTTGGCAGCTGTAACTATCATGCTGCTATCACCATTGTCAGCTGATAAAGAGCTATCTAAATCTTCATATGCATAGCTCTTCCTCCTGGCTTTAGGTCTCAAAGAGCTTGATCTCCTGTGACGCCTGCGTGATACCCAATTGTTACCATCCTCACTTACTTGGTTGATCACTGGAGGTAAAGTTATACCATTACTTCTGACATTGAGATCAGTAGAATCATTAAGAGAAATTAATTTAGTAGATGGACTATTAACTATTTCCTTAGCAATTATGTTTCGTTCCCTTTCATTCAACGATTCCTCTCTTTGTCTCAAAGCAATGAGGCGAGACATCCATTGGTGGCTCAAAGTATCCTCAGATACTTTCTGAGCACCATTATATACTTCTAGGGCTTCACTGTAAGGTTGTCTACTCCTAGGAACATAGCCTGGCAGTTCCAAAGCTAATGCTGCAATTGTTGGAGATATAGCTTCTACAGGAGATTCACACTGTTCAATTTCTCTATCGAATGCCCACTTAGGACTGAGATTACAATAAATTGGGCTGTCTTTTGCATTTATGCGAGTCCTGGGTAGAGGTTCTATGATTCTACATTGATCAACAGCCTTTTCAGAATCACATTTGTTTGCTTCTGAAGTTAATACAGAAATCTCTTCTGAGTAGAGTATTTCAGTTAAATTTTTTGGTCCTGTCAGTGTATCCGTGTTTGCAAGAACTGTTGGATGATAGAGGACCACATCTGGTCGCAAATTAGAGTTCCTTTCATCAATTAAAAAGCTGATAACATCTCGCAAGTCGTCGCTGTAACGAAACTCTTTTATTTTATCATCACAAGCTCCTGGCAAATAGCATAAGATTCGTATTATTTCTCCTACTTGCTGCATTAGATCCGATGACTGTGAAGACTCCAGCGACAGCTCGAAACAGTTGATGCGTAACTCTGCATTCTGTCCGACGAAAATGGACTCTGTTGTTACGCATTTTTTTAGCGTCACAAAATTGTAGTCTTCGACACTCTTAAACAAACGTGCAAGTTCCAGTAACAGGTACCATATGAAGCGCTCAGTGAAATGCTTGTCGGTGGCCTTGCTTTGTGCGATTAATTCCTGTACGCTCTGCCAAGAATTGTATTCGAGAACAAAGTAAAGTGTTTTGGTCGGTCCGTGTAATATCGTGTCGTAGTAGCGCAGGAAGTTGCCAGATAACACTTTACTTAATATTTTTACTTCATTATCGACGTTTTGTATTTGTTCATCGGAAAACGTAGAGCAATTGTATGCTTTCCACGCAAAAATACTATTTGTGACCTTGTGTCTTACTTTATAAAACGTGCCACTACAAAATATGTCTAGAACTTGATATTCCTTCAGCTTTTCTGCCATTTCTTAGATTTAATATAATTTATTTCAAAAATTTCACATTTTGTAACCGAAACAAAGCCACGAAACTTTTAAAAATGAATGTCCGTTGGAACTAGTGATGTAACTTAAAAAGTCAAAACATCGATGTGACGATGCCTCCGATTAATTCATATTCCATAATCGATTAATTTTATGTTACAAGTTTGTATGCTTACAGCAATGCTCAAATAAATTTAAAAACATTTCATATTTAAAGCAAATTAATGATTTTAATGGAAGTACCTACTTATAATTTTTCTCATTAATGCGCAATAATATATATATATTTTTTAAACTATGTATTCTTTATTTCTATAAAGTAGATTTAATAACAGCTGCTTTTACTTAATGAATTATTTCGCTGCCAGCTATTAAAAATAATTAATATGTAAAATCCAATTGATACCAAAAGAGGGAATCACGATCTCAGTGATATCTCCCGTTGTTTTAAAATTTGTTACAAATGGCGGCGAAAAGATGAGGTCTCATAGGGACAATAAAAAAATAGTTTAAATAAATGTCAATAGATGGCGTTATATGTAGCGTTCGAATCGTTTATTAATAATGTATTCCATTAATAAAAGAATAAAATAGAGCTCAAATATAAAAGCATGGACCTTATTCTATTTTTATGAAATACTTTAGGTATAAAGATAAATGAAATATTGCGTTCTGAAATCCCGATTAACCCAGCTATCAGGTAACTAACTTGTATTATGGCCTAAGAGCCTGTGAACGCCAGACCTTCGTCATTTTATAAAAGCTAAAAGTTTGTCAGCGCATGCTCCCAACACAGATAAGAACGATGGACCATTATGAAGTTCAGGCTATGGTGACTTTGGCAGGTAGACGGTACTAAAGGTGTGTAAAATACCGATCTAAATTCGTCAAATAATAAAGAGTGATTTTTTTCACGAATTTATTTTGATTTTTGGTTCCCAAAAAAAAAGGGCATCAAAAATCAAAATAAATTTGCGAAAAAATCCGAAAAGATAGTTTTATAAAGATAGTTTTATAGTGTTGTTTAATAAAGAATGTTTTTTTTTTTTATTTATTTAAAACGTCAAATATTCTCGTAAATCTAAGAAAGTGTTACTCCATCCCTTTTCAGCATCCTAGATGTGTCATTTTTAAATAAGCACCGAAGCATAATTATCCTCGGAGCGTTCGAATGCTATTAAATTAAAAACGCGCTCAAATGTTCAAAGTGTTAGGTTTGGTTTTTTTGTTTCTGATTGCGTATCTAGTATTTTTTTGATCAATGCTAATAATGCTCAGTCGGCTTTCCAAACCTGGCCCCCCAGGATAATTTTCTCTATTTTTTTTTTCAAATATCGTTTGTTCTTGATTGTTCTTAAACTAATTAAACAAAAATGTAACCTCAAAATAGCCCGCTCAATAGAAATTTATAATTTTTCTTAGTAATAGTAATCTTTAAATATTCATTAATGTTCATTTATTTATTTAAAGTTTAATTAACAATTTTTTATTAATTATTTATAAATAAACAATTTACGGACAAACAATTATTTACAAATAAACGATATGTGAAAATCAAAACTCAAAAATTAGAGAGAAAAAATTTCTATGGGGCCAAATTTAGTGAGCTACAAAGTAATCGAAAATCGTTTCATTAAATGCGCAATGAATTTTGTATCTTCTTCTGCCTGGCATTAATTAATCCCGGCTATTGCCAGGGATTTCTTTCCAACTTAGTCTCCTCAACTTTGCGTGGTATTTAGTATTGTCCTGGGTAAGTCCATTGACTCTCACGTCCTGCTTCACGATATCCAGCCATCGCTTTCTTGGACGCCCTAGGGAGGTCTAGTTCTAGGGATAGATATATCAAGACACTTTCTTCCGCCATAGTCCTTAGATTGACGCGCGACATGGCCATACCACCTCAGACGACGCTCTTGGAGCTTATCCGCTATGTCACGGACCCCGAGACTGCCTCTGATGAACATGTTGCATATGCGATCAGTCCGCGTTATTCCGCACATCCACCTGAGTGTGCCGAGATAGTGCTGGCCAGAAGACTCGCTTCCGTATAAAAGAACCGGTTGGATGATGCTCTTGTATATCCGACCCTTGAGCTTGGGCGGTATTCTGCGATCACGGAGCACACTTTTGACCTCCCACCATTTGGGACAAGCAGCGCTTGTACGGACTTGAACGTTGTGTTCGATGCTTTCGAACTCGTGCAGGACGGATCCAAGGTACCTAATCTTCTCTGACTCAACGGCTGGTTCAAGCCCTATTTGAATGGTGCTAGAGTCCGAACTCGCAAGCCATACATTATTTATAAAATAATATAATTCGACAGTATACAGGTGGTTCTATAGAATATTGGAACCAAAAATAAGATATGTACGTGTATATGGGAACCATAAACCACTGTTATATTTAGTCAGACTTTTCTTATGAAATAGCAATTGAGTATTTTTCGATCACAATACAAGGAATTTATTACTTAATACTAGTAATCCAGCTCTGGAGCCTTGTTGTTTCCAAGATATCCGAGAGCAATATATAGAGCTAATCTAATCCATGCCACAACAGTAAAGCTCACCTGCATGGTAATATATAAATCCGGCTAGCTGATCATACACGTGATAAGAAACACGTGGACGAATACTAAGAGAATATAAGTCTCCATTGAATCTTTCAAATTTGGCAAGAATTTCTAGTTTATTGCTGAATTTCTATTTTTAATCGGGTAATAACAGGGGGCGTCATAAATAAAACTTTAAAGTCCTTATTGAGTGTACTTCCAAGCCCAAATATTTTACATTCCTGCTTAGTCCTGGTACTCTGACAATGTAAGTGAATTTGGATAATGTTTTCGATGGATAACGTACCTATTTAGACTGGAGATGTGTTGTGCAGATAAATTTCCTATCAACGAAATTTGTTTCTAATTAACTTACATGTATGTCTACCTATTCTGGAAGATAAGCAGTTACAAATTCATGTTTACCGAGAAATTTCTTAAATTTTCTGTAATTAAAACTGTTTTAAATAAAATAAAAGTGCGACAAATTTTACCTTTGTCCTACCTTACACAGATGATAGGTATAGTCTAAGTTTTCTTTTATTTCTTGGTTTTCTTTATATAACTTTTATAATTTTTTTTGGTATCTCATAACCGTCCGGAAGCTAAGAAACGCACTTGGGAAGCGGCCAACCTAGTACGGTACGGTACGGTTGTATACCATGCGAGTTACTCCTGGTACTTTTCTGATAGCAGACTGAACCGTGAAAGTAAGCCGTTGGTTGTTGTAGTAAAATTTAATTTTTTAATTTAATCATTTATTTCAGGCAATATTTACAAAAAGATCTTAAATATGTAAAGGCCGGGGAGTCGTCATTTAGATTGTAAATGTTCGTGCGACGCCCCATTAAGACAGAAGTTTCAGTGTCTTTTCTAGCCGGTGAGTCTATTACATTTATATTTTTAAAATAATAATTATTATTTATAAAAATATATCTTTTTTATTTTACAACAATTAATTAATTAATTATTTTAAAATAATTATTATAAAAAATGAATATTTATTACCGTGGGGTGAAGGTGCATAAATTATATAAATGTGTGAATGAAAGAAAGAATGAGTGGAAGGGACAGAGTCACAGAGTGTATTGGGTCATGTGGTGCGTTGAATGAGAAAGTTTTAGTTTTAAACTTTAAAGGGGGATGCAAAATGCGAAGACTTAATGAACTATAGTAAAATTAATAAACATATTAAGGTGATTGTGAAGTGGTGGTAAATGTTGTTATTTTGAAAAACTTTCACTATGTGTCGAAGTCAAATCAGAAGATACTATATCCAAAAAGACTATTTATAAGCATTTTTGAATGATTATTTAATATCTGAGCATACTTCGGGTTCTTACTATATATGATTAAGACTTATGACTTGCATACAAAGATTTATTCATCTTAACCTGGGATAAGAGCTTACGATATACTGTGCACTTCAGCATCTGTTACATTTCTCGATCTAAATAGTCGGTTTAAAAATTATCGACGACGAATGGGCACTATTGTGAGTAGCCAAAATAATAAAAATCGATATTGACTTTGACAAGTCGCTATCACGCATCTTCGTCCTAACTCCTAACTGCCGAAATTCAAATGCTAGTTATTGTTTCATTGAGCGTCAAGTCAACACGTCAATTTAAATTTTAAAGTTGTTGGATAACTCAGTTTTATGAAAAACTTGCTTTACGTTAGTGTATTATTCTTTTTTATAGAATAATATATTAAGTGTTACGATTTAGATCTAATTTTAATTATTAATATAGTTTTGAAATTTGAACAGTGCTGACTGTTGAGACTAAAACACCTTTTAAATTAGTCAATGTTAAAGTTATTATTTAAAAAAGTTACTTCAAATATTATGTACAGCGAAACATTTTCTATTTCTTATGTAAAAAACATTCTTATGTAGTGTGTGTAATATATTAAGTATATCTCAAGTCAACCCTTAATATATCTATGTTTTGAGTTTTGACATAAGCAAGCAACAATTATAATGAAACTGATATGTGATAATATTTCATTAAATAATGATGTTACAATCTCGGACTCGTATTATTGTTGCATGAAAGAAAAGGAAGAAATAAAAACAATCTCAAAAATTAAAAATGTTTATTAGTGAGTATAAGCGTGTACGCGGCACAGCTGACTAGCGGTTTCCAAATAACATATCACATGATCCTTTCTTTACACACTTTCAGTATAAAACCAATTGATTTTTATATAAATACCTCCATAAACAATACTTTTACTTTTATAATTTAAATAATACATTAATAGATCTTACACAGAAATACTATGAGTTTAAAATAAATAAATTTAAATACACAAGAAGCAATTTCGGTATTCAAAAGTATTGTGCGAACATAAGCCCTACTCTAGCTTACTCTATGTCTATATACTTTTTAAATACCTACAATAAAATATTTACATTACTTGTATATAAGAATCATTGACTAGAAACCGTGTCTGGAAATTAAAATATAACAAATCCAATGAAATTTTATAAGTAGAGGAACATGACACTGCTAACATTTAACTCGCTACTTTACTGGAATGGACAGTTTCCATCTTTGGTAACATATTTGAACCTATGAATCTTAATTTTGACTCAATTTTTTATTCATTGGCTTTGCTTCTTAGATACCAAATGTTTGTTAGAATTTTATGTTACTATCAGATTTTGATTGAACGTTCGGAGATGCAAAGCTTGAGCTTAGCTTATTTATATGTGTTTTTATTTTTTTATTATTATTATATTTAGTATTCAGTACAATAAGAAGCACCTCACGCCCGCTCACGATGTATCTCCGGACGCACGACCCAATGGTTAATACTACAAGCTATCTAATATCACTGCTTCAACGAACATAGCATATGAAGCCAAAATAAAATTTCACTAAAAATAACAATGGTAAAATATACTCTTATAAAACATATGACAACCTAAATTGACTAAACAAACCAAAATTCGGGTAGAAAACAATACATTAGATACTCTAGTACGATTCAAATAATAAATATGAATAAAAGCAAGTCCGCAGACACTGGGGATTAATTATATAACTGTCAATGAGATCAATGTAGCCTTCCGACCGGAATTGTGACGAGCGCGAACCTTACAAATAACTACAAGAGGCTTATTTACATGAGCGCAGTGTTGCCAGCCGCTGGATCCTTGTAAATATACGAGGACAAGCTTTCAATTATTACTAAATAAATCGTAAATTGTTTCAAAAACTTGAATGATATTTAAAAAAAATTACATTTCGCGTAATTGAAGTTGTCTGGCAACACTGTCATATAAATTTATAGGTCTATCTATATTTTATATTAGACAGCATAACAAATAGTGAGCGAAGCGTCGAGCGAGTCCCAGCGGCCGTCAGTGCGCCGGCGGCGGGCAGCGGTCTCGCTCACATAATATCCTCGTCGTATAAAAATATCCTACACTTACACCGCTCTGCCACTCCACATTGCCCTGTGATATAGTTGCAGTCGTCGGATTCGAATAATTAATTAATCGTTCTTTAGGCAAGGTCGTCGGTCAGTGGTGGGTATGCCCGCTTACGAAATAAAATTCGCTTCACTGGTTCAATGTTAAAATACTAACAATTTTTTAACATTTTACAATATTTATCTTTAGTGGACTAAAATTGGACTATATCTGTAATTGATAACGTTTCCCGGCGACAGGGCGCCTACCGCACGCCGGCCGTGCCCAGGCGCGGGTGCGCGGAGGGCGCGCGCCGCGCGCTCATGCGCCTGCTCTCTGCTGCTACCTCCTTCTTAGACACTACGTCCATCGCCTGGAATAAATACATTTAAAATTTTAATCTTATTAATAATTTGATATCATCTCCAACTGCGGGAGATGATGTTGAGTGAAAGCATAGGTTTTCGAGGACAACCTACTTTTAGACCGGTATGTTAAAGAATGAAATTCGCACATGAAATCTCAAAGATTAAAAACTAAAAAATTGGATATGTTATACTTTGCTTTTATAACGAGTGCGCTACTGATACTATTATCTTGAAACGTGGCGTCGTCTCCGCGCGCCGTACCTTGGGGTGCGCCCGGGGCGGGCGGCGGCGGGCGGCGGCGGCGGCGGGCGGCACGTAGCGGCGCGCGGTGGGCGGCAGCGGCAGCGGGCGCAGCGCCAGCAGCGCGTGCGCGCGGCGGCGGGCGCGGCGCGCGGGCGCGCGGGCGGCGGGTCGGCGGCGTGCGCGGGCAGCTCCCAGGCGTCGGCGTCCTCGTTGTAGCGCAGGCGCAGCACGGTGGCGCGGCCCGCCTCGGGCACGAAGCTGTCGGCCAGCAGCAGGCGGCGCCGCAGCTCCGCGATGAGCGCCGCCTGCAGCGCCTCGTGCTCGCGGCGCTCCGCGTCGTGCGCCTCGCGCTGCTCCACCATCTCCTCGCGCAGGCACGTGTACTTCGATAGGCACTTCTTCAGTCTGCGGACAACTCGTCATACGTCACACGGTCGGCCGGTGCGTACACGCACTATACATGTACATATATATATATATACTAGCTGACCCGACAGACGTTATCCTGTCTACACCTCTTTAATTTGAAAATTTCAAACTTTTTTTAATAAGCTAAAACATTCTGGACCATTTTGATGAAAATTATTATTCAAATTGTGAATCTAAACCATTCTCAGATCCCCTTGAACACACACAAAAAATTTCATCAAAATCGGTCCAGTCGTTTGAGAGAAGTTCAGTGACATACACACTCACAGAAGAATTATATATATAAAGATTACGTATATATTTCTCGACATACCTCTGCGTCTTGTGGTCGACCTCCTGCTGCAGCGTTGCGAAGGTGTTGGTGACGATGGCGGTGGTCTCCTCCTCGAGGTCGATCTTCTGCTGCATTTCGACCTCGCGCTTCTTGCGCTCCGCGATCTCCATGTTGCGCTGCTCGAGGATGATCTGGGTCTCGTTGAGATTGTTGAGCAGGTCCTTGCCGCCGCCGCCCTGCACCAGGCGCTCCTCCAGCGCCCTGATCTGGTGCTCCAGCTCCTCGGTCTTGGTCTTCTCCTGCTCGATGGTGGACTCGGCGAGGCTGTGCTCGTGGTCGGCGGGCGCGGGCGCGGGCGCGGGCGCGGGGGCGCGCGGCGCGCGGGGGCGGGCGGCGCGCTTGCGGCGCTGCTCGATGAGCGCGCGCAGGCGCTCGATCTCCGCCTGGTACTCGCGCAGCTTGGCGTCCTTGGGGTCCTCGTTGCGCACCGGCTTGTTCTTTATCGCTGTCGAACATCGTTTAGTATAAGTACATTACTTTACAACACTTCTCAGTTTAAGCTTTGTAAAATATAAAACTTAATTTTAAGAATTTTACCTTTAGCCCTGTGCGCGTATCGCAGCGTGGTGATGGTCTCGTCGTAGTTGTACGAGGCCGGGCCGATGTTTGCGATCATGATGGTCTTGCTGTTGCCGCCCAGCGAGTCCTGCAGTATGCGAGTCAGCTTCGAGTCTCTGAAAATATACGATTTTACAAATATTAAACTAATGGCATTCACTTAATACAAGTACATGATATCAACATGGATTATAACTTAGAGCATAGTTTTAAAAGCGACATATATTAACACAACTGAATTTTCCATGCATAATTTTAATGTGCATACCAAAATTAATGGTTACCGGCAAACATTGCGGTCATGCGTCGTGAGTTCGATTTCCACAGGGCACAATTGATCGTTTGGCCAAAATGTTTGTTCTACGATAAATAATTAATAAAATGTATGTGTATGTATTAATAAAATGGTATGCAAAAAATACCTTTCTCAGGCGTTCTTGTTCATTCTATAATAATAATTTAACTGTTGTTGATATTTTTCCGTGTAAACTAAGTACCTATGTATAAAAAGCAAGTGTTTCATATAATATTCTAACTATGGGCTTTTATTGTTTATTGTTTGTAGTATGATCATATTATTAACATTTATTTGTTACTATTAGTATACCTAACTGCTTTCTATATTTTGCCAGTAAGTATAAACCAATCAATGTTGTTTTAGTTTTTCGGAAATTTTGTATAAACTTATTTATTTTTAAATCTTGTATATGACATATGTATTTTTGTTTCTCCTTTAGTAGTTTCAATTTAGTTTTACTTAATATTTTTATTCAATTAGTTTCACTTGTTATTTTTAAAACATACTTATTTAGCATCCGTCACTTTTGATGACAAATCAGTTCATTTGTAATAATTTAGGGTAATATAGGTCTAATTGTATTCTTACTGTTTTAGGTTTTTTGTATACGACTGTTTTTACCTGAATAAATAAATAAATAGTATCAATCAAATAAATATAAATACTGAGTAGCAGACCAGCAGTAGATACTGTAAGGCGCGAGAGTGCGGCGTACCTGTAAGGCACGTGCGGGCTGTTCTCGGCGAGCGCGGAGATGACGTTCCCGAGCGAGGAGAGCGCCTGGTTGATGCGCGCCGCCTCGCGCAGGCGCTCGCCGCCCGCGCCCGTCTTGCGCTGCCGCTCGCTGCCCGCCAGGTCCACCAGGTTCAGCTTGCCCACGCTGCGGCGCCGCACACCGCGTTAGTTACACTTATGATGTTGTCATTACTCCCCCCTCCCCCACCAATGTCAGAAAGCATATGTTAGAGATAATTTAATATTTATTGACTATTAACTGCCTGCGTCTCCGCTCGTGTTTACTATCAGCGCGCAAAGCCAACTCCAGCTTTATTATTTGAAATAAAACTATCGGCTTTTAATTCAGACTGATTGATGTCTGTACAATAAAAAAACACACGCACACACACACCAGAACAAACAGACAAACAAATATTGCACAAGTTAAACCTCGCTACAATCTCCAAGTAGGTACTTGCTATTACTTAAATCTTGATTCGTAAAGGATGTGATACCAGGTTAAGTACATTTCAATCAGATCCCCTACACTCTACAGTGTAGGTTCACGTTCTCGTCCAACGGAAACGCACATCGAGGCTGAGCCTGCGAGCGCACTCCTATTAGCACTTCCGGAGCGGACCGTGTTACTATTATCGCTTACCAAGTTGCTGTAGAATCCTACGTGACCCATATATTTTAAACAATACAAGTATAATAATATGTAAATTGTATAAAATTAGGTGAGAACTGAGAAACAACATAGTCTATAAATCATGTTTTTATTACATATAAAACAATAGCAAAATAAGTACCTAATGTATATTAATAATAAACCTACCTACCTACACGTTGGAATAAGTAAATTTAGAAATCCGAAATTGTTATAAGAAATACCCTCGAGACTTTTTGTAATATACCTACTAGTATGTAAACCATGAGAAAGGCGACGGTAGCCCAGTGGTAACGGGCTCGCTTGGGAAACCGAGTGAAGCGGGTTCAAATACCGGGTCTCGCACTTCTGATATTTTCTTGTGCGAATCATTTGCAACATGATTACCTGCTACTTGTCTCATTGGCCTGATCCCCCTCTTATTGAAGGGAGGCCCGTACTCAGCAGTGGGACGTTAAAAAAGGGCTGAATACAAACCACGAGAATCACTTGAAATATGGCGATTTGTAACCTACAGTAGCTCCTCCAGCCGTCGCTGCGAGACGGTCAAATCAAAAAAAAATACACTCATTGCATTATACATCAGCATAAGAGGTGACATTAGTAAGTTATTCGGTATTTGATTTGATACTATTTTTTACAACTTTTATTGTAACAGTCACGCGAGCCGCAGGTAGGTACCGCGTACCTGCGAGCGGGTACTACCTTACTGTTTAGTTTTTAATGCACTGGTGTCTGGTACTGCGAGTGTACACGCACTATTCAGAGCGGAACGCTATATATTTGTTAATATTATACACTCGCAAAAAATAAAGTCTCATTAGTGTAAACATCCGGAATGCGTTTTTATGCAATGCAATGAAGATTTCCCCAAACTATCACCTACGTACTAAAGTTGAAATTTATTAGAAGTATGCACTATATGCAGTGGTCCGTGGTCGGTGCAGTTTAGTATGTTTTTTAATCAAAATGCGTAAAAATACATAACTAAAAGACTATTTGTACGTATTCATATACAATTATATAGGCTCTATTTTATCTACGAGGTTCCAAAAATTATTTAAAAAAAAGCTTGAGTACCTCTAAAAGTAAGTATCTAGTAATTTTATAACTTACATATAGGTAGATGTGTGTACAAAGATATAGTGTAAAAGGCTAATGATCATGTTGAGGTTGCGCACTAAACAACAAATCGCACGCGCTACTCAAAGACAAAGAATAATATTTTCAATATTATGCTGACTAATAGACTATCTTAGAAACCCAACTTTTCTCAAATTGACTTTAACATTTTAAACTACGCATTTAATAACTATGTAAATAATATACGTACCTATATTTTTGTATTCCTTTAAACAAGCCTTATTGTTAAGGTAATGTATCGTATATGGTACTTATACAGTAAAAGGACTTGGTCAGACGGATTGACCATACACGCAAAAGATTCTAAATTTAATGAAATAATCTTATATATAAAATTTCCATGTCACAATGTTTGTTACCGTACTCCTCCGAAACGGCTTTACCGATTTTTACCAAATTTTATATGCGTATTCAGTAGGTCTGAGAATCGGCTACTATCTATTTTCCATACCCCTAAGTGATAAGGATAAGGGTGGTCCTCCCAGCCCCCACCCCAGGGACGAACCCGAGCGGAGCGAGGATGAGTCGCTAGTATTGTATATTAAATAAAGCTGCTCCCTCCACGACCGCAGACTCGCCGGCGTTAAAGTTAACAAAAGATTTCTTAGAAATTTACCTGGAGGTGTTAAGTTACTATGTAACATTGACGCTGTAAAACTATATACGGGCAAGTTACGTTTTCGTAAACGAAGACAATGATGATTGATGGATGACGCGCAAAACTTAACTTTGTCGCGTATATAATTTAGCGCGATGTGTGCTCTATCGCCGTGCGCATTGCTCGCATGTACGAGTACTTACTTCACGTTATACACCCAGCGACATAGTTCCATTACGACCGTGTAATATTTGTTTATATGGAACTAGTGAGACGCCCTCATTTCTAACTCTACTCCGCGCGCCCTAAGTACAATTTTACTAATCTCTCATTAAACTAATCGATAGACGAAAATAAATATTATGTTTGTATCAACTCCGATACGCCAAGTATCTCTATGAAAAATAATTACTTTCATCAGTTGCCGAGTCAACCTCGAAAGGAAGATAAACCGACAACCAAACGTTCTCATTTGTAATAAGTAGATATTGCCAAAGGATTTCTTTTGAGCTAAAGGCCGTGATTTAAATTTTTCAAGAGTAGCTAAAAGCATAAGCAACTCGCATAAGTACCATAAATAATAATCCTTTCTAATAAAGAGTTCTTAATAACTAGAAAGAACTGAACATACGGTGAGGAAAAAATGTCATATAAGCACGAGTATTAGATATGAATGTGGATAGATAGATATATCTGTAGAATTAGACCGTAAGATCGTAGAAGCTACGAATGAATGTGAAAGGGAGGATACGTGTGTGAAAGGTGTGTGTGCTTGATGATGAGATGACGGCCTATAGAGGGAAGTGGAAGAAGGCAACATTGTGCTGATCACAAGGGGCGTGAGAGAAAAAGTAAAAAGAGGGAAAAAACCTTCAAACGTAACTAATACTGAACGGAACGGACGAACCGAGCGGAGCGAGGGTGAGTCGCTAGTTAAAATTAACAAATACCACAATTTATGAAATATATTGCAATTAGCCTTAGGTAATTTTGAATGCCTAATACTTATCTACAAACATACAAATTCGTCCCTATCGCCCAGGAACTTCTTTCGTTTATTATATACGAGTATTAACCGATTCAACTAAAATTTTAAACACTAAAATTTTATATATTTATTAAGCAATTACCATATTATTCCGAATCTTATTTATTGTCGATGTCATCATAAATTATAACATATTCAATGCCAAATAATACAAATACAGCCTAAAATAAACTACTAAGTCTCCTTCGTAGGTATCTACAGATATGACTACATCAAGTTGTATAAAAAAAATATGTATACAATGCAAGCAATTACTATTAAAAGTGTCAAAATTCGCACATACAATTTAAATAATCACATATAGCTCTTGTATGAGTAATGTTAACAACGCGCGTGCGTCCTCGGTTTGTTTATGTTCATACAAATATTTTATGATTTTTATGTTGTGTTTACTCAACACGTTTACTTTCCGCCTCAATGGTCCCTCGGTCAACAGCGTTTATGAAGTTACGATTGTTTACGACAGGTACCTCGTACCCACTCATTGTAAGTCAATATAGCACCGGCTGTGCTCGGAAGCGATGCTTCATCGAAGTCGTCGTGATTTAATCAATAACTTGTAAGACATAATTTAATCATGACATTAATTATGTATTGCGAATGCATTTATATAAAAAAAGCGAACTCTATTAATTTCCTTAATTTTAGTGCTAAATTATACATAGATATATACTGCTGTGTTGTTTTATGCAATATACATAAATATAAGCGCAGTGTGCATGTCGTAGACCAATAAATTACAATACTTTATAATAAAATTAATTTTATATAATATACTACTACCACGGTAATGTTATACAACATTACCGTGCTACTACATGTACTAGCAAATTATTATTGGTTATTATAACTTCTTTCATATACCTACATATGTAAAAAAGCTGCACGAAGAAAGAGAAACCGGCGTCGTACCATTATTTTTATGGTCAGCAAAGAATACAATATTAATGTTGCGATTGCGAGAATATAATCGAACAGATGTTGTAGACGAGCGGTGAGGACTGAGGATGTGTCGCTTATGTCATTCTCATTGGTTTACTACAATACAGTGTTCAGTGGGTGCGTGCTCCCACATGGCACAGACTGAGACAGGCCTCGGCGAGCAGCGTGACAGTGACGACTGACGCGATGCCGGAGGGTCAATGAAGTCCCACGCGAGCTTGAAACTCATCATTCTTGTTCTCATTGATAAATAATATGATTACGCCCTTGAATTAAGCTGCATTTGGCAGTTCTTTGATACAGATATGACTCCATTATTACAATTTAATAATAGGTACGTATACTAAATTTGAACACCATCTTTAATAATTTCTAGGCATTTCATAATTTGTCAAAAATAAGGTCATCAATAAAAATACGCCGTATTTACTAATTCTAATACCTGTATCAATACATTTATCGATTTATTAATTTGTCTTATCCGCTGACCTTAAGATATCAATTTAAATAGTAGCTATTAACAAAATATAATATTATAAATGTTTTGTTATCGCAGGTTTCCAGTCGGTAGTAATGATATCGTCACATGTGTATTTATCTCAGGATTAAGTCGTAATTTACAAACGTCATTACAAATAAATTCATGAACAATATTTCTGTTCCGATGCTGACAGAGGCTGCTATGAAACGCGGCATATTATCAGTTAAAAGGCAGGTAAAAGTGACTCGAAGTGCTTTTAATAAACAAGAATGTTAAAACTTTCTTCGCCTATATTTATTTTGTTTGTGCTACGGCGACTCTGTATTGATGTCTGCGAAGACTTCGCACCTCACCGTGATGCACAACGCGCCTATGTTTAATGTTACTATAAAATCTTATTTCAAAGAATGCTAAATCTTACAATGAAATGAGGTATACTTTGATTTACTCGTCAATTTCTAATATTCCTAAATGTTAATCAGTTCAATAAGAAGTCCAATTATAATATTCTAGAAACTTTTTCCTTTAAACGTTAATAAAGTTGTAAAACGCTTCGTGAAAAACAGCAACCTTCACGCACGACCGACCTTCCTGATTGCGCGCCTGAAAAACGCCGAAAACTTTCTACCAGTCATGGCATTGGCTGGCTTGAGCAGAACGAAGAACCTAACATACATACGTTGTGTGTTAATTGTCGACACACTGACATACATACTCAGGCCATAAAATATCCAAGTGAGGTGAGAAAATACCTTAAAAGTTGTGCAATCTCGATCCCTTGTAACGAGATCAATAAAATTGCAAACGTAAAATCGTTAACACTTAACATGGCAAATGTTGTGTGTAATTACACTGACCTATATGAGCAAAAATAATTCCATTTGACTTAATTGAAGCTCTACTCAGGGATTACTGACAAAAGCGACTTCAGACGCAGTGTCATAACATATTTTCTTACCCTGTTAGGTCTTTAGTCGTGCTAACCTGAAGTTCGATACTTGAGGACAATACTCTCCGCTTGATAAGAATGCTGGTTTTAGGACGTACTTATTATGAGTTTAGTTTTACCAGGTTGCATTGATTTCAAATATTATACAATATTTGTTATAGCGATGTTCTGATTAAATTTTTGAATCTTAATTAATAATATACTTTATATAATAATTATTCTGCCGCAAAATGGACATTAAATTAAAAAAAATATTATTTAATATTATTCTCTAATACCTACGTAAAAATCAGACGAATTAAAATCATCTTTCCTCAATTCGGTTAACAAGTTTTGCCTAAATTCCGTCTCACGTACATAACAAAGATTAAAGCGTGCATACCTATTCATATTTGTCACTTCCAGTCCACAGTCCATCTAAAAGTTAGTGTATTTTTGCACGTTAAGTTTTGTTTGGTGCTATATCATAATATAATCACCGAGTCCAATGTTAATGTCATCTCATTATAATCATCATAATTATGTAAATAATAACGTGTAGTAAGTGAGCTTAATTATACTTGAAAGACTTGCTTCATTTATCCTAACGTCAATATAATTGCATCACTTAGCTTAAGGTCAAGCACCAGTTTAACGATTACCGTTTAGCGCCAATAACCTTTTTGATAACTCGCAAAATTTTTTGGAAGGTTCTATTTTGTCCTTTTGTTAAAGATTGCAAAATTTATTTTGAGTGAATCAAGAACGCTATATTTTTCCATTTTAAATAGAGATTACATCTAACAGGCTTCACTGTATCGCATATTATCGAGGAAAAGCTATTTAGATCAGCTTCTGTGAAACCGTAGTCGGAAGGTTGCTGAGCCGCGGTTACATAATGAGTTGATCCATTATTAAAAATTATAGATTGTTAGATATTTATTTGTTATCACAGGCAAGTGACCGCAATAGAGGGATACAGTCATATGTAGGCATTACGTCAGTGGTGTGGGCCGGAGCAGCCGGAGCGGGCAGTTATAGATGGGGTTAATGGAGGACAAGGGCAAGGGCAAATCACGTTATTGTACAAGTGTTCTGTGAATATTCGTAAGTGGGTCAGATAAGCAATAGTAGTGTTAAAAAAGTTGTTACATTAAATGTCACCTTGTTTTTTTGTAATCAGGGTCCTTTTAGAATTTTTATTTCAAGGCGATACATTAAATTTGCGGATTTACAGTTTGACCTGCTGTGTTCGTCGTGCTGTAAACACATTAATTTTAACGTAATTACTTAATCTTATACTTTATTTTTTTAATTCACTTTATACTCATGTGTTCAGATTTAATTACGGCTATAGTGTATTGTTTTTACCTCATCCAGAAACGATAGTTATCGAAGCAGCAATGCGACCACATCACAACACACAACACTGTCCGGATCAAAACAAACCCGCCATCTTTCAGATGCAAAGTGTAACACGTATCATAGGAGCGAAGGCCGCCAGCTCGTCCGCCCGCGGCAGGATCGCATCCACTAGTGCCGACCGCCGCGGACGGAGGACGGCCGACATACCGATCAATTATTATAGGACATCTTATTAATTACTAACGAAAAGATGATTTTCGACATTACAATAATATAACAGAGTAATTGTATAAATAGGTAAAAACGCATATAATATGTACATTGTACATACTCGTATGTGCATATTCTAAGAATTCACGTTATTTTAAAATAAAATCTTCCACTGAAGCGATTGATAATATCGTCGAAAGAGGCATGTTTGCATTTAAAAATTGAAAGTTAACACTTGGCGCGAGTAAAATCGAGTGCAGAGTGTCCAGCTCAGCGAGTCGAGCGGCGCAGACTCGCTCAATATGTTTCACTTTCCTGGGCGCCGCGCCGCCTTCGTTTGGCAACCTCGCGCGGGGTGAGATGGATGGATCTTTATATTTTACATTCTTGAGAGATTTCCGGTGAAATAATTTCGCTAAAGCTACTAAGTTCATTTTCCATCTTATTCACCAAAAGCAAATTCTTTTGTCATGTTTGTGTTGCGAAAAGCTCTAACGTTTAAGCTCATAATAAAATATATTGTATGAAATTTTAAGTCATCTTTCTCATCGTCTATATTTTAAAATGTTTTTATAGTGAAAAATATTGAAAAAAAATCTAAAAAACTATTACTAAATGAGAATCAATCAGTAACAAGCCAAGCGGTCGAGTTCACCAACCATAAGGATTAACATAGAGTGTATTTCGTGCAGATATTGAAGTGGCAGAGATAGGCTCGCGCGCGTCATCGCTCCAGCGCTACTGACCGGCGCGTCATCAGTTCATTAAATAGACAATGAACATCACCAAGATGCATATATGAACATTGACCTAATTTTCTTAAACGGTATTATTCATACACTTGAATTTCGCAGCTTAAAGCATGTAATGTGCTTATAAATACCATTCGCGTAGAATCACTAAAAAATCATCTTAGAATTTCCCTTCGACCGTTGTTGTATCAAACGCGCAGAGCACTTTGCCGTGGCCCTCAGTCTGAGCCCAAGTTTGTTCACAAATTGCAAAATTTATTTATTTATTTGGGAAACATACAATGAGATGGTACTTATAAGATTCTCGTAAACTGTAAATAGCATTATTTTGTTCGGTGCTAAGCATCGTATGTATTCTCTTTGAATAGTTAGCGACATAAGCCATAGGCTATAGATACCTCTTAACACTAGGATATTTTATACGCGAGAAATCGTTCAAAAGCCTCACTCACCCTTTGTACGCACTGTAAGTGAAGCTAGTTTGAATCATAACAGACAGTGGGGACACTGACTCCCGCAGACGCTTTAATTTGTTAAACGTTCATGCAGATATTGAAAATATACGAAGCACCTATTTTAAATTATAAGGCCTTTACTTTATAAAATACATATGCATTGATTAATTTTCTCCTTTCCTATTAAAAATGTATGTTTTAGACTTTTACTAACTACCTATGTACTTTAAAAAATCTATACATATAATAAAATTCTGAGTCGAATCTGTACATTAAATATTTTTTGGAAAATCTTATTGAAATAGGCATTATTATCGATACAGAGGCCGAATATATACATAGTTTTTAGAATTCTTGTCTGTCAAAATATAAAAAGATATTAGTAATACTATTCCCTTTGTTGAACTATTATTGTTCCTTTTTGCTAAACTGTAGATGATTACGAATAGAATCGTGAGTAAGCACATATTAGGGAAAAAATGGACATACCTATTATTATCTTTGTAAAGTTTTTTCTACTATTAATTATTAGCACAAAACCCAACAAATTGGACGCGACAGCAGGAACCTGTTAAAAGGATACAATCACTTTTTTATAATAATGTATCCGTGTAAAAGAAATTGTTAGTTGATACAATTTTTGGAAACATAATGAAAAAGCTATTATAAGATTGCAATCACGAAGATATAGCCACGTATTGTTCTGATAGCTGTATCTATGTATTCTATGGAGTCAGAAACCTTGGTCGCGCCGCAAATGATTCAAAACATCTACATTATAATATATAAAAAACATTCAATACAATTTATTCTGCAAGAGTTAGTAGTCATTGGTTAGGAAACGACTTTTTGACGACGACGAGATTTTTCCTCATACAAAATACAATTAAATTATTAATTATTATTTAATAATGGTTCATAGAACGTAATATGTTACTTCAAGAGAGACATAGTATGATATTTAAATATTCTCTTACATAGTATGTCGAGTTGTTTCATAAATAAAGTCCTTATGGTTCAACGATAAAAGGACAAAGGGTAAAAAACGCGAGTAACAATGGGAAACAAAAGTCTTGCGGCGCGCAGACCGGTGAGTAACCCTGGACTCCGGCGCGCCGCGCGGCGTCAATCAGCCGCCCGGTAATTAGATATTAAACAGTTTAATCTTTAATACAACAACACATGCATCATCTCATATTTGTTTAGTGCTTAGGGACACTCGCACGATATTCTTAATTTGATTTAAATGTCTTAAATAAGTTTCGCAAACGTTCATTTAATTTTTTGCAGACTTATTCCCGCTTCGCAGTTTGCCGATATGAACAGTTATTGCGAGTGTACCTTAGGAGAAAGACTTATGCTATTGCAGATTTTTTTGTAGGCCTTATTAATACCTACATTTTTTTAGTACATTGTTTAGATGTATCTCTTAAGTTTTAGCCAGCGTTAGACATGTTTTCTAAGAATGACTCTATAGAACCAGTTATTGTGTTTTCCCGCGGGAATGATTTATTTTCCTACAGTAAAAGGTATCCCAAGTAGTAAGTTGGCACTACACAAAATGTAGTAAAAATAGGTTTAGTACTTTTTGCGTGAAACGCGCATATCGATATTAGATTTGCTTTGCATCGGCTGGCACCGACTTCGAAAATATCTGATTAGGTATCTATTCTAAACGAAAACCTCCGTTTAGTTATTTTACAGAAGTCGGTTTTTATTTTTTGTTAAAAAGTTTTTATTATACTTATATACGATATCTTTGTCGGTTGTTAACAATAATTGTTTTAAGGATTTTTGGATCTATTGAATAAGCTATGCGTCGAAGGTGGCCCTATTTATCTATTTTTGTGGTTTGGTTCTTAGGGTTTCATAAATCCGATATAATAACGGAACCAAAATCAGTCGTGTCTGTCCACCTATCTGTTCCTCTGTTACAGCCAATTTTCATTGAATGTACCAGACACTTTTTGCTGTTTTTCTCCAGTTCTTCTAAGGACTAAGGATTTATCTTATCAAACTGTGGTTTAAATAATTGTAGTAATGTTATGTAGGTATAGTATATTGGATTGAAAAATAAAAATTTGTTATTCGAACATAATATAAATATGTTGCTTGCTAATGGCGCGTGTGTTATATGTGTGTGTGTGTGTGCGTGTTTGCGTCACCGACCGTATCCTGTTGGTGGTGCGGTGCGCGGTCTCGACGGTGACGAGGAACACGGCGTGGCTGCGCGAGGAGTGCTCGTTCATGTCGGTGCGGGCGGCCGCGCGGTTGCGGTTGCCGGCGCGCATCGCCCGCACCATCTCCGCCGCCGACTTGCACACCACCGATGTCATCTCCGGGATGTAGAACCCGTTCAGCTCCTATGTTCCAAAACAACCAGTATTCAGTGTTAATTTCTAAGTGCCAATTCTAGATTTATTTTCATTATAATATATCTAAACATATAATAAAATTCTAACAAGTCGAATCTGCACATTAAATATTTTTTGGAAAATCTTATTGCAATAGACATTATTATCGATACAGAGGCCGAATCAATAGTTTTTAGAATTTTTGTCGGTCTGTCTGTCTGTTACCGCAACGCGGAAAACCACTGGAGGCATTTTGATGAAATTTGGTATGGTGATAGCTGATCATCCCGGTCAACATATAGGATACTTTTTACCGCGGGAAAATATCTCATTTCTGAGAAAAAATACAAAAACTGTAATGTAAAAGTATACTTATATGTATGCAAAACCTAAGAATTTGGTTTTTGGTCACCTGACGCGGGCGGAACCGCGGGTAATGCTAGTAGGTAAATAAACATCAGAAAAAGGTTATTTAAATAAAAACTTTTTAACAAAAAAATAAAAACCGACTTCAAACAAAAGCACTAAAAAGTAAAAAATAACTGATTGGTAGTTTTCATTTACTATACATACCTAATCAAATATTTTCTTTGTATGGGCTGGCAACGATTTCGAAAATATTCGATTAGGTATGTATTTAATAGGTAGGCTTTAATTACTTAGCCAAAGCACACCGACTTCGAAAATATTTGATTAGGTACGTATAGTAAATGAAAACTACCAATCAGTTATTTTTTACTTTTTAGTGCTTTTGTTTGAAGTCGGTTTTTATTTTTTTGTTAAAAAGTTTTTATTTTTCCCTTTTTAGTGTAGACAGTAGTAGCAAAGTAAGAATTCTAACGTGTTAGGCTTGTCAAATCAAACAAAATAAGCCCAAACTCAAAGTATCTACTATTAGCCGTTGAAGAGTTCCACCTATCCACCTTCTGGCCTTACCATCAGATCAGGTCAACAATACCGAACCACTGTACTATCAATGGAAATAGAAACACTTGCAAAGTTTCAAGTCAATATGACAATAAGAAGTAGGTTAAATTCATCATTAGCTATTTTTCCACCCTTAGGGGTGGTATTTTTTTTTTAAATTTAAATGGGACCAATCTGGAAGTATACACTTTCAAACAACATAAAAATTGTCCAAATCGGTCAATAAATGACGGAGTTCTGAGGTAACAAACATAAAAAAAAAAAAAACAAAAAAAAATACAGTCGAATTGAGAACCTCCTCCTTTTTGAAGTCGGTTGAAAAAGGCTTATTTCTGACATACGAGTACATATGACTCGCATACGTATTTTTTTTCGCTTTATATGGTGTACTAGGTACTATGTCGTAATGCATACGATTTTGTTCCGCAGAAAAGAGCTATTTTGCATAAAAGTCCAATTTATAACATCATCTAGGTTCTAGATTATCTTTAATATACAGATTTAAGATAATTAGAATAAGGTTACTACTCAATACGTGTAGGAAAATATTATATATTATTATTTGTATTCTCAAAAATATTTATAAATTCCCTAAAAAATATAACATGCGACATTAACGCAAACCAATACTTTATATACCTAATGCCTAGGATTCGATTACACAGAGTCAGCAATTTCTTTTGTGAACGTACATATTTATAAATAGCAATAGGATCATAGAAAATGTTCAAAGTTTCTATTAGGTTTTAAAAAGTGGGGAATGTTATTTGAATAAAGGCTTATTACACATTAAATCATTTTCTGGAACATAGCACTGAGCACACTCTAGAAAAACAAAAACAAATCTATACCACGGGAACAAACCGGTAAGAACTAAGATTTTATTTTTATACTAAAAAAAGAATAAAATGGATATCACATCTATACCTACTAATATTATAAATATGAAAGTTTGTGAGTATGGATGTTTGTTACTTCTTCACGCTAGAACGGCTGAAGGGATCTGGATGAAATTTGGCACAGAGACTGATTACAGTCTGGAACACAAGACACACAAACACAGAGGCTACTTTTTATCCCGGAAAAAATGTACGGTTCCCGTGGGATAGGTTTGTTTATGTTTTCCTACAGGTAAACCCGAGCGAAGCGAGGGTGAGCCCCTAGTATATTATAGTTTCGCTGAGTTTCTTTAAGCAGTTCTTCTCAGACTTGAGGCATTTTTAACATTCAATAAGTATATTCCGTTATTAATTATTATATATTTTTATATAATATTTAGCAAAGAATTTTAATTTGAGTTTCGTTCTATTTGTATTCAGATCACTGCTGGGCACGGGCCTCCCTTCAATACGAGTGGAATCAGTCCATAGTCCACCACGCTGACTATACATGTCTTTCAAAAACTTACTAAGTTGTCTCAGACATGCAGTTTTCCTCACTATGTTTTCCTTCGCCGCAAGGCAAGTGGTAATCACGTCGAAAATAATTCGCACTTGAAAATATCAGAGGCGCGAGATCCGGGATTGGAACCCGCTTCACTCGGTTTCCCAAATAAGCGCGTTAACACTGCCCACGTTCGTCGTCCTATTTATTAACTTTATATTTACAATAGGAAAAACGGTCTATCAAGTTCATATTCAGAGACACGATAACGATAGTACATATATCTGTAATCTGTATTTATAAGTATTAGAATAAGTGCCTGATTGTTTATAAACTGGTTACGCTTGAGTTGCCGCAACTAGCAAACTAATAAAAGCTAATTAGCGCGCGTCACAATCCTGTAAGTGTTTAGGTATTTATCGAACACATTAAGTCTTTATTTATAAGCAAACACTTACTGCATACGACTCACTTTACATAACATCTTAAATCTTAATACATTAACTAAAGTATTACTTACAAGTATTGAAGAGTTCTGCTTGAATCTATAGCGACGATTGAATACTTTATCTATTAAGTATCTTTAATAATTAATCAGCTCACTCAACGAGCACAAGGACGGAGGAAATAATACCTTTTTTGGACAAATCAACATTAATCAGTGCTCGTTTACATATAAGCGTGTCTAGATTTGCATTTCAATGAATATGCACTATACTTAAGGAGGGAGCTCATGGAAATTACAAAGTATTTTAGTATCACCTTGATCTTAGATCTTAAGTATACGCTTTGTTTTCACAAAACTAAGCATCGTACAACCTTGTAAGAATAGTAATCTTAGAGGAATTGCATAAACCCGCAACCGTAAAATTGATGTAACGCGTTTGTATCAAGTTTTGCACAAATGAGCGGCCGCACGCGCTCGCGAGACGAGCATTAGCCCAAATACTACTTAATGGACTCCGAGAGTTCGAGTCTTCGTTGCGGCGCACTCGGCACTACATTATAAAATGCTAACTGAAGTGTTCCGATCACTTTGTACTATGCTTTGCTTGATGTGTGTTAGAGTGTGTCGCCACATTATTAATCTTCAATTCCTTTTTTTAAAGAGACTTCAAATGCGCTAACGTTATCGATTCGGTTTGTTGTAAATGTAATGATAGGCGTACTGAATGTATGTTTCGTTCTGAGGTACAACACACAATAATCGTTTAGAATACGAGTGAAGTGCCTACTTAAAGGTATATTAGGACATCTTACGACATTTTAGAAATGAAGTAACATGAAATGATTCTGCGGCGCGGGCCGCGGCGAGTTGCGGACGGACAGGTGATTGTACGTATTCAGTGGTTCATGTTTAATGCAATAAATGAAAAGCGAAGATTAGTGTGTAATTATTTTAGCTAAATTACGCTTTCATTAGCACCACACGCGTAGTACGCGAGATAATTGCGACTGCGAGCATGTGCCGGCGTGTTAGCTGTAATAGATGTTTCTACTACTAGACGTTGCGTGTTACGTGGTGTTACACCGAGGCAGGACACCCCGTGACCCCGCGCTGGCCGCGCACTGGGCCCCATAGTTTACATCTATTCATATTTAGAAAATTAATCAATTTATTTTTTTAATCTACAACTAACAGCATAATATTATCATGTATTGAATGCAGTGTTCAAATATTTTTTTTTTGGACATTGTTTTTATATAAATTAAATGTTTTGATATGTACCTCATGTAATTATTTTTCAAAATTTATCCAATTACTAACAACTTCAACATATTAGAAACATTGATTTCAATTTAATGAGATGATTTAAATAGAAAATTGAAACGCGAGATTTTCAGACAATGGTTGTCTTCTTTACCGTTATATTGTTAGGAAACATTTACTTATGTTTGCTGTTTTTCAGCGATATAATTAGCGCGGTTAATTTACTTCCTAACAGAAACGAATAAACTTAAATTGTGAAGGATTGTTGAAGGTCAATATCGCCACTATAAAGTATAAATACAATAAGCGATAGCAATGCAATACTTAGTGAGTTTTTTGCTTTGCAAGTCATGAAATCCTCGAAATCTCTCGAGTTTTCTTTTATATTTCTTATAAACTACAATAAATTATAAATGTTTAGTGGAACATTAATTGTGCATAACATTGTCGACAGTATTAATCTTTTGTTGCTATAGAAAAATGTGATTTTCGCAATAATGTTTACTGTCCGACGCGCGCGCCAGTAATCATCGGCTTTTTATAATTTAGTTATTCCCTATTGGCTAGTTCATGTAGTTTTACAACCGCAGCGCACGTCGGATAAAAATAAAGCACAATGTCACAGTTCACAGTCGCTCGTACACTGTAGTCTGTACGTACACTTAGGAGGAAAATTGAAACCGTTAGGATTACTACGTTATCATGTGTAGTACATATTAGTTTACGGGCACATTTTTTGCGAAGCAAAAATCGTTTGTGAATGAATTAACTAACATTGTTTGCAAATTAATTCATAATTTGTATCCAAATTTGAATCACAATCGAGGTACCGAGTTGGATCGGGGCCAGAGAGCGAGCATTCGAATTAGTGAAGTACAAAGAGAACTAGAATCAAAAATCTGCGAGCGTTACGCGTATCTTTAGAAATTATCTTCGCCGATATCGCACAATCGATTCGTTATCAAAACATTATAGCTGAATATAGCGCGTAAGCATAAGTTGTAAGGACAAATGTACGAGTATGTACATAATACGTTTGAAACATGCGACGTAAACGTCGCGCCTCATTCTTGCCGCAAAAGTGATGCATTCAGCATTGTGATATGTTATCATTTATCAAAATACACAATAATTGCAATAATAAACTGTACTTCGCTCATTTACCTACCTAAATATTAAAATACATATATATCTATATGGAAATTTTAAACTGAGATTTTTTCTTTTTCCAACCCCTTTTTAAGATGAAACTCGCTAAACATAAAATAGCTAAAGCATTTTGCTGAATTACGTAAATAGCATCATGCCACATTTTTGAGCTGCAGAACTATTATACGTTGGCAGAGTCCCAATCCTGAGAAAAACCATAGCTTTGCATCGACTTTTGTATTCGTATTTCGTATATGAAAAAAGTAAAAACAAGTGAAGTAAATTGTAAATATAGTACGTAGTTGAGAGCGAAGTGTGTCTCGTGGCCGAGCTAATAGTTTGAATTTCACACTCCGATATCCGCGGCCCGCGCGCGACACACGCGTAGTTACACAAGCTGTATGCAGCCTGTAAGGTTTCGCTAGCACAAAGCCTCGCCGCGGAGGGCAGGTTGCATCACTGTTGACTATTTACTGTGACGAGGAAGTGGTTATCACCAAGCTCTGTATTTGGCGTTTGTTTTGGTTTGTCGTCCCACTTAGCGTACAGATAACTTCCAATTAGATCTTTAGCCTTACACTTCCTATGTTTTATTTTCGTAGTATAGACAAGCAGTACGCCACTACAGACAAATCATATCATATCAAAAAGATAATCAAAAAAGTCATAAGCATTAAAAATGTATGTGATAGAGAAAATATAATAAAAATGTTTTATAAAATAGCCAATTATTATTTTTAAGTTAAGGATACGTACTAATTTTAAACGCTTATTATCAATACTTAAACTGTTAAAAGGAACACTAACCTGCCCTCTAATTGTGAGCTTCTTGCAGTCTTTCGAGAGCAGATCTCTGACATCTTCGAGATAGAGCTCCACATAGGAGCAGGACACTAGGTGCGTGATGTCGGGCGAGGCGTTGTTCTCTATGTGCGTCCAGATGTGCCGGAAGGCGCGCGGGATGATGCCCTCGTGGTCCGGCGTGCCCTCCATCGTGTGCGTCTTGCCCGTGCCCGTCTGTCCGTACGCGAACACGCAGCCATTGAACCCGTCCAGAACGGACGCGACCAGTGGTCGTACCTGTGCATTGGATTACATACTATAGGTATACAAATCATACAATATTATAAGTACTATTTATTATTAATATTTAAAATTCTATTCCACTCATAAGACATTTATGGAATATTTCCTCTTAATTATAAATTCATCAGTTTGGACATGTTCTTAGCTTGCCTATCATACAAAGTAAAATGTTGTACTAAGACGATTGTATAAAACTTATTTATTAAAAAACATCATGTACCTATTTGTTTTTATGTTACTACTCAATATCTATCTTATCAGTTTACACAAAGAAGATTGTTTGCCATAGAATTTAAAGTTCATCATACTGTGATAAAAAACGATGAAATGAATAGATGCAGTTAGCAATAATATCCAAAAGCGGGACAGGTCTCACAAAAACTACACAAGTAGTCGCAAGTTTCCATTGGTCGATGTTTACTTACGGTATCAGTGCTTGGAAATATAATGAAGAGTGCGCACTTGTAAACATGGTGTATACTTATAGGAACTGATCTCAGCAGGCAGATGTGACCTAATTCGATTTGAGACTAAAGAGTTGTTCATAGTAATGGTAATTATAAAAATAACTTGCTTTTTGCTGACATTTTAATCGATATCAAAATGTACCTAATTCTTCTGGATATAATTTTGACGATAATAATGATGACACATAGTAGGTAGTAAGTACTAAGTACCAACTTCAGTTCTAACTGTAGTGATTCACGAAGCATGAGGGCTGCAAAAAATGTATTTTAGAATAAATGCGTAAAAGCAATACTACAATTATTTTATTTTAAACGATAGTATTAAAGAGGCAGCCGGTATAGACCTTCAAGTCCATTGCCAATTTTCAACCTTCAATTACAATGTGATTTAAAATAAAATGTAGATCAAACGTACTGAAGCGTGATCGGTTATTGTTGTAACAGTATGAATTTGGGTGATTGTGTAAACTGACGTAAGTGCAAGCTGTGAGCTCGCATTGGGCAGTTGAGCAGCCTTGACTAGTATCGGATGTACGCGTGGTCTACTCGCGCCGGCGCGGGCCGCGGACGCATGCTCACGCCACTCGACTCATAACAATGTACAATTTTGCAAACAAAAGGCAATTAGGTATATCAAACAAAATATAATTTTCCTTAAACACTCTTCAACAGAAACATACAGTAGTGCGACATGATTCATTGCGCATTACAGCCGCAAATACATTTGCAATGAGCAGGAGCGACGCACAGGTTACTAATGCGAATATATTTAGTGCGATCATCCTGAAATTGTGATAAACTATAAAGCTTATTACAGTTTAGAAACACAAGATGTGCACTAAAAATTCTTCTACCTGCCCAGCTAAGTTCGTGCGTTTTGGATGATAGTTTGTGGTTATGACAACTACTCGTAAGTCGCTTTAGGACCGAAACATCATTTTTTGTTTGACCAATACAAACATTCAACAACCATGGATACACCACACCAACAGTACCTACCGGAAGTGCAACTAACGTAACAATGTGAAAGGAGTGGTATCAGCCTTGTATATCATATTAATAAATAAATATTACGTTAATTTTAATCAAATAGGTCAAGCCATTTTGGGAGAATATTTTCTTCAGATATCAAACTTGTTGGCCACAGGAAAAGTAAATAAGCTTAAAAATACAATTATAATCATATAAAAATACAACTATAATCATATAACAAACAAGTGACGTGAGAATGTAAAAAAACATTATATAGGTTTTAACAATAACAAATACAATAAATATTAATAAAACCAATCATATCACTCGGCCATAATTTTTTATCGCTTTTTGTAAGTGAGTTGTGTTTAATTCTGAAAGCCTTCGCCCACCCTCGTGAGTCACGAGTCACGGGTGTGAAAAACGAGGAACCTTGGTACTGTCAAGGCCCGCTATTCAACATTGGAGCGGACACGGTTGTTAAGCCGAGGCGCGTAGGACGCGGCCCCGCCGCCGTCAGCGGCACCGCGGACGTAGCAGTCTATTCCTCATTTGCAATATTTAGACCGTACACTCATATCATTCTAAATTTAATGATGCAGATAGGCCATTCATGTTTCACTATATGAGTAAATTTCTATAGATTTTGCAATAATAAAAATATAAAACCATCAAACACAAGTTACATCTTCATCAGTTGAATGATCGTTCAGAATATTATAATTTTCAAACGCAGTAAGTAGGCAATACCTGAACGGCTGACAGCTGACCTCACTGCAAACAAAGTAGCCATTTTCATAATCAATATTAACTACAGCCTCGAGTACTAATCATCGCTGAATAAAGAATTATCTACAGTCTACATTGGCAAGTGACATTAGCTTTGCTTCAGTAATAGTAATCTGAAATTGGCCGCGAGTCATAATAATATTATCTATCTCGTTTAATATAAAAACTTTTAACAAAAAAATAAAAACCGACTTCAAACAAAAGCACTAAAAAGTAAAAAATAACTGATTGAAAGTTTTCATTTACTATACATACCTAATCAAATACTTTCGAAGTCGGTGTGCTTTGCTTTGTATGGGCTGGCACCGATTTCGAAAATATTTGATTAAGTATGTATTTGATAGGTAGGCTTTAATTACTTAGCCAAAGACAAAACAATATCAATATTAATAAAATTGATATACACTTAGCATTGTTATACAAATCCTACGAGGTAAATTCCTTTCTTTATTATTGTTGCTATTAATACTCATAGGTAACTTTAGTTTTAAGCAGAAGAAGTAATGTAGGGTATATGTATGATATATTTAGTTATTTTTATGAATCTTGCGCTTAACGATTTGTCACGAAAAGGAATCGAGAGGTGTGATATCAGGGACGATTACCGATCGATGGCCAAAGATTAGGCAATATTCATGTTTCATCTTTAAATCCTCTTCAGTATATTAACGGTGTAAAATACAGTTAATGTATGTATATTGTCTACAGGAGATATAAAGTATAGCACATAAAAAGAAATTCTTTAGTTCGCCGTCAATAGAGTATTACCAATACTATTTTGAACTAAACCCGCATGTGTGATGACATAATAACCCCTGCATAGTTGAACAATAGGGGTTGAATAGATACGTAGTGCTGTTATTACGAGCATTTAGACTAGTATCTTTATTTTATTAAAATTCTGACTTCAAAAAAATCTTTTATTTTTATTTTAGGCAAATTTATAATCTTTTTTATAAATTAAAATGAATGTTTGTACGTTTGTCCTTTATGTGTTGATCATTTATTGATTAAACCATTGATGAGATTGTGATGAAACTCTGGCAAAGGTTTCTAGAGCAAAAAAAAAATTTTTATGCGTTTCCTAACTATTCAAGCGTAGAGACTCAAACGCGAAGCGAGGAGAAGTCGATAATTTTATATGTTTCGTTAGGGATTTGTAACAATAATTATCTTTGAGCGCTAAATAGGAAAACCTTACACATATTGGTAAGGACCCTTAAAGGACACTGCTGCATAAACATGCACATATTCAAACTGAGGCTGAGTAGCACACAAACCTGCAGAAGCTGTATGGAAACAAATGAAACGTCGCTTCATGTTCTGGGGGAGTGTGGCTCGCTAATGTTAAAACGCAGTATAAAGTATTTATCTATGGAAACCAATTCTAGGCCCAGAAGAAATCATGCGCGGCGATGGCAATGTCCATGACCAGGTATGGTCTTCGTGATATGTAATAACCACATCAAAATAAAAAGTAAGGATTTGTATATTTTAACACTCACCATCTCATCGTAGATGGTCTGCGTGTCGGCGGTACAGTCGTAGGCGGCATCGTATGTGAATAGTTTGTCCTGGCCCTTGGGGTTGTACACCTGCACGGCGCCGCGCTCCGCCCACACCCTCACCACCTGTACAAACAGTCAGTTCAATCGATTGCTGTTTCAGTACTTACTGCCCTTGAATTCGAGGGAACAGTAAGCTATTAATTAATGTAAACTGGTCAGTAACTATACTAGTTTATTTACATTAGGTTCTTTTCCTCCAGTTCATTGCTTCTCTAAACCACACTTAGTATTATTAATGCATAAGTTCGTGGCGGCTCAAGGGTATCTTTAAAAAATGACTAAACTTCCATCCCAAATGCAAAGTTTTTAAATTACAATTATCCATACATAAACAGTATGAAACATCATGCTTTTAAGTACAATAACAAAGTAGCTCGAGCAGGACTAATTGATAAATATGTATTTAAAAAAATAAATAAAAACTGCACGTTTCATGTTTCACACGTTCTCGCTGGGAAGTAAGTTTACGTTCGATAGTCGTAACCAATACTGATTGTTTATCAATTATATCTATTTAATACTTATTGAATTCACGATTTACCTTAATATAATGTAATTACCGTACGTGAATAATATGATGTGATATCTTAAAACTATGTAGATATATAATAGTGTTATATACATAATTATGTAATATATGCCCTTATGCACTTTCCATGTGGACCCATGAGTAAAGCAGTATTATATATTATACATTTTACCCTACATCATTTTGTCTACCTTATATACCAATAAGTAAATATTACAGTTACGAGTAGTTACATTATATCTAAATTACCTACAATTAAAATTATATAATTATTAGTTCTATTTAAGTATGTTCGTTTTATTGCTTTAATGAATTAAACCAATACCATTTTAATGACATATTTGAAAACATCTAAGTGCAATCATTCGGATGATGTAAAATAAATAACCTCACAATTCACAGTGTGTTCACAGTTCACACTGCATCTGAGTTGTCGCGGTGCGTGAAATGTGAATCGTAATAATCGATTTGTCGGATGATTGATATTTCTCCCTCGACCGTGAATAAGCTGAAGCAAGTGCTCGCTTTAACCATGTACTTAATAGTAATAGCGAAATATTAAAGGCGTATGTTATGTTTAGCATCACTAGATAAGTTATTATAAAAAGTAGAATATTTGTCCTTGTATTAAACATAACCTTACTAAAAAAACTAAAATGAACCACGATTTTTAGGAAGACCATTTGTCCTATTTCTGTTGTATTGACGAATTAAAAAATCCTACAAAATCTTAAAATAAAATATATTAAACATCTGTTCCCAGTAAACCACCACCACAGTGTTAGAAGTCGACTACTATGCCATTTGACCAAACAGTAGTAAGTATGCTTTTCTAGTTATCGTCTGATCCCTGTGTTAGTGCGCGTAAAGTCTGCAGCACACCTGTATTGGAGAGTCAAACGTCTTATTGTCCGGCGTCGGCTTGGTGGACAAGCGCTCGTACCATTTTTGTTCTGGTCGCGCCTTTCTCACCTATTGGAATTTATAAATGTAACAGGAAAAAATATAATAATATAAAATAATACAAATAACTTAAGTAACTATTATTTGTTTACATTTTTCGACTAAAATGATTGATGCTGTTAGTTTAAAACAAGAAACATCGATATTTATAATCCTTGGCTTAACATAAACTATTAAAAACACAACACTATGTGAGGCGAGGACGTCAGCGGGTGCGCGTGCGCCGCCCGCACGCTCGCAAGCAGGGCTACAATAATGAGTCAACTACTTAATACCATATTCCGCCGAAACCGGCCGCAGCATCGATCGCGTTATGCAAAACTTTAATTATACATAAACAGTCGTGTGCGTCATTTTATCTCGAAATAAATAAATGTAAGAAACTCGCATTACATAAAACCAAAATAAACAATTGAGGACGACGACATGTGGCACGCTGTATGCATTCCTCGCCAACTTTTTTAATTTTTCCTAATAGTACAACTTAAGTACAATCTTTGATACCACTAAAATACCATTGTAATGTACATTTACCTTAGCATTGAAGTAGAACAGCGCTTATTATAATATATCTGAACTTCTATCTTCTATATAAATAAAAATGAATCACCGAAATAAGTATATTTCGGATCGACATCACAAAATTGGATAATTCTTTTTTTGTGATTGTTATTGCCAGGAAGTTTTGTATAAAAGAAAATTAAATGAAAAAAAAATTAAGGACTAAAATAAGTTTTTTTTTAAAATCGCATGATATGAAAAGTGAGTGAGTGAAATAGTTTTTATTCCAGAATCATCCGTTAAGGGGGTGAGAATTGGGATGAAAATTTGTATGGGGAAGCAAGCTCGGGACGAACCCGAGCGAAGCGAGGGTGAGTCGCTAGTTTTAAATAAAACCGTTTAGTTACCACTACCATTTACGTTTGATTATTATTAATATAAACATATAAGTATTATTTAAAAAATATATTATTTATCACTTATTTAAATGTAATGCATCCAAATTCCAAATTAGTACAACGTTGTTTTCCTACGCATCGTCCGTGTGTCATCTTTCTTTAAAAGTCAATAACCAGCACCCCTGCATGATATCATCTCACAATCAGATATAAATCTGTATGTTAGTATTCTCCACCCCTACTAGTTGCTAGTTGCTGCACATCGGAGCAGTGATAAAATCATCATATGATAAAAATAAGTTAACATTACTCACTCTATTGTGCTGAACTCAGTAAGTAAATATAGTTAGTTGTATTCGTTTGTCTTCGCTTACTTTGTATATCGTAAATGTGTGTAAATCTCGTCATTTTATTTCACACAGAACTATCTTTTCAGAGTTACACTTAATATATTTGTGATGTTCTGCTGCCCTGCGCTTCCCTTTAAGTACTTATACATATATATGATTGAAATAAATCTTGTGTCGCTGTTTCGTACAAAGCAATTGATTTGAAAACTGATTTCAAAGTGCATTGTTGTATTCTGATCCCTAAATAGTTCCTGATAGAGCAGAAGAAAGAAGATCGCCCCCTCGCGGCTAGCAACGTAGCACGCTTCACAATGAGTGCAGGTTAAACTAATCGGAGGGTCGTTCACCTCCATTTTCAGGCGTATGTACCCATTATTTGGTACTCCTTAATATTTTTGAACTGCTTCTTCTAATCATTTTTACGATTTATAAATCTTTCAAGTTCAACATAGATTTACGTAAGATGTATTTTTAATTTCAATTATATCATTCCAAGTATTAAATTCTTTTTTTAATAATTCATATTTAACAATGCCCAGTCACAGGATTAATACAAAACGATCTGTCGTTTTGAGTCAGTTAGGCGTAGTGTTAGAGATTCCCGATTGCGCCACTAATACAATGTAATATAATAATATTATTGCGAGACACCGGCAGATTGGCAGCCTCCGAGCGAGTTTCACCCGCAAAAACGCAGATCCTACAAGGTTGCAGTGCGCCGCACACTCGCCGTAATAAAAATAATCCATTCGAAAACAAACACACTACATAATAAAAAGGAAAGTAGAAAATGTAATCGAATGTTCAGAGCTACACATAAATCGTAGCATTGCTTCCTAATATGAATACTCATTTATGTTATTAAAGTACTATGTCCAGTAAGCATTAAGTGCTTAATATTCATATACTCGTATGTGCAAAATTATTTCAAAAGTATACATATATCGTATAGTTCACGATCATTTCGGCCAGATGGTTATCTCATACACTCGGTGATTACAAAAATATGAACTATTTATGTGATGCGAATGGCATTAACATGGTGCGATCAAATGCGCGTGCGCGCGCTCGGTCCATGTGTAACAATGGGGCCGCCAGTTGCGCGTCCAGATGATCTGCGCCAAGTATGGGGCGGCCGCGTATGGACAATACCGCTCACCTACTTACGTCGGGTCAAGACCCATTGCGCGTGTCTTGCGATCATTTATTTTGAGAGCGTTTGCTTGTGCGGTGTCCCTCAACAATAGTAAACGCAGCTGACCGTGGCTTTGACACGGCCGTTCAATCATTATTAAATACATTATGATGATTCTTAGTTTTTTGGTAAACCCTAGTGCTGGGTACGAGCAACTCGCTTAGATCTTACTTCTTTGTAAATATTAAAACTGAAAGATATTCCCAAAGAATTATATTATAGGTACCTTTATTCAAGCATAATCAAAATGAATTCAGATAAATCCGTCAATAACACTTATTGTTGTCTATCTTCGTGACTATTATTTAACGTAAAACGGCTTTAAACTCTTGACAATTACAATTAAATCCATACTAATATTATAAATGTGAGTGTGTTTGTTTGTTTGTTTGTCCTTCTTTCACGTCGGAACGAAGTGACCCGTTGGCGTGATTTTTTGTGTGAGGATAGTTGGAGGGCTGGAGAGTGACAAAGGCTACTTTTTAACGCGGGAGATTATCTCATTGCCACGGAAAAATACGTTAAAATATAATACCCAAAAAATTATTTGTGATCAGAATTACTTGAAACTTGGTATTATTGCTCTTCAATACAATTAAATTAATACTTATTTTAACATTTTTCGAAATTCGTCCCATAAGGGGGTAAAACAGGAAATGAAAATTTGTATGAAAATTACCTTTTTGGGAGTTTTTTTTTGTAGTTTACCGCGAGTTCTGCTAGTACATTATATTAGTTCCTTGGTTATTGCTACATTTTTGATGCAAAAACTAAAAATATGATAATTTTGCTTAACAATTACCTTAAAATAACTATTAGATATATTTCATTGCCTATGGTGATTTATCAGGTAGGTACCACGTTTTTAAGTCACTTATTATACTCATTCATGGACATAAGAAGTTATAAATATATGTTCCATACTAGCGAAGTATTCCTCACAACCATTATACAGGAAAGTGTAGGGCTTGAGTAAAAAACGGAACCGGTCAACTCCATACATAAATATGTAATTGACTGCGCAAATAATGCCTTTTATGTTATAAACTATGGCAGATCTGATAGTATTCTTAGAATTTATCCATTTATTTATATCGTCGTTGTAGAAACTTTACATCGATTAAGTTTTGTTTCGATTAAATTCACAATAACGTAAAATAAGTAACTTCGGAATTATTGCCAAATTCAGTTTCACTATAATAACGCTTGTATTTAAACAGTAAAAATCAAGTCCGTTTTTAAAATCGATTTAAATATAATCTAACGAATAAGAATCCATAACAACTCGTTCATTTTGTAAACATGCCTTCACTAAATCAATAACAGTTCCATTTGTTGTTCATAGTTACTCACACATGATGTATTACTATGAATAAAATTTTTGGAAAAAGAAATAAATATGTAGCGCTATTTACTTCTATATCAACTAATATTTTATCTAAATAAGTAAATAATTATTAAAGAAGCGTATTATGACAATTACACTAAATATAAAACGTACTTTCTGCAGTTCCTTATTTTGTAGAATTACTATTTGGGATTTTATCATTTTAGGTACATTACAATGGCATCTTGAGCGAAACCTACTACTAAACTAGGCACTTCCCACTCACGTGAATCACGTCTAAATAATTTAATCATGAAACCCTATTTATACCACAAAAATATATTTTAAAAGCAATATTTAGTAGATATGTTGGAATTATTTTTAAATATATTCAGTAGACATAAAGAAATATGGCGCGAAATTCAAAACAAACATCTCTTAAAATCTTAAATAACAACTACAGACCTTTTTAAAACAAAATTAATAAAAACAAATAAAATTGTTTATTAAACCGACAAATCGCCGGTGAGAGTTGACGCACCACGTCTGCGCAGCCCTGGCGGCTGGCGCCCAACATCAACAAAGCAACTATATCTCACCTCATCATGACCCTCGTTCTTCTCTCTTTCCGAGAGCGGTCTACATCGCACCACCACTTTAACACACTCATTCAGAGCCGTCCGTGGTCGTGCTGATTTCTCCATCTTCAACCACCCTTCGGTGACGAAAATAAAAAGTAAACTTGAAGTCACCGATATCGATCCATTCGGGGTGAACCTATCGTCAGCATCACCTGTTCAAATCGATACTTTTAAATTTATGCCACCAGCACAACACTTAAAGATTTTATAGAGACACGAAAAACAACAGTTTTGCACGATTAAAATATTTATACACTTAAAATAAATAAAAATCGTAAAAATGTAAATCAGGTTCATTCACATACACCCGCCACTAGCGGACATTACTAAACAACTGACATTTTACAAATTTTTGTCAGATGTTTAGCATAACATCTGATCGAATAGCTGTACCAAATAAGGTTCTCACATTTTCATTAGGTATTGTAAACCAAGTTGACATTACAATGTAAATATAAAATAAGCTTTTAATTGAAATAGCATTATTTTGGATTCAAAAAAGATTCGGTTATAATATAAAGGAGACTGTAAGAGAAGAATATTTTAATTTTGCGCGTTTTTAGTTCTAGCTTTTAGTTTATCCCTCTAGCCCATCTTTCAGCTAATTTGTGCCACAAAGTAGTTGAGATTATATTTAAGTACATTTAAAATATATATTATTATGATGAGGACAGACATTTTTAAACCATACTCTCTTCAAACATTCTATTTCTGTTGACTGTGTTCTGTGGTGGTGACGTCTGACAGTGACAATTGACAAAAGACACTTGTGTATAAAAATATAAATTTTTGTCATCATCAAATAAAATATAAATTATGAAAATTTGAATTTATCTGCTATTAGAAAATTTGCAAAAATAAATAAATTATATTAGTATTATAATTAGTAGCAAATATTTTGTTCTGTATCGTTAAAGCAGTTGATATATATAGTATACATATAACATTTTCAAGTTATTATTGTTTACATTAAAGATTTTCATCGACATGTCTGCTTCTTTAACAATTAATCTAAAAAGAGCTAGTAAGATTTATCATGAAGGTGTAAGTTTACATTAATTACGTTTTATACGAGAGGATATACATACATCATTTTTTTATTACTAATATCATCCACAGGAAATAATAGCCGGTGTTGTAGTTGTCGACACTTCAGCAGATTTGAGACATGAAGGTCTCACACTAACTATGGAAGGATCTGTTAATTTGCAATTGAGCTCTAAAAATGCTGGAATTTTTGATGCCTTTTCTAACAGCATTAAGGTACACTTATAAACATATAATTATCGATAGTATGTGTGCCTTTGATTCAAGTGCAAAATCCCTAAAAATTTACTTCATAACTTTGTTTAAAAATGATGTTTTTTTACAGCCAATATCTCTCATCAATTCTACTATAGAACTTGCACCTGCTGGAAAAATTCCAGTTGGTGTGACAGAAATTCCTTTTGAAATGCCATTAGTAGGCCGGCAGACCTCTACAAGTAATGGTCTACTTGAGACATATCATGGAGTGTTTGTGAATGTTATGTATACTTTAAAATGTAGTATGAAGAGATCATTTCTTAACAAGCCACTAAATGCCAGCTGCCAATTCTTTGTACAATTCAGGCATGTGAGTTATACTAATAAAGTAATAATATAGATAATAGTTAGCTATATATGTATAGTATTATATGATCTGTGATAATAGTAAGATTTTCCATTTAATTTTTGCCATACTCATATTACAAACTTCAATGTCACGAGCTATGATGAAAAGAACATTGATAATACTCACTAATTATTTTACAAAACATGATTAAGGCCCCAATCATACTATTTCTTTTGGGAGAAAAGAAAGATAACATATTTTCAGTTCGGATAATTATGTTTAATAGGTAATTGATAAAAATGTCAGAAATGAAATAAATTAGTTAGTCATTATTTATTTCATTGTTTAAAGGTTTATTTTTTACAAGACAATGATAACGTCCTGTTATAATATATTAGTAATCAACAAAATATTGTATTTAAAAAATATAAAAGTCATTCATTATATTTTTCACATTATTTTTGCTAAAAATACACATATGAATTAAAATGTTTGTTGCACAGCAAGAGTGCCCCGTGCTGAAGCCGGTGCGGTGCGAGATCACGCCGGCGACGCTGCGCGCGGCGGGCGGCGGCGCGGCGGGCGCGGGCGGCGCGGGGGGAGGCATGCCGCGCTTCCAGCTCTACGCGGAGATAGACTCCACCGTGTGCGCGCTGGACCGCCCGCTCACGGGGAAGGTCGGCCGGCTTGCCACTGCTCAATGCACATGAGTCGCTCCACTATTTAGTCTTTATATTTACACTATTTTATAACTGAAAAAATATGCATCTATGCTATTGTATGTGCTAGGCTGTAAGATTTCAGATATACTTGTTTGTTCCAACATCACTTATACACTGCAGGATAGATTAGTTGTTTTTTTATTTATAAATTTTATAGCCCACGTTTCACGGGACGAATGTGAGCCGGTGATCTAAACGCCGAACTTCTGTCTCCTTTCTTTCTCTCCTTTTTTCTTTGCTAATTGCATAAGTCCTCATATTCCACACCCACAAGGCATTGATTACTGCATAGCATTGCGCAGGTCGTGTATCTGTTACCCAGTAACGATGAACCATAAAACCACACTCACTAAAGCGAAGAAAAGGCTACTAACCACTAGTTACAAAATAGTTTTGTGTTGTTACAGATACGAGTGGATGAATGTTCGGTTCCAATAAAATCAATAGAATTGCAACTCGTCCGTGTCGAGACTTGCGGCAGCTCCGAAGGTTACTCTAAAGATGGTAAATTCATTACATACAAGTATGGTCAGCTCCATATGATTTATTATCTATACTTATAATAAAATTCTAACCGAGTTGAATCTGTACATTAAATATTTTTTGGTAAATCTTAATGAAATAGACATTATTATTGATATAGAAACAAATCTATATTTTTTAGAATTTTTTGTCTGTCTGTGACCGCATCACTGGAGGGATTTTGATGAAATTTCTTATACATTTTACTGCGGGAAAATATTTTATCTCTGAGAAATCTATATTAACGTTAAAATGTATGTAGGGACGAACCCGAGCAGAGCGATGGTGAGTTGCTAGTAGGTAATAAATTTGCTTAAACGATATCTTTATTTCTAATTTTCGTAAATGACAAAATTCTATATGCTTTCATTTCTTATTTAAGCCCTCTGTTCGATAAATAGTCAAAAATTATTCTTGAGTGCTCACCTTTATTTTATATGCAATTTTTCAAAATATTAAGGTTTTGGGATCAGTGACACAGGCCGCACTTATACATTGTCTGTAGGGTGGTTAGCATCAACAGCTGTTGATCGGGAATTCTTGGGTTCGATTCCTGATTGGGTTTTTCTGATAAGAGATTTTCAGTAACAGCCTAGACGAGGAAGGTCTGAGGTGTTCCACAGTCGTGTGTGTGTGTGTGTGTGTGTGCAGCGACGGAGATCCAGAACATCCAGGTGGGCGCGGGCGACGTGGCGCGGCGGCGCGACGTGCCGCTGCACATGGTGCTGCCGCGCCTCTTCACGTGCCCCACCACCGCCACGCCGCACTTCAAGATCGGTGAGTGAGCGTCTGTGCTACATTAGTGACAGCAAAAATTCTATAAAATCGTGATTTCTTGGATTTTTTTCATGGATTTATTTTTGTTTTTCGTTCGCTTTGATAGACCACGAATCCTCGCGTAAGAGAACCTATTTATTGCTCTAGGATGAAGAAGCGAAAATTCGCGTAAATCTAAGAAAATAATAAACAATTTTTCATAAAGTACAGTACACTATTTAAGTATTATTTTTTATATGATCATATTACACATATACACTCTCATCAGAATTAGATAAAATTATTTCACATAAATGTTAATACATGACGTTATTATGTATGCATCGAATCGTTATTGGCAAAAAAAAAAGAATTCGACAAAGAGCTGAGGATCTCTCCCCTTTCGAAAATCTCTTTTTGAAACGAAGTTTCTTATCGACGTTACACTCGCTCGGCACTGTCATGGCGAATGAGAGCTAGACAGTAACAAGTGGGATATCTCGACCGTCACGACACTATTATTCATTAAAAACACCCCCTGTGACGTCATCACAAGTACCAGGCGAGCATAACTCGTAAGTGTTAAGGGGTTATGACGGGATCCTATATCTATGATGGACTCTCCTTAGTCCTTGGTCTTTAATACTCGTGACATAATTACCACATGTGTGCCTTTCTTCAATGACCTTCAACGTGCACAATTTACGTCGCTCGATGTTTATGGTAAAATACAATTTCTAAGACCTAATTTACGAGACAAAGGCAGACATCGAAAGGAACTTGGTTCCTACCCCCTGTCCTTCGACACCCCTCAATTTATTTAATATGATATTTTTTTTATATACGAATATTTGACTTTTTATATAAAATATTAAAAAAAAACACATTTTATTCCAGAATTCGAACTCAATATTGCTGTGATATTCGAAGACGACTACTTGGTCACCGAAAATTTTCCAATATTATTGTTAAGAAGTCGGTAATAGATGCAGTTTTGGCTTCTCACAATTATTATTAATACCCTTAAATTGTTACTAGGGAATCAACCTCGCTTCGCTCGGATTCGTCCGTAGGTACGTTTTAACGGTATAGAATAAATAAACAACACATAAAATAAACATATATGATATATAGCCTATCTTTCTTCAATAAACGGGCTATCTAATGCAAAAAGAATATTTCTTCGCATCGAATTAGTAGTTCCTGAGATTAGGACAACCAAACAAACAAAGAAACTCTGTCTCTTTATAATATTAGTATAGATTAATGTACAGGAATCTTACATGTAATGATAATTAACTATTTGAACTTTGATATCATTGTGTGCACGTTTGAACAAGGTTATTGCGTTGTAAAATAGTGACACGTCAAAATATATTTCTTAGATTTGATGAACTGTAGTGCTTAAACTAAATGTTGAAGATAGGTCTTGATAATATTACGTTTAACTATTATTTTGACTTCTTGAAGAAATCGAAACTATCAGCAATTGCCAAGAGTTAAATATAAACTGTATTTATGATATCTGAGTAAATAAAATGAAAACACAGTTGAATGTAGTTAGCATCAGTTTACTCTACAATATTGTTGTTATTCCTATACGGTTTAGGTCTGTCCAGCGCCATATAAACATCACTTCCAGTACAACTGGGCGCGACCCTAACAATCTAATGAAGTTTTATTTTGATAACTTTGGTATTTTTAATAATGTAAAACACTCTATACAAGGGGGCTACTTAATTGGATTTAAAAATGTTAATGGCACACATAATTTTGTCGATGACTGTTAGATTTTAGTAGCTATTTCTAATCTCAATTTATAGTGTTCACGTGTCTTATGCACGTATATACATATATTTAAGAAAGTAAATATAATTAAGAAAGTAATATATTTAAGAAAGTATAAGTGGCTCCTGCTCTACGTGATCGCTGCACGCTTCACGCTCAACGCTACGTCTCGACTCTACACTTAAATTTATATTTATGCAATACTATCTGTATATCACTACAAGTCGTCAACATTAGTGACACAACGCATTGCAAAACTTAGCCTAATACATTTATATAAGTGAATAAAATATATATAGTATTATGTATATACAAATAAATCATTTTTGATTTATCACAATTTTGTAAAATGAAATAAATTCTTTGCTATTTTTAGTTGTTTATTATTATCCCATGAATAAATTTGTGTTTAATTAATAATACGTTACTAACAATAATAGTCCAGGATCGAGGGTGCGTTTTTACAATTGATTAGTACCAAGCTAATTTTACGTCAGTAGTTTCATTGGTTTTGACGAGATGCCGAACTTTTTCTCTTACAAAAATTCTCGATTGTGGTAGCTAATAGGAGTAGCAGGGATAAAATGTGTCGATTTGACGATTCTCAAAAATTCATTACTAACTACCCCTGTTCCACAATCGAGAGTTTTTGTAAGAGAAAAAGTTGAGCGTCTCATCAAAATCAATGAAACTACTCACGGAAAATTAGCTTGATACTAATCAATTGTAAAAATGGACCCGCGATCCTGAACTATAAGTAATTTTTATTCTTTAAAAATAACAAACGGATAAATCGATTACGCCTACGATTAGTTATAAAATAAACACAATGTGTACCCCACACATGTATAATTTAGTAGTTACAATGTTGTAAAACCTTACTTTTATACATATATATTATGTCGGTACTTCGATACTATTATTGTTTAAATGTTGCCAAGAAAAAAACATTAGAAATTGAAATTAATTTTTAATATAAAATAGTGACTTGAAAATATTAATCTATATTATGATCGGGGGAAATATAGTAAAAAAGTATATTTTGTGAACATTTGAATAAGATCGCTGGTGATAGTTTGTACCATTAAATCGATCGCCACGACGTGCGCGGCGGCGGCGGCGCGGCGACGCGCGGAAGGCGATGTCGTCGATAAAGATTCAGGTTTAAGATTATCAAAATACTTATCCGATAAGTGTATAATCAAAATACGTTATAATCTTTTCACTAAACACAAAAGGTGTGCATCGTGCAAGTATGATACAAGTGTACAAAGTGTGCGTGTGCGACTACTATGCCGGGAGGTCGTCGTCGGGCGGCGCGCGGCCCAGCGCCGCCAGCGCGCGGCGCGCGGCGCGCAGCTCGGCGGCGGGCGGCGGCGGCGGCGTGAGCGAGCGCGGCGAGCGGTCGCCGTCGCAGCGCGGCTGCACGTAGTTGCGGCAGAGGCCGTAGAAGCGCTGCGGGCGCAGCGCGCGGCGCGTGGCGTCGAAGCGCCAGCCCACGTGCGCCATGCAGGCGGCGCACAGCGCGACGGTCCACGCGTAGCCCGGGAACCACGAGAACTCCGCCGACGGCGCGCCGCTCAGCTCCGTGTTGCTCGCGCGCGACACCGTCACGATGTCGTGCATGTACCCGCCTGCACACATACGCGTGTTGTGTCACACGAAACGACGCCATCTACTGTCCCGAATGTCGACTTACCTAAATTCGTATAGTTCGAATGCACGCCCTCGCTGGACATGGCGAATATGTGCTCGCGTCGCGCGATCTCGATGGCGCAGGACGAGCAGCACAACACGCTTTTCTGCAAGTCATCGGTTACTCATTTAATATCGCAGTATTTTTTGTAACGCTGTAAGATACCAATAAATAAATAAACGCACGCATAAGCTATGTCCGTACGCGACTGTAACTGACCCGCATGATGAGGCGCACCTCCATGTGCAGGCGCAGCAGCGCGTCGTCCACCACGAACAGCGCGAGGCGGTCGCGCGCCGACAGCGCCATGTTGGACGCCGTCCAGAACGACAGCGACACCGCCTCCTCCGGCACGTTCTCTGCACACAACACACGCGCGTCACGCGTCACGTCACGGTCACGCGCCACGCGGCGTGACGCGGCGTGACGCGGCGCGACGCGGGCGGGCGCTACTCACCGAGCGCCATGGCGCGGAAGTAGTCCTGTATGAGGCGGCGCATGCGGCGGTAGTCGCACATGTCGTACACGAACAGCGGCCACGGCGTGACGGCGGCGTCCATGCCGCGCAGCCGCGCCTCGCTCCTGCGGGACGGCCTCGTTAGCGCCGCATACTGTTACCCACTCTCGAAAACTAATCAGGTTCTTTTAGACATGTAGGTTTTCTTGCGATACACTCGCATGACGGTAATCATGACAATGATCTATACATATAATAAAATTGTAATTAAGCCGAATCTGTACATTAAATATTTTTTGGAAAATCTTATTGAAATAGACATTATTATCGATACAAAAGCCGATACTATAGTTTTTAGAATTTTTGTTTGTCTGTCTGTTACCGCATCACAGAAAAACCACTGGAGGGATTTTGATGAAATTTGGTATGGTGATAGCTGGTTATCCGGGTCAACATATAGCGGGAAAAGATCTCATTTCTGAGAAAAAATACAAAAACTGCAGTGTAAGAGTATACTAATATGTAGAACCTAAGGATTTGGTTTTTGGTCATCTGAACGCGGGCGGAGCCGCGGGCAATGCTAGTTCTAAATAAATATATCAGAGGTGCGAGAGTCAAGATTTGAACTCGCCTCGTTTACCTAATATTTAAAATGAACGTATAATCAATGACCTACATACATTGCCCGTAACATAATTTTACATAATATAACATTTTTATTTCGATATGTTTATCTGATTTCGAATATTTGTATAAAGTATAAATCGTAGAGAAAGAGAGTGCACTGAGTGTTGTTTTGCTAATAAACGCAAACAAAAATGGCGGACAGGCAAAGACAAAACAAATCCACGGCTAGAAGTGTTCTGTATTCATTGAAATAAAATATATCATGAAATGTATGATTAATGAAGATAGATATTTATAACCATTTTACATTGCATTATCCATACTATAATATTATAAATGTGAAAGTGTGTTTGTTTGTCCTTCTTGCACGTTATAATACAATCCAAAAATATTTATGATCAGAATTACTTGAATCTTGGTATGGAATTAATGCTCTACAATAAAATTAACTAAATATGTGTTTTAGCATTTTTCGAAATTCATGCTATAAGAGGGTAAAATAAGGGATGAAAGTTTGTATGAAACTACCTTTTTTAGATGTTTTTTGTAGTTTTAGCGCGAGCGAAGACGCGGGTTCAGGTAGTATTATTATAATTTTTTAACATTTCATTTATAAATCAAATTGGAATAAAACAGAGGTTTTGGGCGCACGTTCGCGTTCTCTGTTTGTAGAGGGGTGAGTGTATGTGTGCGGGACCTGGCGCCGGCGCGGCGCAGCGCGTCGAGGCTGGCGAGGCGCGCGTGGCGCAGCGGGTCGCCGCGCCGCACGTCGGGCAGCACGCGCACGTCCACGGACCGCATCCTGCGACCCAATACGTTACAACACCTCTACACTCTCGCCGATATTTTATTGCACTACGAATTACGTCTCATTCCTATTTTGCATTGTATATTGCTAAGTATAATGTCCTTCTGACCGATTTCGGCCACGGCGGCTGATCTCACTGAGACTAGCCAAATATAGGAAATATTATTGTGCAAAAGTGTACGTGTAGGTACAAGTGCACTCGCCCCGAACGTGCGTTCACCTTGTCGTGGTGGGGGGGCTCAGTAGTAGTAGCGAAGCTAAGAAACGCACAGGGAGGTTGCCCACTTCGGTGGGCGGTGGGAGGTGGCCCTCTTTGGGGGGGCGGTGTACCTTGCGGGTTGCTCCTGGTACTTCTCTGATAGCAGAGTGGACCTTGGAGCAACCCCATGGTTGTTGTGGTCTGCTTTGGCAGACCTGCCGTCGGGGCGTCGTAGTTGAATGCGTAAGCGATCCTGCGACGCCCCATTAAGACGGGGGAAGGTTTTGTTGGGTTTTAGTGGGTAGTACTGGCTGTATTACGCCGGTGAGTCCCACACGTCGTGCGTAAATGCATTTCCCAACGTTAAAAAAAAAAAAAAAAGGGTACAAGTGCACTATCTATTCTTTTTACTCTTAAAGCCCGATGGAACGATACTTCGACGCGACTGGTGAGAGTTAAGGCGCAGGTCCGACGCGATACGTGCTCTCCGGGGCTCGAGGGTGACAAACCGCCAATGTCCCAACTGTTTCTGAGAATACCTTACCAGAAAAACTCAGTAATTAAACTTGGCCCCACCCGGAACTCGAACCCAGGACCTCCGGTTCTTTAGCCGTACATGCAAGACCACCGAGGCAGTTATATTAAGTACCTATATAGTAAAACTAAGTGTGTATACGCCGGCAAGAGGTAGCCCATAATGTTCAAGACATAGAAATACATATATCTCTATTTCGACCTACATTTAAATTCATTATATCGTTACGGCATTTGCCCGTTTAAATGAATAACGCGAAAATATTCTTTACACTGAAATATTCAATATTTTACCTACATGTAAGATATTTGTTGGAGTCAACATTTCATCATTTTATTATTATTATTTGTTTTAAGCAATAGCTATTAATAAAATAATTTGATAAAGAATGGGTAACATATATATGTACACTGTACATACCTGGTGTAGGCGTGTATGGGCACGGAGTTCTTGGCGACGTTGAGGCAGCGGAAGCGGTGCGTGGCACGCGCCTTGAAGGAGAGCGCGCGCTGCGCCTCCGCGTCGCCCGCCTCGAACACCTCGCACAGCACGCCGTAGCCCGACACCAGCGTGCCGCTCTCGCTGCGCACAAGTCACACAAACTCTACTCACACACTACTCTAATATCATCACTCAGGGAAGTTACTCTTCAACATGAGATGGTGACCTATTAAGAGATAGCCATATAGCCTTCGTATAGTCACTTGGTTATGTCTCTGTCCATGTGCCACATCCCATTTTCTTTCAAATGACTGGATGGAGAAAGTTAGTATGTAATAAATAATTTGAAATACTTTAGTAAGTTCTGATTCTGAGATTGATTTAGACTTGACTTAAGAGATGAGGCAGACTAGACTAGTGTCAAACTAGAATATTTCAAAATATCTCCAAGTATAACATGTGATATCAAATGAAAGAGTTTATTGTAAGGATTTTTTTTTAAATCATGAGTTTTTAAATAAAGTGTATATAGGCATATCATAAGCAGTGTTTCAAAATGTGTATATAGTATGAATATAAATAAAAAAATATTTTTGTAAAATAATTTTCATTTATACTTACTCAGGGCACAAAAGTCCAAAAAGCTTGTCTTGTTGTATTGCCCTTTTTATAATAGCAGCATCATGAGAGTTAGTGAGCAACATAGGTACAGTCTCTCCAGGAAACACTGTGCCATGGTGGGCAATAACTGGCACGCGTCCCTCCCACCCTGGATCAAGGATTGACCTTCCACTCACTGCTACCAGACTATTTCCCATGTACTGTGTGAAGGTTTACAATTTAAACCATAATAATTAATTAAGTATAATATATAACAAAGCATCATATTATCTTATTACCATATTCTACCTTTAATGTACATATTCAAAGTAAGAGCCAAAGTGTTTGCATTTAGCATTACTGTTTATTTAAAAAAAAAACAATTTTAAAATTTCCTATTATGAGGTGTTTTTAATATTTTGTTATGACTTATGTATATCAGAAATTGAATTTATGATGATTTTTCCAATTAATGAAACGATGAATATATTAGAACCTAAAATACAAACAGAATGTGAAGCAGCAAGAGAAATGTCGAACTGTTGTTCCTCCTCGTCTGAATCCTCTTCATTTTCAGGAGCATCGCCGCTTTGCCCGTCTCCGGCACCTCTACCATTGAGCTCCTCTTCCCCATCACTCGATACTAAAAATAATAATAATCATTATATTACATATGTGATTTAGGCGCGCTCATTATGAATGTCATCGGCATTTATTGTTTACTGAAAAAGTCATCCTAAATAAATAATAATTTTCAAAACAAACAATGAGTTTAAGTTTATTTGCATTTTTGAACGTCTTTTCTACTACAGACCGTTGTCTTCCATTATTCTTCTTAAAAGTTCTCGTAGAAGTGAAATTTTGAAAGCTTTTTTGGCGTAGTAGTACGAACTATAAAATTTGTTATGGACACTGGGTGACTGGAGACGGAGAGTATCAATAGATTTCGAGTTTTGACTTTTGATTAATTGACATTGACAGTTATCAGTAAATATTGAAACTCACTCGGATATTTTTATAAAAATAATAATAAAGATTGTATTGTTATATTTATTTATGTATCAATATTACAATGATACTCATATAATTTTTGAAATATATTCTTAATATTCTATATTTTGTAGCATTTTTTGTAAATTATCCAGAGGAGATCATGCGTAGAAAATATATTTTGTATCTGTGGGTAAGTATTGAATTGAGTTTTCGACTTACGTCTCGTGAACACTAAACGCACATCTTGCGAATGAAAAGTGAGACAGTGATTTTGTAAAAATACCAATTTAATTTGGGAAATGTGAATAAACAACGTGCATTTATAATACTAATGCAAAATGTATCATAAAGTTTTATGGTGTTACTTATTTATATTGACTTTGTTGGATATATCGTTAAACACTAAGCTGACAGCCCAGGGAGAGAGCCATGGTAAAATCGATTTCTATAGAAAAAAGATGATAGAGTTTTAAATCTGCCAAAGTTATGCGTGTACATGCAGATTTTAAAAGTAATAGGGTTGTAGAATTGCAATTTCAATACAAATATTTGGCATGTAACTCAGCCAGCCGTAGAGAGCGGCGCGATGTTATTTTTGATCAGGGACGAGCTTGTTTGTCGTTTTTTTATTATTATTATTTCAAAGAATATATTTTGGTCGTTTCAAAGATAAAATAAAACAAATAGTTCGCGGGTAAAACTAATATATACAAATGCGAGCGGTGCATGACTGAGCTGCGGCTTGCCGTCTGCGTGCAGCGCAGCAATGCGCGTTCAAGCCGCCGCCTCGACTTATACATATTACATACCGCGCAATTTTAACGATTGAATCATATTATATTGTAATCCTGTTATGTCATATCTTTACTATTATTTGAACCAGAAAAGGCAAATGCGTAAATAAATAAAGTTACAAAATGTGGGTAGTCAGTAGTATCAATAGCATCATGCAAGCTATCAAATTTTATCATTTCATTTATTTTCATCAGATTTGAATGCTTAGTTAATATAGTTTTCTGATTACAGGTGTTACAATACATGAATCTCTAGTAGAGGGCATCACATTTCAGGTAAAATATAAAGGATATTACTTATCCTTATTATTCAATAAATCTATAAAGTAGTATAAAGTAATTATGGTGTAAATGTGCTTTTATAAATTATACATAAATAATGTGTTATTTATGGAAATACTAATTAAGGATTTTAAAAAAGTTCCTGTGATTCAGGGTAATTTATTTTTTTCTTGATAAATAAAAGATAATATCTCAAATAAGTTATAACTGCTGAAAGTGCTGCTCATGTTGTTGTTGGTTTATAAAGAGATAGAAAAGTTAAAGTTTGGGAAATGTTGTCTTAACTTAAAAAAATATTTTATTAATTAGGAGGTCTCGCTACTATGTTTTTCTTACCTATATTAAACTTATTTGAAAAATATATTAGCTACCTTTTATACAATAATTCAAAATGTACATTAAAATTAAGTACTTAATTATAATAAACTTACATTTGTTATGACTAAAGCACATACAATGTAAGAAAATAAATTTAGGTTTAAGGTTTAAATTAAATATGTCTTATCGCAGGAATGGGGCAAAGAATCTGGTGTAGATGGTCTGGATGGCATCGATGGTGGTACAGAAGATATAGAGGGTGTCTCTCTGGAGCCCCGGGCACTTAAATTTGGGCGTTCTGCTCTTGCAGCCCCACACTCACGCACTGTAACGCTCACTAACACTGCCAACACCACATTACATCTTGCTTCAGTCGCTGGAACTACCCCAGATTTCCATGCCTCCTTCTTTGAGTCTAAGGTAATTAATTATAATAATATTGTAAAGTAAACACTTAAATGTTAATCAACCATTAACTCATGTCATCTGCATACTACAAGGTGTTAAAATAGAGAAAACAATCTTTATTTTCAGATGTCATATCAAATTATATTAGGTAAGTGAATTGTTAATAAACTGAAAATTACTATTTTTTGTGTGATACTGTTTGGCTTGACTTAGTGACTCAAACCATTACAGCTGTGACGGCTGTTGAGTCTGTGGTCTGTGGTCCAGTATGTTGAGCCAACTGCAAATACATAATGTTATTTATAAGTGTAGTGTGTACTAATATTAGTGACTGGTTATTTGACAATCCAGAGGCATGGTTTTTAGAACCAACATTAAATAAAAGCTTATATATAGTAAATATTTTAGACCTGTATTTTCTTGTTAGACTTCCATTTTACACATGATTTATTGTCTATAAACTTTGCTACAGTATTTTGAGAAATTTTGCTTCTAGTGGATCCCTGCTTGTATGTCTAGTTTTTAATTGAACATTATTATATTTTCTTAATAAAATGGTTAAGATTACCAATCTGGTTGTTACTTATTTAAAACTACTCAATCAATTAAATTAAATCTTATTCAGACTGCAGGAACAGAACTTGAGTGATTTTTTATAATATAAATGCTCAATAGATTGAGTCAATATATTATGTACTTTGAATTTTTTATTGAGTTAAAAGCTGGTTTTGTTATTTGTTAACAGAGTTCTGATTTGGCCTTTGCAGCCATGCTTTATATTAGCATTCTCGAGGTGACGTTATAATTGTTGATATAGATGTACTATTGTCTATTGTGAGTGCTAAGGAATAGTTATCCAGTAACTTTTAGGTTCTATTATTGAATAAAGATGGTATTTTGTGAACCGTGGATTATTTATGAATATGTAATTTTATTATATATTGAACAGTTTAGTTGAATTGTAATTCATTTGTTATTTATTTGCAAATACATTACATATTACCTACATGATTTTTATATTAGTCTATAACGGCGAGTTTATACATGAAGACTTTACATTGATTGTCAACCAACTTGAAAATATTTAATGTTAAATTCTCAATGTGTATTAATGTCTATTTTATGTAAGCTATAAGAGATATTAGAGTGCATAGGACAGTGGTGCCAGGTCGTTATCACCGTTATCGCGGGATGCGGTCGAGACGCGCTGTGACGCGCACCCGCGCTGTGTGCACTGACCGCCGCGACCAGATCATATGTTGCTACAATTATCTCACTGCGACTTACTTAACGATAAATCGTCATAGCGAGTTACGTGATACCTTTAACGATATTGTCATCGGACACGTTGACGCAACGTTGTGAAGCTTTAGTAGGATGTTGCATTGAAGCGGATCTCATTTCGTTGCAACCACCTGCTACGTTCTAAAAAATGAAAATAATAAGTCATACCTACAATCTACATGTTTTGCAAAACAAGATTAATCTCAAGGCGCAAAACGACATTGATTGATTATTTCCACGACCACGCGATACTCCTACGATAATATGTAATGCAACTATGTACGTACTCTGTTTCTTATAAACTATAACGTAACTATTGCGTATCTCAACCCATAACGAGAGCATTTGCTTAACTAATCTACGTCGTAGGAAATCATTTCCAAAAAATTATTGTATATCTTTCTTTAAATTATGTAATCCAAATAAAACCGATACATTTTCGTTCAAAGAATTCGGTACGTCCACTTTCATTACTCAGATGATATAATTTTTTTATGAAAACTGGTTCTTAGGTCCTATATTCCAGTGTCCAGTTTAGCGACGGCGCGCCGCCGCGTCTTAACGTTGCAGAACAAGGGTCGGGGTTTCTTATTTTTATGCAATCTTAACTCATAGCGACCGGTCGCCGCCGCTGGAACTAGGTCAGGATTATCTAAAGAAAGGATATTCAATGTTGAAAGTGAATACGACCGGTAAAAAAGCAGTTAACGCTCAGTAGGGGCCCGGGCTTGTTTACTTTGTAATTTATAGCTTATTCCGAGTAGCGCCGAAACTACTATTATAATTTATGTCAAATGTAACAAAACAAGTCTGGACAACGGTGAAATAGGCTTTTTAAATTTAACTATTGCCAGTAGAAACGGCAAATTAAAGTACACTTATAAGTTATGTTATATTCTTTATCAAACTGCATATTTTATACCATTTTTATAAATATTCTCAATTTATCAATTAATAAATACTATCTAGTATTTACTAATTAAGGGATAACGAACGCATTCGCGGGCAAAAGCAAGTCGATAAATTTAACCTTACGCAGCCCTTCTCCATATAAGCTTTAACTGTACGAAAGCTCACATTTTCTTTCACGTTTGAATGTACATATAGATTATTAGCGAAGATGTCAAGTAAATATGCCTAGTTTACATTTAGAAGTAAAATAATGTTGTTTATAAATATGTACATTGCTCGAAGGCAGTGACGACAGGCGCGAGAGGCCGCGGGAAGTTGGCCTCGTATCGCCAATTAGATATACAGACTTTATGACTATAAAAACATTTTTTACCAAAGAAATATGGAGCGGAAGAATGTTCTTTTATACATATGTATATAAGAAAAATATTGAAACATCATGTGTATTTATTTTTTTCCTTATTTTTTGTGCTATTCATTATTTGCTATGTAATAAATTGTGGTTTGTCATGTTAGTTTACTCCCAACTACATTTATAGTTTATGAATATGTTGCTTTTCTGTTGTTAGGTATTATACTAAGCACATGCATGTTACATATATATATAATTTGATCACTGCCACTTCATAATGCTCGCACTATCAGTTGTCTCGGTCAATATTTAGATAATAGAGTAATTGAAATTGTTCATTGATTAAATATACTTAGTGTTTATTATATCATTCGATATACATAGGTATGTATGTCAATAACGCGCGGAACACAAACCCTTAATGACTTATAACAAAACTAGCATTGCCCGCGGCTTCGCCCGCGTTTAGATGACCAATAACCAAATTCTCAGGTTTTACATATTAGTATACTCTTACATTGCAGTTTTTGTATTTTTTCTCAGAAATGATATATTTTTCCGCGGTATAAAAAGTATCCTATATGTTGACCCGGATAACCAGCTATCACCATACCAAATTTCATCAAAATCCATTACGTATAATATTGATTCCAAAATAATCTAAGACTTCTTGTAGTAATCAAATTATCTGTGGGCACGGTAGTGATAGGTAGTAGGTACATAAACAACAAAGTAATTCTAAAACTTGGAACTTTTACCCCCAACCTCTTAAATTAGGGTATAGAAGTTTGTATCAGACTACACTTTTTGATGCTAGAGATCTGAAAATTGATATAGGGCCTTGTTATAAATAATAAAATACATATTTCAAGATTTTTAGTAAATCACCCTCCATCCTTTAAATTAGGGAATGGAAGTAGGCGCGCGCAAAAAGCCCTAATGTGTACCCGCTGTGATTGATGATGAAGCAAATACAGAGCGAACGCTTCCTGCCACCTCGTTCCCGCGCAGTAGCTAAAGATATACACCCGAAAATGGAAAGAAAAAATGAACAAAATAAAAAAATAATGTCATCAGCATTACTTACAAAAAGAAGTAAAATCTCACCAAAACATTTTCATGTAAAATGTTGTCAAGACGAGACTATATGGCTCGCACTGTCAAAAAGTTATCAGATCTCATAATCACAAGCTTTGTACGTGTCTAATTCTTCTCTTCTTCGTTCTATTATGAAATTATTAAAAGGGAGTTTTATTTATTTTATAATCGTATATATTCTAAAGTCGCTTACCTACATATCCTTTTGTAGGTACATATAAATTGTAAAATATGATCACAAACTTTACCTACTAAAAATTTTTTACTAATAGTTTTGTTTAAAACCTGTATAATGTTTTAATTTTTGAACTATTATCCTATTTTAAAAATAGTGAAAAGAGGAATGGTATATTATTATGTTTAAACGAGAAGAAAGCACGAAAATGTGAAGACTCGAAGAGCGGCGCGGGCGCGGGAAAAGTTCGCATTTTGACTTGGTATGGAGGGAGTCAAGCTCGAACTTTTCCTGCGTCGCTGCGCGCTCGATAACTGCGCTCGTGTACTTCGCAGAAGACAAGAAGACATTTAATTCCGTGTTTATCTAAATTTCTTACATCTTCACTCTGTATACTATTCTAAAGTGGTCGTTATGAAGTCATTTTGGGCCGAATTAAAGTTAATAATTTATGTCGCAGACGCTGCCCCCACAAGGCAACACGACATTCAACGTGGTGTACCTCGGCCGGCGAGAAGGGCCCGTCTCTGCGCATCTGTACATACACACTTCGCTCGGCGTACATAAGTATCCTGTAGGTTTAATTTGACAATACTTATTAATACTTAATATATATAGAATTACTTATAGTATTTCACTAGAATCTTCCCTGTCCGAGCCTCTGTAGTCAGCGATATTCGTATTCATTATTATTTAACGTCAAAAAGAAACTACATAGATAGAGATTCCTCGAGATATTCATTATTGTTGAAAGAATCTGTCCCTTTTATAATCGTTTAAAAAGTAGATATGTATTTTTTCAATTATATCAAAAGGTTTTCACATATATAATTTTCACATTTCCAATTTCCATACGAACGATTGAGTGAATGTTTGTTTTAGTTTATAATGTGAGTGTAACGGACAGGTGTCGGCGGTGGGCGAGGCGAGCGAGTACGGGGTGTGGCCGCTGCTGGGGCTGCGCGTGCCGCTGAACGCGACGGTGGAGCCCGAGCTGCGCCTGCACAACCCCACGGCGCGCACGGTGCAGGTGCGCGAGGTGTACAGCTCGGGCGCGTGGCTGCGCCTGCGCCTGCCGGGCGGCGGCGCGCGCGCGCCGCGCGACGCCTGGGCCGTGCCGCCGCGCTCCGAGCGCGCGCTCGTGCTGCTGCGCGCGCTCCCGCACCAGCACGCCGCGCTCAACCAGCCGCTCATCGCGTACGTCAGGTACCCGGACTTACATATTCACTAGGCGAGTTTCGAATGTTTTACAGCTATAATGACCATGGAACGGACTAAAAATAAACCAAAAATCTAAACGCATCCGCGCAAAAAATTAAAAAACATAAATAATTAATTATATTATAAATGCTCTCGTAAATCAAAGAAAATATTACTTTTACCGGAGTCAGTAAATTGTCTATAGTAATAAGGAAAGAAAGCAGTGGTAGCCCAGTGGTAACGCGCTCGCTTGGGAAACCAAGTGAAACTGGTTCGAATCCCGGGTCTCGCACCTCTGATATTTTCATGTGCGAATCATTTTTAACATGATTACCGCTTGCCTTACGGTGAAGGAAAACACCGTGGGGAAACCTGCATGTCTGAGAGAACCTAGCAAGTTTTCGAAAGACATGTGAAGTCCACCAACCCGCACTCGGCCAGCGTGGTGGACTATGGCCTGATCCCCCTCGTATCGAAGGGAGGCCCTCGCCCGGCAGTAGGACGTCAAACGTCAAGAAGGGCTGAATACAATAAGGAAAACTTTGACATCGGCAGAATAAAGGCCGACATCCCGGGCGGCGGGCTGGTGGTGGCGGTGGAGGCGCGCTCGGTGCCGGCGGGCGAGCACGCGCGGCCGCTGCACGTGCGGCTGGGCGCGCGCGGCTCGCGCGACGCGCCCTACACGCTGGCGCTGGAGGCCGCCAACAGCGGCGCGGCGCCGGCGGCGCTGGCGGGCGGCGTGCGCGGCGCGGGCTGCTGGCGCGGCGCGCCGCCGCCGCAGCCCTGCGCCGCGCCGCCGCCCGCGCCCGGCCCGCGCCGGCAGAACGGTACGCCCGCATCCTTGTATATCGAATGTGCCTACTGAAATAATTCTTTATAATAATAGTTACTAGAGTTCGCCGAATGGTCGAACTTGGAAGATTATTATTATTGATTTTTTTTTACTTTTTAAACTATACATAATCCCCGATTTGACCACAGACTTTAACAATAAAGAAAAGAGTATATATGCGTGTGTGTGTCAAATACATGATAGTGTGTGTAATGTTTTTTTTATTGATTTAATGTATTTTTTGTATAATTAAAAGAAATATTAGCATTCTGGACTCCTTCTCTATATAGACCATAAGTATGGAAAATTTCATATTCCTTGGTCCGCGAAATTTTCGCAAAAAAAGGTACAAAGTATTTGCTTCACGTATTAATATATAATAGTATAAAAATATATACAGAAGGCGATTTGTTTTAATGGAAATACTGACATACGCAAGGGTTGTCAAAAAATACCAATCCTCATGGTAACGGTTTTGAAGTTAAAGAGGTGTAGTACCATTCCGCGATAAGTTACAAGTACGTCCCGTGCGCAGGCGCGGCGGCGGCGGGCGCCACGCTGGCGCTGGAGCGCACGTCGCTGGCGCCGCACCAGCCCTTCACGCGCGTCGCCACGCTCACGCTCAACTGTGAGTACTCGGCATACGAATATCTGTACTTGGTGTCTGGCTGTATTATCTATAATATAAAAAATAATCGTTCAATGTGTTGCTTAGCGCAAATATCGAGAGCAGCTGAACCGATTTCGCTAATTCTTTTTATAGAATATTCCTTGAAGTACGAGAATGGTTCTTACGTAGAGAAAAATTTAAAAAATTGCATGAAAAAGTCTAAAAACAACACTTTTCTATACTCCCATACAAAAAATTCGTAATAATACTTAAAATTCAATTTGAACTTGAAAACCATACCGTAAAGTTTAAGTGTTAGTGGAGAGGTTCCGGGAAGGCAAAACAATTGAGTGAAGTTAGTATCGTATAAATATTAATGTCAATATTTGTCAATATTATTAATAAAAAAAATTAAAATGTATATAGTTAACGTTGGCTAATAAATATTTATATCTATATAAAACGTACTTAGCGATGAACCCGAGCGAAGCGGGGGTGAGCCGCTAGTATTCAGATAAATATGATATAATCTATAAAATTTTAAAACATTGTAACATGAAATTTGTTGTTTCTATTATGACTAGCGACTCACTCTCGCTTCGCTAAGGTTCGTCCCTAGTTTCTTTTCCAATACAAACTTTCATCAGAATTTTCACCCCCTCGAGGGATGATTTTCGGGATAAAAAGTATCCTATGTCCATCTCAGGGTCTCGAACTGCCTTCTTACCGAATTTCATCTAAATCGGTTCAGTAGATTCACAAACATTACCTTTTTATAATATGTATTAGTATAGATTTTAAAAGAGAAAACGAAAATATATACAATGTTTTATAGATAATATGTATGAGATGTTGTCGCGCAGACACCGAGCTGTGGGCGCAGACGGCGGGCGCGGGGGAGGCGGGGGAGGCGTGGTGCGCGGGCTGCGCGCGCCTCGGCCGCGCGCACGTGCCCTTCAGCGTGCGCCTGCTGCCCGGCGCGCTCAGCTTCACGCCCGACCACTTGGAGTAACTATCGCCCCTCACTATGTGCCCACGTACTTAATATTCATGTAAATTATGTCAAAATGTGCAATATCGAGTATAGAAAACTTCTACGAAAAAGTATCTTCAAAAAAAAAATGTTGACATGATACTGAGTTTCGTACCACTAAAGATTTATATTATGCTTTGACTTACGTGATGTATTAGAATGAAGGCTAACGAATAGACGTGTTAAATGTACCGAATGTGTAGTGTAGTGACGGCGGCTGCGGACGCGCTGCGCGAGCACACGCTGCGCGCGCGCAACGACTTCGCGCAGGCGCTGCGCGTCCACGCGCTGCACGTGCCGCCCGAGCTCGCCGAACACTTCCACGTGCGTACCTCCCACTCCGTACACTCCACGACCTCGCCACCGCCACTGCCACTCGCCATCGATATTGATTTGTGCATTATGCCGCGAAATAATTATAATTACGTAGTCGAGGAACGAGATTTCGGTGATCGATCGAATTTCATTTATTTTAATGTTAAAAACGATAGAAGCATTTTATTGAAATTACCTAAAAATGATAAAATTTATATATATGATTTTTCTGTTTGATCATAATATTTAATTCACTCGAAATACTCGTAGTATTGAAGTGAGAGCAATTGGTAAAGCGAACGAGCGTGCAGGTGGAGGCGCACACGCCGCTGACGCTGCGCGCGGGCGCGGCGGGCGCGCTGCTGCGCCTGCGCCTGCGCGCGCGGCCGCCCGCCGCGCTGGCGCTGGCCGCGGCGCTGCGCGTGCACACCGACCTGGCGCACTACGACCTGCCCGTGCGCCTCTACAGCGGGAAACTCATATTTGTGAGTCCCTTTCTTCTCTCCTTCACTATTCATTCATTATAATATAAAAAATATTATAAACCCGACTACGTAAACAAGAACTAAAAGAAGAACTTTTTATGGGCTGGCACCGATTTCGAAAATATTTGATTAGGTATGTATAGTAAATGAAAACTACCAATCAGTTATTTTTTACTTTTTAGTGCTTTTGTTTGAAGTCGGTTTTTATTTTTTTGTTAAAAAGTTTTTATTTTTCCCTTTTTAGTGTAGACAGTAGTAGCAAAGTAAGGATTCTAACGTGTTAGGCTTGTCAAATCAAACAAAATAAGCCCAAACTCAAAGTATCTACTATTAACCGTTGAAGAGTTCCACCTATCCACCTTCTGGCCTTGCCATCAGATCAGGTCAATAATACCGAACCACTGTACTATTAACGGAAATAGAAATACTTGCAAAGTTTCAAGTCAATATGACAATTAGAAGTAGGTTAAATTCATCATTAGTTGTTTTTCCACCCTTAGGGGTGGTATTTTTTTTTGAAATTTAAATGGGACCAATCTGGAAGTATACCCTTTCAAACAAAACAAAAATTGTCCAAATCGGTTAATAAATGACGGAGTTCTGAGGTAACAAACATAAAAAAAAACATACAGTCGAATTGAGAACCTCCTCCTTTTTGAAGTCGGTTGAAAATGTAGTTAAATTCTATTAAAATGTTGTAATCGAAGACGTGAGTGTGTGTGTGTGTCGGCTCGTCGCAGGAGTGGGACTGGGTGAACGCCACGTCGGAGTCGCTGGAGCTGGGCACGGTGGGCACGTCGTGGACGCGGCGCGTGGGCGTGCGCCTGCGCAACCCCGCGCCCGCGCCGCTGTGCCTGGCCGCGCTGGGCGCCGCGCTGCCGGGCGCCGCCGCCACGCTCACGCTGGCGCCGCCGCGCGACTGCGTGGCGCCCGGCGCCTGGGCGCAGGCCTGGCTGGCCGTGGTGGCGCCGGCGCGCGAGGCCGCGCTGCGCGGCGCCGCCTTCGCCAACACCACGCTGGCGGGCGCCGTGGCCGCGCTGGCGCTGCGCGTGCGCGCCGGCCACGTGCGCGCGCGCGCGCTGCGCCTGCCGCCCGCCGCGCCGGTACGATAATGAATGAACTACAATTGTTTTTAAAATATTTACATACTAGGTAAAAAAAGAGTCAGTGCAGCGATGTATACCTACAGTGTACACGCGCAAGAAGTGAAACTTCTGTAGGTCAACGATACTTTTTATGAAATGCGAGTATTTTAAATAATTAGAATAGGAGACCTTTATAGATTTAAAAAAGAAAAATAATATTTTATTATTCACATTGTACAGATGGTGTTCAGATATCATTAAATTTTTAATCAAATGTTGTTGTACATTAACGTAAAATGATTCAATAAGTTATATACTCCAATAAAATTGAAAATAATACAGGGATGGAAATATCTAGCGAAAAAAAAATAAATTTTTAAAATGGGTAAAAAAATTTTTTAAAATTTTTTTAACAATTTTAATAATAAAATTATATATCAAATATGTAAATAATTTTAAATGAATATAAAATTTTACATTTGATATGATTCCATCGATCATTTAAAAATAAAAACTAAATGTGGCACTCGGAGACTGCCGCGGTAAAGCTATTGCATAGCATTTTTATCAACTTATGCAATTATAATTATTTATTTATTTTATTAATGCAGTTTTTTTTTCCTTGACTTTCTTCATTAATAAATGCACTTTGTTTATTCATATTTAAAACACTTTGTACACAAATTATACGAGTACAGATATTCACTGTTGTACATAGATGATAAATACCTATAGACCTATATACTTTCTCACAAACAGCTGATTACGGTAGTTTTCCAATACAACCAATGCCACCTAATGATATTTCAAAAAGTCATTAAAAGTTCTGGTATTTATCGATAGATGGAAAAACTAAAAAGTATCACCGCTGTGCCGGTCGGAGTGGGGGGTGTCAGGTTTTTTTCGTTACGGAATTTCTGGATTCGGTCCCCACGCTCAAGGCCCGCGATAGAAGCTATGCAATAGCTTAATAAAAGAAGTATTTTTTAATATATTTTTTTTAAATTATTATTTATTATAAATACATATATATTTTCGATTAATTTATTTTTTGAAATATTCATATAATAATTTTTAATTTACTATTTATTCACTTTCGTAACAACAGTTTCCGTTACAAAAATCGTTGTGGTGTCATAATAGGGTGATGTCATTAACCTACTTTAAGTTAGTATTTAAGCTATTATATCTTATTATATTAGAGACTTATTAAAGTGTATTCGAACCTAGTGGTTGTCTGATTACAATCCCGCTCCGAACCCTATATGGCGACCCTGCCAGCGCGTGCGCGAGTCCGGTGTCCGGCCGTATATGGCAATGATAAAATAAACACTAAGTGAAATGTAAAGTTAAAGACAATAATTATAATTATGGCGTTGTTATATTGCGAAGTCCCATCTAGAGTGACTGTGAATTTGTGGCAAAGACTTTATCAAAAATTAAAAATATGGGCTAGCAGCAATCCAAGGAGCAAGAAATTATAATCGCTCAAAACGGAGCTGGGAACTCTGCCTCCACGGAGCAATTATTGTGGCATACCACCTCAACATCTTATGCTCTAATCGCAATTTGTGCTCTTCTTTTTGTTGGGGCCGCGATAATCCTGTTCCGATATTATCGGAAATGCCATGACGAATGGATCCAGCGTGGGATAGAGGCTTATGACTTAAGAAGGTCTATGAGCACGCTGCGGCGACGAGAACGTGGGTCTGCTGCTACAGGGAATTCACCAGTGTGAGTGTGTGTGCGTGATGGTTCTTAAAAATGCGTAAAGAATATTATGTGGTTATTGAGTGTTAGTGTAATCCTAGTTTAACTTATTAATTATGTATTAATCTGTAATCATTCTAATATAAGTGTAAACCTATGTAACCGTATTAAAAAAAAATGTATTATGTATCCTTAGGTTATGGCAGATAAAATTAATGAAATATTAATAGAATTAAAGCATATTAAAGATTACCTAACGAAGTTAGGGCCTAGTAGAAGGACATCTAGTGTAAGAGACAAAAAGAGGGCCGAAGCAAAATTTTTATATGATAAATTTTGGTTATTAAGTAAGTCGCTTATAAAGCAAGTAGAAACTAAGGAAATAAAAAGTTCAGAGAGTCAAAAGCTTTGTGAAATATTCGATACAATTAATTCGATTTATTCGAAAATACTTCAACTTTGTTCTGAAAACATAGGTAGGTATCATAGTACAACAATCATGGAGAAGTTTGAGTTAAAAACTGCAGTTTCTCTGTTGCCAGTTATGACGGGTGATGAGAATGTCACTAAACAGTTAATTTCTAATATAGAAATGTATGAGTCAATGATTGATGATGATAGCAAAAAGCTACTGATACAGTTTGTTTTAAAATCTAGATTGTCAGAAAGCGCCAAGCTGCGCATGTGCTCTAATTATTTATCTGTTTCAGACTTAATCAAGGATATGCGAGATATATTGTTGCCTAAAAAATCTGACACAGCGATACAGTCTCAGCTACAATATATTCGACAGGATAACACAAGTATTCAAGAGTTCGGTAAGCAAATTGAAAAATTATATGTTGATTTGACAGTTTCTCAGGCCAACGGTAACTCTGGCTCTTATGAAATTTTAAAGCCAATAAACGAGCGTATTGCGATAAAGAGATTTGCCGATGGCCTGCGGAATAGTCGTCTTAGTACGATCATAGCGGCTAGAAACTATAGCTCGCTAAAAGACGCTATTCAAGGTGCGTTGGATGAGACCTTATCGAGCGGAAGGGAAGAGCGAATGATGAATTGTCATCATAAAAGAGGTAGGTCTAGTTTTCATAACACTTTTTATAACCGTAACCAACCAGCAGGGTTTCACAAAAATAGTTCTAGAGGGAATTCTAGAGGGATGCCCACTCCTCGGATTTTAAATAATCGTGGTCATGGTTATAGTTCTAGTAATTGTGGTAATGGTCGTAATTTCGCTTCTCGCGGAAAAAATTATTATCACGGTTCTAGCGGTTTTCGTGGCCAAGCATGGGTTCGTAGTCAGGCGCGACGGAATCAGATAAACTTTGCTGAAATGAATATTAAAGATAATTCAAAACAACAGTCTGAGGTCCAAGACAATAGTAACAAGGACAAAAATTGGTTTTTTCGTGCATGATCATTTTTATTGCGAAAATATTAATTCGGTTCATATAAATGTTTTTAATGAGTCTTGTAGTTGGCTAATTGATACCGGTGCCTCACTGTCGGTAATAAGACACGAGTTATTACATAAATGGGATGTTCCTTTCCATATAGAGCGCATTAAAATAAACGGTATTGGAGGACATATATTTTGCGATGGTTTTGTTTGTTTAGAATTAAACTATAATAACTTCTATTTTAAACACAAATTTTATGTTTTGAAAAACTTTTCATGTAGAACAGATGGTATATTAGGACAAGATTTTTTAAGTAAATTTAATTCTATATTAGATTTTGAACGAAATATTTTAACGCTTCAATAAGGTTCATCTATTGAAATACCTTTACAAATGGGTAAACTTGGCTATAATAATTATATAAAAATTCCGCCAAGGTGTGAATTTACTTATTTTATGCGAACCGACTTAAAAAATGAGTATGTAGTTATGCCTAAGCAATTGAGTGATGGAGTATTTTTAGCATCTGTTTTGGTTAGCCCTATTTGTGGTAAAATTCCTCTGAAAATTTTAAATACTAGAGAAGAAGAAGTAAAACTAAGTTACTTCGTTCCTGAGGTAGTTAGTCTTAGTGATTATTCCTTGTGTTCATTTGAAAAAAGTAACGTGAATGCTGAACGTGTGAAAAAGTTATTTTCTATTTTGAATCTTAAAGATCTTACCAAAGAAGAACAAATTTCTATCGAAAATATATGTGCTAAATACTCCGATATTTTTTTATTGCCAGGAGATAAATTAGGAGTTACAAATTTATACCAGCAATCAATACATTTAAAAGATAATGCTATTCCTACGTACACAAAGCCTTATAGATTACCAAAAAGTCAAAAACATGAAATCGATAGGCAAATTCAACAAATGTTAGATAACGATGTTATAGAGGAAAGTAGAAGCGAATGGTCTAGTCCAGTTCTTCTCGTTCCGAAGAAAAGTGATAGTAATGAAAACAAAAAATGGAGGATTGTAATTGACTATAGGAAATTGAATGATAGGTTGAAAGATGATAAGTTTCCATTGCCTAACATAACAGAGATACTTGACTCTTTATCAGGTGCTATTTATTTTACACATTTAGATCTCAGTCAAAGTTATTATCAATTAGAGTTATGCCCAGACAGTAGAAAGTATACTGCATTTACTGCCGACAGGCAATACCAAATGAAACGACTTCCAATGGGTCTTAAAATTAGCCCAGGAGCTTTTAGTCGAATGATGACAGTAGCAATGTCTGGCTTACAATATGAAAAATGTCTTATTTATCTCGATGACGTTATATGTTTTGGGAGGAGTCTAAATTCCCATAATAATAATTTAATTGACATTTTTGAGAGATTTCGGAAAGTAAATTTAAAATTAAATCCCGAAAAATGTAAATTTTTAACGAAGCAACTGTTATATTTAGGCCATGTAGTATCTTCTAAAGGTATCTTACCTGATCCAGAAAAACCAGAGTATTGCAATGTTATCAAACTCCGAAGAATGTCGATGAAGTTAGACGGTTTGTAGCTTTCGCAAATTATTATCGTAAATTTATCCCGAATTTCGCTAATATAACTATACCATTGAACAAACTTTGTAGGAAAGGTGCTAGTTTTGTGTGGAGTATCGAATGCAAAAACTCATTTAATAAACTTAAGCAATCCCTTATTAATCCACCCATTTTACAATATCCGAATTTTGATGAAGAAAACGAATTTATATTGCGCACAGATGCTTCCGGATTAGCTATAGGCTCGGTATTATGTAATAAAAATGATTTACCAATAGCATATGCGAGTCGTTCTTTAAATAAAGCCGAGGTAAACTATCCAACCATAGAAAAAGAGCTTTTATCTTTTGTTTGGTCTGTGAAATATTTTCGACCTTATTTATTTGGCAAGAAATTTACAATCAAAACGGATCACAAGCCTTTAATCTATTTATTTAGTATTAATAATCCTTCCAGTAGACTGTTAAAATTTCGATTAACCTTAGATGAGTATGATTACGTAATAGAATATGTTAAAGGTGTGAGTAATGTGGCTGCAGACGCATTATCGCGCATTATTTTAACATCTGATGAGTTAAAAAACATGAATACGGAATATTTGAATGTAATGACACGGCGGATGGCGAACAAACTATACGATAAACCAAATGATACGAGTACTTTGGTTGACAAGAGTGTCGAAGACAATTGGTCTGATCAACCGAGAGTCGTTGAGATTCTTGAAAAGCCAAAACATTGCACTGAACTAATTATTTCATCTTATAAACTAGGGAAAAATGTGAAATACGTGCACTTTAACGATTTCGTATACGTACCTAACAAGGATAAGATTTTTATAGACCCATTTTCTCGATCATGTTCGACGCGAGACGTCTTCGTGAGAGATTTGGATGCTATTTGCAAAAAGCTAGCGATCGATGAAATTTATGTAATAAAAAATAATGAAAGTAAAAAGTATATAGAATGGTTAACCAAAAGTTATAAAACTAATAATAACCGGGAAAGTCCCCGTATTTATATTATAAAAAATGTAATAAGCATAGAAAACGATGACGACAAAAAAGTTATTCTTAATGATTTTCATTTACTTCCTACAAGTGAACACGCGGGCATACGTCGTATGCTCAATAATATTAAAAAATATTACTTTTGGCCAAAAATGGTAGAAGATATAACGGAATATGTAAAAAAGTGTAGCAAATGTCAAAAACAGAAACATTCGTTGCACACTAAACAACCAATGGTTATTACTACGACTGCGCAGTCTGCCTTTGATAAGGTTTTCTTAGATATAGTTGGGCCCTTAGATAAGGATTACTATAATTACTCATATATACTCACTCTTCAGTGTGAATTAAGTAAGTATATTGAAGCATTCCCATTAGTAAGTAAGGATAGTGTAAGTGTAGCGCGAGCCTTCGTAGATAACTTCATTCTAAGGTATGGTATACCACGGGAGATCGCCACCGATAAAGGATCGGAATTTATCTCTAATACAATGTCTGAGGTATGTAAATTACTTAATATAAAACAAACTTTGTCATGCGCATATCATCATGAATCTATTGGTTCACTTGAGAACTCACATAAATGTCTTAATGCATATTTGAGAATCCAAACTGACAACAATTCTAGAGATTGGAGTTATTGGCTACCATATTGGTGTTTTTCATACAATACTTCTGTACATTCAGCAACTAAGTTTACGCCGTACGAACTTGTTTTCGGTAAACCATGTAATATACCTTCTAATTTAAGAAATCATACAATTGAACCATTATATAACTTTGAAAATTATCCACTAGAATTAAAATTTAGACTTCAAAAAGCACATGCTGATGCAAGAAAAAATTTAATTTTATCTAAAGAAAAAAGGAAAAATAGATATGATGAATATTTAAAACCTGTGATGTATAATAAAAATGATATGTTATTAGTAAAAAACGAAGTAGGAAATAAATTCAGTGATGTGTACTCTGGTCCTTATAAAGTTTTAAAGGATATGGAACCTAATGTTAAAATTTTACGTAATAATAAGGAAGAAATTATACATAAGAATAGGACGAAATTGTATGTAGAGTAAAAAAAAAAAAACAAACAATGTATTTCTTTTTTTTTTTCGTTTTGATGGGGCGTGTGGTGTCATAATAGGGTGATGTCATTAACCTACTTTAAGTTAGTATTTAAGCTATTATATCTTATTATATTAGAGACTTATTAAAGTGTATTCGAACCTAGTGGTTGTCTGATTACAATCCCGCTCCGAACCCTATATCGTAACTCCAACCCTTTTTTTGCTACATTTCATAGGGTTCCGTTTAATATTCAAAATTCATTATTACATGATATTTATATAATTATACAAATAAATAATATGATGTGTGTGTGTGTGTGTGTTTGTTGTGCGCAGTACGCGGGCAGCAGCGCCGAGCTGGAGGTGGAGAGCAGCATGGCGGTGCGCATGCGCGTCACGGCGCTGCAGGCCGCGCCGCCGCGCGCGCCAGAACCCGCGCTGCTCTTCGAGTCAGTACACGCACGCACAGTGCACACTGCTGGGTGCACTCAAGTCTCACTTTACATAGTCATCTTCCTTTATTAATGCTGATAGTCAAATCTAATAAATAGATCAAAGTGACACATTTAATTTTTTAAGATGAGCATACTCTTATTTGATTTGTAGCCCTTAATTAACAAGAGTCGAATCGAACAATAATTTGATACGATACTCTAAGAGTATGAATGTAATGTGTGCCGGTGATTGCACTCCCGCAGCTGGGAGGGGCCGGGGCGCGGCGAGGTGGCGCCGGGGCTGCAGCGCGTGGCGACCGTCTCCTTCGCGCCCGAGCGCCGCTGCGAGCCGCGCTGCTACACCGGCCTCGACCCGCACACGCCAGGTACGTACCTACATACACACGCACGCACACACGCACACGCACGCGAGGCCGCGGACTGACGCGAGGGTGTGTCGCAGAGGGCGCGGCGTGGGCGCGGCGCGGCGCGCGCTGGGACGAGGCGGCGCTGCGCGAGGACGCGGCGCTGCTGCGGGCGCGGCTGGCGCGCTACGCGCAGCACGCCGCCGCCGCGCCGGGGACCAACTTCACGCTGCATCTGCACACCACAGAGGTACGACGCATCCCGGTAGACGTCCGCTGTGCGATGACACTTGTTCGTTTCGTGTTAAATTACTAATAACTAGAAGTAAATTACATATAGAATTATGATACAGAACATTGAGAACTAAAAATTGTATAAAATTCATATTATGAGTGTGTCGTTCTGAACTAGGTTTGACAAACATTATTGAATCATTTCAAACGCCCTATCGGCGACTGCGTAATATATTTCGAAATAGCATATGATATATGTAAAATGAGTAGAATGCGATTTTAAAAATACGATTGTCGGTAAAATGAAAGAAAGAATACACACGTATATATGCACATCGCTTGCACAGGTGCTGCAGATAGTGGTGAGCGGGTCGGCGCGGCTGCAGTGGCCGCGGCTGGCGGCGGCGCGCGCGGGCGCGGCGGCGCTGGCGGCAGTGCGCCGCGCCGCGCCGCTGCGCCTGGCGCTGCGCAACCCCGCGCACGTGCCGCTGCTGCTGCACGCGCTGCCCGCGCCCGCCGCCGCCCTCCTGCCCGACCTGCCGCCCAGGTCTGTTGCGTCTAGCGCTCTTCGCCCTCGTGCTGACACTTGCACATTAATGTTCGTGCAATTATCATATATATAGTTCTGTTCGTTTTGGATCGCAGCGCCGGTGGTGATTCCGAGTTTTGCACGAACGAGAAATGTATTTGGTCCCGTGACGCGTTTAACCTGACGGGATGGCGCGCGACGCGCGGCGAGGCGCGCGAGTACAGCGACGCGGCGGCGGGCGAGGGCGCGCCGCCCGCGCTGCTGCTGCAGCCGCACGCGGAGGTCGAGCTCAGCGTCACGTTCTCGCCTCCGGACGCCGGCTCTTTCACGACATATCTGTATTTGAGGTGCCGCACTTTATACCCTCGTCTCATATTATTCGGTTTCGTCCGTGGACCGATATTGAAGTGCTATTTCATTGCAGAAACAATTTGACGATATTGGAGGGCGTGCAACTGTACGGTCAGGGGGAGTACCCTCGCTTCGACATCGGCGGCAAGCGGCCCGGGGCGGCGTCGCCGTTCGTGTTCGAGGTGCGCGAGTGCTCGTGGAGCGGCGTGACGGGCGGCGGCGGCGCGGCGGCGCGGCGGCTGGTGGCGCGCAACGCGGGGCGCGTGCGCGTGACGCTGGCGGGCTGGAGCGTGGCGCGCGGCGGCTGCGCGGCGCGCGGCTGGCGCCTGGCGCCCTGCGCGCCGCTGCACCTCGCGCCCAACGCCTCCGCGCCGCTGCACCTCGCCTTCGCGCCCGACTACTCGCTCTCGCGCCTCACCGCCACGCTGCATCTGCACACGGACCTGGGTGAGCTTTACCATCTACTCTATAGAGAATATGTCTCATTTCTGAAATAAAACTTAAAAGTAAGTCAATACATTGAAATGTCAAAAATTTGTTTGTCAAATTAAATGTTTAACACCTCCGAGTAAATATCTAAGAAATTAATTAAAATCCTAAGAAATCTGTTGTTAACTGACACCCGGCGTGTCCGCGGTCGCGGAGGGATTAAACTTTTTTTTCATATTCTTCTCAGCAAACCCTTTCATTTGATATCCATATCATGGAGATGCATAGGTGCATAAAAAACATCTTTGGGATCTGCCATATCAGATTTACAATGATGTCACTTTGCTTATTGGATTTCCTTTTTTTCCTTCTTTACTAAAGCAAGCTATTATCACTCCTGTTTACAAGAGTGGTGCCGAGAGACGATGTCAACAATTATAGGCCAATTTCGATTTTGCCCTGTATCTCTAAAATAGTAGAAAAAACTAATTAACAAAAGATTAATATATTTTATGAATAAATTTAACATCTTATCTGATTCTCAGTTTGGCTTTAGGCAAGCAAAATCTACAGAGGATGCTGTTACTGCTTTAACTTCATTAATTGTTGAACAACTTGATGTAGGTAACAAAAGTCTTGCTGTCTTTTTAGATCTAAAAAAGGCTTTTGACACCGTCTCTGGGCACAAATTTAGAATTGGGGACTTGGCCCCTAGCGGAGTGGGTGGTATTTCTGGATAAGGGACGTGATAGGGAGTCGAAATGTTAAATAAAAATTGTCCGCAAACGTATGAGTAAAAAGTTATTGAGACTTAAAGTTACAACATTTCCATACATTTTCATATATTTCTTTACCACCATTCGGAGTGGGTGGTATTTTTAGATAGGGGAGGTGACAGAGAGTCAAAATATATTAAAAATATTTGGAGGAAACGTACGAGTAAAAAGTTATTGAGACTTAAAGTTATAACATATCTAACACATTTCCATACATTTCTTTACCTAAATAAGTGATTACAACAGATAAACATACCTTTAACGAATAGTACGCATCCTTTTTTATGTACATTACACATTTTCACAACAATTATTATATGCTTTATTGTATTTAATATTTTAATAATTTCACAACACAAACAAAATGATCTTACATTTTGACAAAAGCAAAACTGACACTTTGTTTTATATTACCGCTTAAATGACAACAGATTATATTTGATTATTTTTGCTTTTTCTGTTGGTAAAATATTACTATTAATAAATAAATAAATAAAAAGAAAAATATTATTTTCACTTTATAAATACATTTATGACTTTTTATTTGATTTATGTAAAATATATTGTTTTACAATTGTACATTTAGTAAAAAAAATCATTTTTTTATCTGTGAATATTTTTAATTATTTATTTATTATTCGTCATATCTGGGTTAGGTTAGGTTAGAACATTTAAGATTATATATTTATTATTCGTCATATCTGGGTTAGGTTAGGTTAGAACATTTAAGATTATTTATTTATTATTCCTCATATCTTGGTTAGGTTAGGTTAGAACAGTTGCCACAACCATAAATGACTAGAAAACTAGAAAATTGGAATTTCACGTAAAGTACAAATAAAGACAATCATCTGGAGATCATTTTGACAATTGAAAGTGACGTTTTGACTCCAAGTGTCTAAATGGTAGTAATGTCAAAATAATGTATGGAAATGTTGTAACTTTAAGTCTCAATAACTTTTTACTCATACGTTCGCGGACAATTTGTATTTAACATTTCGACTCCCTATCACGTCCCTTATCCAGAAATACCACCCACTCCGCTAGGGGCCAAGTCCCCAATTCTAAACTGCAGCCTGTCCCCATTCTCGTACAAAAGTTAGAAAATATTGGCATCAGAGGGACCCCTCTTTTACTTCTTAAAGATTATTTATGTAATCGTAAGCAGAAAGTAAAAATTGGACAACTGTTGAGCGAAGATTCATACGTAACTTATGGCGTCCCACAAAACAGCGTTTTGGGCCCGACTTTGTTTCTAATTTATATTAACGATTTGTGTACCTTAAACATAAACGGGGCCAGGATCTTTGCCTATGCTGATGATACGGCTATAGTTTTCAATGAGCCTACGTGGGATACTGTTCATGAAGCTGCAGAAAGAGGATTCCGTGAAGTTGCCTGTTGGCTAAGAGCAAACCTGCTTTCACTTAACACTGAGAAGACAAATTACATTTGCTTTTCAAAAAATATCCGATCACAACCTTCATGTAACTTTACTATTCAGATTCATTCCTGCAAAAGCACTACTTATCAAAGCTGTAGCTGTCCTATAATCAACAAAGTAGCCACGACTAAATATCTAGGTATTATGGTTGACCAAAGACTTTCGTGGCACTCACATATTGAATTAGTTACTTCCAGAGTCAGAAAATTAATATGGATTTTCAGGAATTTAATATATTCAGCTTCGAAAATACTATTAACTAAAATATATGTCGCATTAGCCCAGTCAGTGTTGTGTTACTGTATCTCAGTGTGGGGTGGAGCCTCTTAAAGTGAAATTTCTGGAAGTGGAAAGAGCACAGAGGTCACTACTCAAAGTGATGTTCTTCAAATCATACACATATCCTACTCATGAATTATACTCAGAAAGCAACATTCTATCCGTTAGACAATTATATATTTTATCGGTTGTTTTTAGACATAAAAATGTGGTTATTGATTCTAACATAGTAGATAAAAGAAGAAATCGTGGTGTTCTTATGCTGCCTAGGATCAAAACAGTTTTCGCTGCACGTCAGTACAAAATTCTGTCAGGACGCTTGTATAATAAAATAAACAAAACCATAGAAATCTATCCTTTGAGTTATCACCACTGTAAATCAGTCTTAACTAATTGGCTTAAGTCGAATAATATGAGGATACAGAAATGCTTTTGGAATCAATCTCCTGAATATGACACACACACACACACACGCACGCACGCACGCACGCACGCACGCACGCACGCGCACGCACGCACGCACGCACGCACGCACGCACGCACACGACACGACACGACACACTCGACACACACACACACACGACACACACACACACACACGAGACACACATGACACACACACATGACACACACACATACGAGACACACACGACACACGACACACACACGACACACACACACACACACACACGTGACACACACGACACACACACACACGAGACACACACGACACACGACACACACACGACACACACACACACACACACACGTGACACACACACACACGACACACACGACACACACACACACACGACACACATGACACACATACACGACACACACACATTACACACACACGAAACACACACACGACACTCATGTCACACACATATGACACACACACATGACACACATGAAACACATGACTCACTCACATGACACACACACATGACACACACACATGACACACATGAAACACATGACTCACTCACATGACACACACACATGACACACCCATATGACAAACATGACACATGACACACACACATGACTCACATGACACACACACATGACACACTCACATGACACACATGACAACATGGCAATCATGACACACATGACGCACATGCAACTCATGTCACACATGACACACACACACATGACACACACACACATGACACACACACATGACACACACATGACACACATGACACACACACACGACACACATGACACACACATATGACACACACACATGACACACACATGACACACATGACACACACACACATGACACACACACACACACACACATGACACACACGACACACACACACGACACACACACACGACACATGACACACATGACACACACACGACACATGACACACATGACACACACACGAAACACAAACACGACACTCATGACACACACACATGACACACACACATGACAAACATGACACATGACACACACACATGACACACATGGCACATGACACACACACGACACACATGACACACACACACGACATACACACATGACACACACACGAAACACACACGACACACATGACACACACATGACACACATGACTCACTCACATGACACACACACATGACACACACATGACACACACACGACACATGACACACATACGACACACACACCCGACTCACATGACACACACACGACATACACACATGACACACATGACACACATGACACACACACGACATACACACACGACACACATGACACACACATATGACACACATGACACACACACATGACACACATGACTCACTCACATGACACACATGACACACACACACATGACACACATTACACATGACACACACACATGACACACATGACACATGACTCACTCACATGACACACATGACACACACACATGACAAACATGACAAACATGACACACATGACACACATGGCACACATGCCACTCATGTCACACATGACACACACACACACACACACACACACACACACACACACACACATTACACACACACAAGACACACACACACACACACACACATGACACACACGACACACACACACGACACCACATGACACACACACACATGACACACACGACACACACACACGACACACATGACACACACACACGACACACATGACACACACACACATGACACACACGACACACACACACGACACACATGACACACACACACATGACACACACGACACACACACACGACACACATGACACACACACACACACACACACACATGACATAACACATATGACACACACACATGACACACATGACTCACTCACATGACACACATGACACACACACATGACTCACTCACATGACACACATGACACACACACATGACACACATGACTCACTCACATGACACACATGACACACACACACACACACACACACACACACATGACACACATGACACACATGGCACACATGACACACGCATGTCACACACACACATGACACACACACACATGACACACACACACACACACATGACACACACACACACACACACACACACACACACACACACACACACATGACACACACACCACACACACACACACACACACACACACACACACACACACACACACACATGACACACCACACACGCACACATGACACACACACACACACATGACACACACACACACACACACACATGCCACTCATGTCACACATGACACACATTTTGTTAATGAATAAAATATTTTTATTTTTTATTTCGCTGATCATGCCCTTTCATTTGATGGCCATATTATAAGAGTCACTATGGAAATAATAATCCGTCATTTTGTAACATCCGCCATATTGGATCAAAATGACGGCATTTAGGTAATCGTGCAATCACGAGAACCAAACGTGTGTGGCAAATTTCAGCTCATTCGGGTAATGGGACAAATTTAACTTTGCAAGATTTAATTACTGACAGACACCGGGAGTGGGACTAACTTCATGCTTTAGTGAATAACGCCTAACTTCATACTGTAGTCTAAATGTAACTCATCGTAAAAAAAACATTTATCATTAATTTTTCATAACGTGCCAAAAGAAGTATAACTTTATTATTTAAAGCTTTTGATTTGCTAGAAAGTAATAAATAGAATATCGTCACATATTCTTTTTTTTCAACTAAACTATAAAATGTAAGGTTATAGTTATTTGCAATTCATGCACAGGTCCAGCTGAATACGTTTTGATGGCGACAGTACCCGCCAAGGTGCTCGCCCAGTGTGCGGCGATCGCTCCCCGCCCGCCCTGGGAGGGCCTGCTGCGCTCCGCCGGCACGGTGCTCGCCTTCGCCGCCTTCGCGCTCGTGCTCGCCGCCGCCGCGCTCGACGCCGAGCGCCTGCTGCGCCGAGCGCGCGCCGCCCGACCGCCCCCGCCGCCTCACGCGCCGCTCGACCTGCGCCGCCTGGCACCGCCCGCCCCCCGCGCCCGCGCCCGCGCCGCCCCGCCCGGCGCCCCGCCGCCGCCGCGCCCAGCGCCGCCCCGCGCCGCTCGACCCGCGCGCCGAGCGACGCGCCTTCGAGCGCTGGCGCGCCGAGGTGCTGCGCCGCGGCGACGACTCCTCGCGCTCCAGCGAGGACGTCGACCTGGACCTCGACGACGCGCCGTCCGCCCTGCGCGACCGCTCCCTAGAGACGCCGCTCCACGATAGTTTCCAGCCTGACAATAACGACGTCGACGACGGCGCGGAGGACGCCGAGCCCACGCCGGCCGACGAGGAAGGCGGCTCCACCGGCTCCGACGTGTCTACTCCCGCCGAGGACCGCGACGACGCGGACGAGCCCTACGGCGGTGACGTCGAGCCCGATCCCAGGGACGACTCGCCCACTGATGGCTGCGACGTGACGCCTATCGTCAAGCCGCTCGTGCTGCCGCCGGCGCGCACGCAGCCCGCCGAGCCGGCGCGCGCGCGCGGGCGGCGCTCGCTGGGCGAGGGCGGCGAGGCGCGGCGCGAGCGCGCGCGCGCCGGCGACCCGGCGGAGCGCCGCGCGCCGCCCGCGCGCCACCACGTGCGCAAGGAGCGCGCGCCGCGCCGCCGCGAGCGCGCGCTGCCGTCGCCGCCGCCGCGCTCGCCGGCGCCGGGCGCGGGCGCGGAGGCGGGCGCGCGCTCGTGGAGCGCCGTGGTGTCGGGCCCGCCGCTGGCGCCCATCGGCTCCGACGTGCGCCGCCGCGAGCCCGACCGCGCCTCCGACAACTCCCTCTTCTACTTCAACGGCAGCACCGACGCCGCCGCGCGCCCCGACACGGAGTTCGCGTGGCGCCCGCCCGTGGCCGCGGACAGGCCCGCCTTCGCGCCGCCCAGAGATTACTTAGGTGAAGTCTTGCTACTTATTACCGACGAGATTATTAAATAAATATTACGCTTTGTTCGCTTCTAATACTAAAAAATAATTTCGATTGATATATATTTAAGTAAATCATCAGTGTATTATTATTTATAGTTTCAGACGAGACGCACACGCTAGGTGTGGGAAGCGTGGGGAGCGTGGGAGGAGTGACCGGGGTGGGCGGTGGGTACGGCGTGGGACTGGGCTCGGTGTGGGGCGGCGGCGGATGGGGCGCGTGGGGCGCGGGCCCGCTGCGGCCGCCGCCGGGTTTCGCGCCGCCCTCGCCGCCCGCGCAGCAGCGCTCCTACGACCCCTTCCAGTCGCTGGCCTCCATATGGGCGCCGGCGCCGCACGAGTGGCGCCCCGCGCCCTCCCCCGCGCCCGCCTCGCCGGCGCATGCGGCGCCCGCGCGCGACCGCGACGACCACAATTAGACCACGCGACCGAACTACCGACTCACCTGCGGCATCACTCGAAAACAGACATGCGACTAAACCTACAGGACACCGGCTACGACGATATTCGAATGGATCTGTTATTGGATAAAGTAAAAAGCACGAGCTCTACGAACGGCACGCTCTGGACAGCGGCGCGCGGCGATGCGCTAGTCAACGTCCCACATCGCCCGCGTCGGACTTTTATATTCCATATTAAAGTTGACCTCTCGACATTTTGTAACGATCTTGCGCAAGGACTGCATGCAGCCTACTCTGTTGTACAAGATCTAATGTGAAATATGAACAACCAGAAACCTAACATGTCTTTTATTCATACCTATACCTTATTTGCTTACTGTCCCTAAGTATAAACGCAACATAATAACAAAAATAATTTTATTTCATAACAGAAACATATACTTTTCCTAATTACACATTTTTTATATAATCGTCAGTAGTCTGTCCGTTTGGAAGCTACCACCGATTCATAAAACAAGTTTGCTCAAAAGAGCTCTTTTATATATATATTGAGCTACAGAATTTATAATAACAATTTATAGTATTACACCAGTGACTAGTAGTCACTACTCATCGGCATCTGTCACTGATAACGCGGGAAGAATTTAACAATGCGCGCACTTTTTACTTTTTGTTAAATATATTGTTATTAGCCAGGCTTGCATAAATAAAGTTTTATATATTACAAATTAGTCAAGTTCATTAAAACGCTCCTATAGGAATAGGCAATCTTACAATATACACACAAAATTACAAACATGCGTTTGTACAGATATCGACTTAAACAGACTACGGCAAAGCCACAAACAAGAAGGTTATGATTACAGTACTCTATCTGTCACGGATATCTTCTAAAGCAGCAGTTCTGCGGAATCCTACGGTTCCGTGGAAGGGTCACAGGCGTTCAGAGTTCCGTTCGAGAGTTAGCAAACCTTAGCAAACCAAACACATTAGAATTAGATTTTAGAGCCTCTTTTTTAGTGTTACTAATAAAAGCGAATTTTAATTCCAAGTTGGTGCCAGCTGATACAAATTAAAGCATACTGACTTATATACTTTAATTTTAATAAGCTAACATATACCTACCTTAAGAATGTGTAAACGGTGAAGACTTAATTGGTGTATGTAATTTTTTTATTTCTTTTGTTTATAATATGTAACATAATACTGTTTGTCTTCCAAATAAATAAATAGACTTTGAAAATATCTGATTACGTGTATATAGTAAATAAAAACTATCCATGGGTTATTTTTTACTTTTTAGTGTTTTGAAATGGATTTTCATTTATTTTTTAAGCTTTTATTTGTACATCAATGACTTAACCTGATAAAATTAAAAAAATTGGATTTCATTATAAGTATTCCCTATCTCAATGCAAAATATCAGTAGTCTCTGATAATGGTATAAACTATATATGCGTTTGAACAAGCAGGATTTATAATAAAAATCTAGTTTTACTATAGATATTTAATAAAAACTCCTTACATAATATTAATCTGAAAATGTAACATGAATGACAGATTACAGCTACAAATGTAGGTGTTTCTACATTTATAGTTAATGTATGCTTGTTTCTCTTATTGGCTGCTTCCCTCAAAGCAGCATTAGATCAAAACCATATTTTACAGATCAAATCTATAATCACACTGTACATTCAGTATCTATATTTAGTAGAATAGTCTTTAGGTGACACTACGAGACCTCTGCCCTTTCGTGCACCCCTGTACACTGTCTCTATGATGTCTATCATCTCCTGTTTGTCTTCTAAAGGCCAGTTGATCTTGTTATTGTTGCCGGTGCCCAAATCTATCATTATGTGTTTATTTCGGAAAAAGAACATCACTGTGCAGGGGTCATACAACTCATACCTGGAATACAAGAAAGTAATGTCAACAAATATATTTTAAAGAATTCATGGCAAATAGTAAATAGTTTCTGAAGACAGACGGCAAGTTTTCTTATAGTTATAAATGTTAGGTACTAGTAGAAAGTACAGTATACTTTCTTATCAATATCGCTAAAGATATGTTACAAATTAAAATTTAGTAAACAATTTACTAAACATAAAATATAACTAATAATATAAATTATAATGCTGAAATGGGTCTTACATTTTGTTAAAATCTGGAACTTCTGTGATATCTACAAGGTAAATAACCGCGAAATTCTTCACTTTCTCAGCAATGCTGTAGAGAACTTCATCCATTTTCATACAAGTGGGATCCCAGTCATGCCCAAATCTAATCACCTGTTGAAATAAATAAAATGTTTATTTTTGTTTTTGCAACTGTTTATTTGTTATATTACTGCAATTCTTGCTTTGACTCTGGAAATTTCTATCACTACTTACAACAACACGGTCTTCTTCAGAAAGAATAGCCTGATCAACTTGCCATCCATTATGTAAGTGTCCTAGCATATAACTCATTTTGATGAATATTACAATTCTTTATTTGCAAGTTTATTTAATATTGGATAACAATACATTCAGCACAACGCGATCTCGCGATTCCCTTCGGCCTTCACAGACCAGGAACAAGATTCCCATTTCCCTTTATTATTCTGTCAATGTCAATTGCATAGTGCCATAGAGTATAGAGTATAGATAGACCAAAAACTAAGGAGTGGAACAACAAGAGTCAATTGTCAAAATTGTACGAGTAATTTATTTCCTCTATGGTCAGAAGTTCATTTATGAATTGTCTATGGCTCACCTACTACTTAAGTGCTTAATTTTTAATTTGGCAATAGAAGCTTTTTGAACGTTTTCATGTACCCTGTTGTAAAAGCGTATACATTGTCCATAAAAATAACAATGTTATGCAATAATGTCAGACTTCTTGGCAAATTCATGTATATTTTTACGAACATAAATTTGTCATACACGTACTGAGAAACAATAATACTCCTTTATCTATAAACTTACATCTACATTCTAAAATGCATGTATAGCTCTTTTTTGTTTTAATAGGACATAATACTATGGAAATAGCTAAAATATACTATGCGAGCTGTATCTATATCGGTAGTGAGCCTTTATTTTTTCCATCGGCGAAAGTTGCAGATCTGAGTCTATTCGCTAGCCCCTCTATATGGGGGCCATATTGCGATTTCGAATCTATGGTAATACTTTGCAATTTAGTGGACTCTACCGGTTTTAAAACTACCCCATTCATCCCATCCATTTAATACTACACCATTATCAACAAGTTTAATATTAGAATTTTTTGGTTTTATTATTTGATTAATTTAATTAAAAATAAAAATCAGAACCGAACCAATAGACAACCTTTGAGAGAGCATCATCTACACCGTTGTAAGTTAGTAAATTACGCTTCATTTTATAAATAAGTGTATCATTAATATAATTGAGGAAGAGAAAAGGGCCAAGAATAGATCCTTGTGGAACCTCTTTATCTAATGGAAGCCCAGGATAAGACAACTACTTAATTATATAATCTTATGGATGAATATAAAATAATAAAATATATACACATTACATTTAAAACATCACACAGTACTCTAATGTTATTAATGCAAAACTTTCTGAGTGGATATACATAATATGATTTTTTTTATGAATTCGAATTCACAGAGTCCAAGAATAAATAACAGAGTAGTACCTAAGGTAATAACAAATGAAAGTCCCTGCTAACCAAGGGATTTATAGTAAGTGGTTTTCGACTGACCTTTAACTAGTAATGCTTATTTTGAAGTGAACATTTCTGAATTTTTCTTTTATGTGAAAGAAACTTTACCATGTATTAATTTTTTTATCTAAATTTTCGATGACAATAACTTTTATTAGTCGTGCATGCAAATTACATTTTGGTTATGTACTGTATTCTTTTCATTTGACAAAATAAGAAGGTCCATACGGATAAGAGCTGTTCTTGTCAGCTGACTATTGACTGATACTGATTGCATTTGTAGAAAAATAATACGCCACGACCTTTGTCGGTAATAAAACTCTTAAATTTTCTATGAGATATTAAAGCCAGCTAAAACTCATCTCACTTGACTGTCTTAATGAATTTGATAATGATTAATCCTGCTATGCCTACGTCATTACTTCTTAAGATACTGAGCCTTCATTAGTAAGAGCCTACATTACAATTTACAGAACACTAGATTTATAAGTAATCCATGTGGCCTGATTGATTATACGAGTAGGCATAATGTAGTATTAAAGTTACCAGAGATTTTTTTAATTACTGTTATATTAATAATTAATTGATTATCTCTACCTTTAGAGTTTATTGTTGAAATATCCAAATACATTTTACCGGTTTTGTGAGGTGAAGAATGTGCGCTTTTAATATTTATTAATGAACTAGTCGACTCAACGTCGCTCCGCTCCGTTTCGTCCCTAGTTACGTTTTAACGTTTAATATAAATTTCTCAGACATGAGATATTTTCCCGCAGAAAAAAGTATCCTATATGTTGACCAGGATAACCAGCTATCATCATACCTTTCATCAAAAACTGTTCAGTGGTTTTGTTTTCTCGTAATGCGTTCCCAATCGATAGACAGACAGACAGACAGACAGACAGACAGACAGACAAAAACTCTAAAAACTATAGATTCGGCCTGTGTATCGATAATAATGTCTATTTCGATAAGGTTCCAAAAAATATTTAATGTACAGATTCGACTTAGTTACAATTTTATTATATGTATAGATGTAAATCTTAAACGTAGGTATAACTTATTGTCAAACTGGCACTTCGATCTTCGATAAGTTTATCTTCTTGTTCGATCTGTGGTCGCATGACTGACGGATGACGTATCGAGTTTTTTTTTTTACTTTCATAACTGCCTTTACCGCCAAGACGAGCAAAGCGAAGCGCAAAGACACTAACTACCTTTTGTCGAAGCGCTTCGTCGTTTTTTTGAACCCTCATAACTTAGGTTTGGATTATACCAGATAAACAAAATTCTCGGAATATGATGTCAATAGTAGTAGTTCGTAAGTTATCTATACATATACTAAATTTGTAACTTAGTCAAATCTGTACATTAAATATTTTTTGGAAAATCTAATTGAAATAGACATTATTATCGATACAGACTACGAATCTATAGTTTTTAGAATTTTTGTCTGTCTGTCTGTTACCGCATCACGAGAAAACTACTGGACAGATTTTGATGAAATTTGGTATAATGATAGCTGGTTATCCGTGTCAACATATAGGATACTTTTTACCGCGGGAAAATATCTCATTTCTGAGAAAAAATACAAAAACTGCATTGTAAGATTATACTAATATGTAAAACTTAAGAATGTGGTTTTTGGAGTATAATGATAATCTATCCCTGTGCCAAACTTCATCCAGATCCGTTCTGGCGTTATTTAGTAGTAAATACCCATCCAAACATCCGAGCATCTAAATTTTCACATTTATAATATTAGTATAGATTGTGGATGAAGTAATAATAGGATCGAGTAATAATTTTAACTACCCGTTAAGTCCATTAATTTTTCATAAATACAAGACATTTATATAGGAAATATTATGTATTTCTGTGGCAATAGGTTTAGTACATACAAGAAGTTACTTATTGTAGTGTTTTTGTGTAGTTAAAATAAGTTAGGTTAAAGTCGAACCTGAATTCTCCAGTGCTACAATTCATATTATCTGACGTACAAACAGATTACAGCATTTGTACCTACTAACAATAAGACAATGCAAAAAAATATACAAATGAATTAATTCATGATTTTTATAGGTATTTTTTGTTATCAGATCTCTCGAATTGTTTGCTTTTGAGGGGGCAGAGGAGAGGTGGGGGGCGGCGGCCCGTGGAAGTGGGGTGGTGCGGGGAGGGCCTTACGTTGGCACTTCGCCACCGGAACGCGGTCACACACCAAAACATACTGATTTCTCGGGAAAAAATAACGAGTTCGCTGTTAGTCGAGTTCGCGGCCGCATCGGCTTCTGTACTGACACTTCACATTTAACTGAAGTATATATACAAAGGTTTAGTCCCACGTTTAAAATATCCTATGTTTGAAGTTATTACGTACTTTTAGAAGAATATTTACATATTAAAGAGTTAAAAGTGTGCACAAATATTTGTTCTTAGATTGAAGGGGTGGTTAAAACTAGAATCTTATTTATTAGGTCGAGCATTGCGACTGCTCCGGACGAGTGGATCAAATCTTGTCAACTTCGTTGCAGCTGCTCATTTTTAGACAAATATGACTTATTGATTTTTATACGATTCCTCAACTCTACATTACGTTGTAAATGTTTGTATCCTATATTTATATATAAATACTGTAAGTAATATTAATATTTTAGAAGTGAGGACGTGGGGGTGCGGCATGGACGCGGTGTACCCGGCGGCGGCGTCGGCGCTGGCGCGCGGGCGGCGGCGGCGGCGCGGCGACCCGCGGCAGCGGCACCGCACCACGCCCGTCACCTTCGCCGAGATCAAGGTGATGATGGCCCCCACTGTAGCAAAATAATAGTTGCCAGTATCGCACGAGTAATGAGATTACCTCGCGTCGATAATGATGCGTAATAGTCCATAATTAGATTTTTTATACTGAGCTCGACGGAAGATAACATTCATGTGTATCATCAACTTACATTAGGTTCTTCTATCTTCAACGAAGCTCAATATGGCTACGTCGAACGTGTGTTGTACTCAACATACATACATACCTTCATGTCATATCTACCTTGCCTACTACATATTACCTACAATATACAACATGAATCCTTGGCGAACGCCTTATGGTGTAGGTTCGTAGGCGATATCTGCACGTTTTATCAGATATAGGTACTTACATAAACATAAATATTTGTTCCAATTAAGGTGTATAGCAGCAATCGACGTCGCTAAAATCGGAATATTTAAATACCGTCCTATGTTCATACAGAAAAAGAAAATATTACTTTAATATTTAAACAGTAAAATAAATTTATAGGAAGTAGACGAAGACAACGAGGAGAATGAAGAAGCGAGGGCGTCTAGTGTCGCGAGTGTCGCGAGCGTGGCGAGTGCGGCGAGCGCGGAGCGCCGGCGCCGCCCGGACCTGCTGGACGAGCGGCTCGGCCGGGAGTTCGCCGAGTTCCGGAGGCGCCGCGCGCGCCGCGACCCCTTCCGCGAGCTGGACGAGGTGCCGCCGCCCTCGCCGCCGGCCTCGCGCGCCGCCAGCGAGCCGCGCCCTGACCAGATCGACCCCTCTTGATTTTATGAAACCTAACTGTGGTTTATACGTGATGTTTCATTAGGGGACTACTGTTTGAACAGTTGAAAAGTGTACTGTTCCAGTGAGAAGATTAGTCTCCATATAGTAAACTATATAAATGACCATTATACATGAATGGGTGTAATTAAGCACCACACTTCAGAAGCTCATGCGCGGCATATTTGTAAATCTCTGTAAGATCCGAAGAAGTTAGTGTTAACAGTAGGTTATTGTAAATTATCAAGTTATAACATTATCTATACTCAACATCTTCCGTAGGTACTTCTTAAAAAAATGGATACCTCGCTTCCTAACTTTTTTGATAGGTATTTTCTGAGTGTCTGTTTCCAGAACGATAAATTTATTGTTTATCTTCCCAAAATATATTTCTTGTCCTCATTGGAAGAGATTAGGTTTTCTGGTATTTATGTGTTTATCAACAAAGCATTTATGATAATATTATACTTCATTACATTATGCCACCCTCGCGCGCAATCCTTTGCCGTGTACCACTCTTAAGCTAGGCACTTCTATGTTCTATCTAGTATAGTATTATGTGATCTGTGGTTCTATTAGTTATTTGTACTTCTTACTATTAAATTATATTTTGTATAATATAGGTAGTTCATCGATAAACACCTTTAATAGTAGATGTATCATAACACATTATTAATTTGTTTGTATAAATTATATAATATTAAACGATCAGGTCCGACCAGGGTCGACAGGCAATCAAATGTACCTACGTATAGTTTTAATTTCTAGTTATTTATTGAACGTATTCACTTGGCATGTTTTAATTAGTAGATGTTGCCATGAGCACTGAGCTGGTACCTACCGAGAGCAGAGAGCGCAGGCCGCAGAGAGTGCGCGCGCGAGCGGCAGCGAGGTGACTCATAATAAAATTCGCTTTTGTATAGCTTTCGTTTATTTTAGGAATAATAAATAAATAACGCTCTCAACCACTCCACACGAACATCTTCAATAAATATTAAATAGACACATCTCTATGCGTCGTCTCTGACGTATTCCAACAAACAAGGAACATAGGCCAGTGACACTTCGTAATCAAACTTACGACTATAATCGTACATATGTTTAATCGTAAATATAATGTGACTGTATTCATATATTTTGTGACTGTAAAACTTAAAAATATGTAGAAATATAAATTTAATAACTTGTGTTTTGCATTTAAGTTTTAAAATATAATAGAATCACACCTCTGTCATCACACCCAATCAGCGCAATGCTGCTTAAAATAATTACAATTCATTTGTAACCACGGGTGTGTTAGTGTACTCCCTACACTTACATACATAGATAGCTTCTAGAACAAAGATACAGTGTTATGGCACGAGTAGTAAGATATACATGTAACAAACACCCTACTTTATAATAGTACAAATTAAATTGATACCACTTCCGCAAACATCAATCAATCTTGATATAAAATATATTTTGTAAGTACGTAGATAAATACTTTTTTGTGTTTTGTTTGTTTTGATTTAAAATGACAGCTTAAGCGTAATCATTAGTAATGGTGGGCGAGACGATTGCAGCTACAATATGATACAGATAGACTAATTTACAAAATCTGCAATAAAAATTAATGGATTGTGAAATGAAATCGGTTTTAAAAAAATCTATTTTACAATAAATAAATATGGTACATTATTGGTTTATAGAAATTTATAATATAACATAAAGGAAATTAAGAGTTTAATCAATTATAATTAAAAACGATTTTGGCTACAATATGGTACGAATATGAACAATATTTAATACGTTATTGTCTTCAATATAATTGGTTCTTCAGGCGTGGATGGTTGCGGCGACAAGTGGCTCCAACGAAGTACCGCTCAACCAGGCGCGCGCGGCGCGGCACCGGTTTGAAATACTAGACACTATGTCATATAAAATCTAACTTACATACATTATAACATTTAATACTTTCTTAGATTTACGCGAATATTAGACATTTTAAATAAAACATTATAACATTGTTTAATAATTATTTATAATTAAACGAGTAGATACTGTAGTCGAATACTGCTTTAGTCCTCCCGGACACAAGGCTAAGTCTAACGCGTACGATGCAACACGCACCGGCAGCACTTATTCTATATACGCATTCAACTAATTTGTGTGATCGTTTACGCACTTTGTAAATATACACATGTATACGAACGATTTATCAATTAATACATCAATTAACGATGTCATACATTATATAAAATTTAATTTTACTAAATAAATATTTTATCTCCGTTACACTATTTCTCTATGCCTACAATAATTGTCATAATTTTAATACTGTACAAAATGTGATTATTCATTTGTGGCGATGACGTGATAATCTGGCGATTTGATCAAAATGCTCACAGCTCAAATATATGTACCTACATATGTATAGTGGCGGTATTGAGTCTCTATCGATAAATGCTAATATTACACTACTTATAACTACAGCGGGGGGAAGTGTTCGAGGTTCAATTGCACAAATGTGACTGACGGGAGTCGCGGGAACGGTTGCTAATGGACGGTTTGATAAGACACTGATTCCGATCTCGACATAAGCCCTCGAGAGCGGTGATGAGTGAAGGAGCGAGGCGAGGCGCTCAGCGCGCGTCCGCCTCCTCCGTCTGCGCCTCCGTCTCCGCCGCGGACGGGATGGTGTGCAGCAGGCGCGGCGGCGGCAGCGCGCCCGGCGACAGCGGCGGCTCGTCCGCCACCACCGCCGGCTGCCGCGTGAGCCGAGGCCGCGCGCCGCCCGCCCCCGCGCCGCCCGCCCCGGCGCCGCCCGCCCCCGCGCCGCCTGCCGCCGCGCGCTGCCGCCCGAGCGCGACGTGCGCCACGTGCCCGTCGACGCCGTGGCGTTCGAGCCGGACGAGTCGTTGCGCGATGACGACAGATTGGAGTCCTGCGACGTCTTGCGCGCCACCAACCACGAGGCGGCGCGGCGCGGCGGCGGCGGCGGCCGCCCGTACGTGCGCCAGGAGTCCGAGCGCGACGACGAGAATTCCACCGAAGAGGACACGGAGCCGGCGCGCGCGGGCGGAGCGGGCGGCTGGCGGGGCGCGGGCGGCGCGGGGGCGGCGGCGCGGCGGCCGCACGCTCGCAGCCAGCGCAGCAGGCGCTCGCCGCCCGCCTCCGTGGGCGGCGCGCCGGCGCCGGGCGCGGCGGCGGCGGGCAGCAGGCGGCGGCACGCGCACGCCGCGCCGTGCTGCCCCCTGGACGAGCGCTCCGCGAGGCTGTTGGTGTTGGCCGGCGTCTGGCGATTGCTAAAGTTTGAAGAGTGCCTACATCGGCCGATGCCCCGCGTGACGCGAGATTCTTCTATGGCCTTGCACACCAGGGCGCAATCTTTTTTGAATTGTTTCGTGAGAATGGCATACAGGAAGGGGTTACAGCATGAATTCAACGGTAAAACGAAAACTGTAAACACTTTCGCCTCCTCTAGAGAGACGAGCTGCGCACCGAAAGCCGCCGTGAGTGCAAAGAAAGCTATCGGCGACCAGCACAGAAAATCTGTGAACACTAGAAGCGCCATTCGCTTCGCAATTCGAGAATCGTTCGAATTCCACGCTTGTGACCCGCGTATAGCACAGTACATTTTAAGGTAGCAGCCGAGCAGCACCAGGAAAGCTAAGCCGTTGATAGCGAGAAGAGTGACGACGTATCCGAGGGCGGCGGGCGAGCCGGTCTCGAAGGGCAGGCAGATAGCGAACTTGCGGTAGTCGGAGACGCCGAGCAGCGGCAGCGTGGCCGCCGCCAGCGAGAAGGCCCAGCCGGCCGCCATGACCGCGGCGGCGTGCCGCAGCGACAGCCGCTTGTTGAGGTGCATGGCGTGCGTGATGGCGTAGTTGCGTTCCAGCGTGATGACGGCCAGTGTGTAAACGGACAGCTCGGACGACAGCACTCCCAGGAAGCCCGCGAGCCGACACCCGCCGGACATTTGCCAAGATATTGCGTGCGCGCGAAATTCACCTAATGTTCCAGCGTCGACGACTGCCAAAAACCCTGTAATGAAATAAAAATATATCTAACTAGAACACGTTTTAGCAAGCAAGTAACTCTTGGCAAAAACATAGTAAATTTGTACCTAGGTAAATTCCCATGAAAAAATCAGCTGCCGCTAGATTCGTGACGAGGAACCGTGGCACGTCTATGCGGCTGCGACTAAACACCAACACAAACACGACTGTCCCGTTGCCCAGCAGCGCCAGCAGGAACACCGCCCACACGCCGCAGCGCAGCGTCCACCAGTCGAACAGGTCCACGCACGGTAGAAATGGACCTAGCGATAAGAGTATAGCACGCTATTATTATAATATGTACTATAAAAGTGATGGTATGATGACATAATATTTAAAATAAGTATCATTGATTAGAATTGTGATATTGTCTTTTATCTACAGTAGGTAAAATATATAAGACTAGATATGAAACGTATATAAATAGCACCATCACCATATTAAAATGAGAAAAAGCTGTGGCTCACCAGGCAAAGGCAAACATCGAACACGACGAACTCCTGAAAACCTAAGTTCAGCCCCTACGTCGCCCCATTCTACTGCCGCGAGTCGCGACCCGCCGTCGCCTGTTGCGTTTACTACACAAAATTGAAAGATTTAAATTGAAAGTG